GGTGCTGGTTGCGGTGGTGATGGCCGCTGCGAGGATAGAGAGGGCGGTGAAGCGCATGGTAGGTTTTTTTTGGGAGGGATGATGATGGTGTGGTTTGCAGAGAGTATTGTGGGAGGTGGGTGATGTTTTATTGACGTGGAAGGCGATGGTTTTACTCGGGCCTTTGAGGATGCGGTGAGCGGGGGGGCTGCGGTGAGAGTGATTGTGGATGAGAGAGAGCAAAGATCGACAGTGACCTGGCGGCCGCGGATATTGGTGGAACACGTCAAAGAGAAAGCAGGAGGGGAGATGAGATTGGAAAGGCCCATAGTATCAAGTTATGCATGGCTTGCCCTTGATTATTGTCGATCTGATGGTCAGTATCGCCGTTACTGTGGCAGGCACTTCGTGCAGACATAGCAGCTGATAGCGTTCCATTGAGTAGAAGGAAAATCATTTGGGAGATCTTCTAATCAAGCAAAGTCCACCTCTTAGGGACTGGAGCCCTACTCATTCCCTGATTTGGTCTGACTTGTATCATATCCTGTATGTACGTGGACCTTCAGGCCTTCTCTTGCGTATATATGAAGAGTTTTCTCTTGCGAATCAAAACCAAACAGTCCCAAGTTCCGGGCCCCATTGGCACCATAATCTCCGAGGGGCGTACTACCTTTGACACGCTTGCGCAATGCGGGAGGGCTCACGAAGTCTGTGACTTGGATGTAGTCGCGCTTCTTGCTCATTGGTTCCGGTGCGGTCGATGGAGGTAGCAGCAACGAACTTTTTGCGCAGCGGTGCGATGTCAGTAATGGGGCCGTCGATGTCGGAGTGAGCTGATTTGGTGATTCGACCACTGGCGTAGGAGGCGGAGCCTTGAGCGGTGTAGCAAGAGCGAGGCACTCCACGGTATCTTCACGGAAAAGTATGCATACTTGGCACGAGGCTCGAGTACCAGGGGCTTGCGTGCTACCGCAATAGTGCGAGCTCGACGACGCGGTTGTGTGGGGGTCGAATATGGGCTGCTGTGTTTCTTGAACCACTGCATCGGAAGGCGTTGGATTCGATGAGGCTTTTGGTTTGCGCGGCGTCGTTTGCACTGGGTCCTGCGTCGTTCTGTATGTTGATGAGGTGGATTGAGATTCTCTCACGAACTTTGCGGCCAGTACCGCAACATCCTTGGCATGGCTATTGAGTTTGCCCGCATCTGGTACGTCCCACTTCTGTTCAGCCATTGTCTCGAGTTCCTCGAGAGTCACACAGTCTTCCCAAGTCCGATCATTGTGTAATTTCTTGACTCGAGGATGACGCAACATCTCGAACGTCTCATTCTGCAGCTTCTCGAACCCGCCTCCTAGGATCTCCGCAACAAAGGGTACTCTGAATGCGGCCGTCATCCGGCGGTCGTACCCTTTGGAGTATTCGATGCCGAAGTTATCTGTCTGACCATCCTCATGCAGATTCGCTTGTCGCACGTAGCCGTGTATGTTAAGGTACTTAAGATCAGGCTTCGGTATGCACTGGTCTAGACCAACGGTTGCAACGAGCTTGAAGATAGGCTCAGCTCCGATTCGTTGTACGGCGGCTTTGTTTGTGCAACATCCAAGATGGAAATGCGTCCAGTGCAAGGGTTTCACGTCTGACTTTGCAGCAACCTGCGCATCAAAGCTTGCACCGATGACGGCAAAATCGCCTAGATCACGTTCCCCACCCATATCGCCCAAGTAGTCCTTCTTCAGCTTGATGAAGTAACCTGGTTGGCAAGATCCCCGTCCATACAACAGCGGGAAGTAAGGCGCATGGAGTGGTTTCAATACAAGACCTTCTTGGCGGCTGGCGAGGTTCTGTGCAAATATCTCCTTGAGGTCTGTGATGCCATCCTCTGTCTTAAAATCGAGCAAAGACCACTCCGAGCGCATCGAACGACCTGGCTTGACTCGAATCAGATCCCTGAGTAAATTGCGGCGTTGTTGAAGGCAATGACGTAGGACGGGCTCCTCGTCCAATACCAGAACATCGAAGAAGACAATCATGAGATGTTCCCACTCGTGGGGCAATGAATCCTGCAATGTCCCAATGAAGGACCCAGACCGCGATATGTGCTTACGTATCTTGGAAAATGGCATGATCTTCTTCTCTCTGTCGCTGTAGAGCACCATCTCACCCAAAACAATACATTTGGACTCGAAGGCACAGTCTGGCCGACCGATGCGCAAAGCTTCGCGAATGGTAGCATGTAGTGCTTGACGGTCTAATGTTGCGTCTTTGCCGTTTTTGGAGAAGATCTTGATGTTTTGCGATGCATCCGTCAAGTCGATGTGGATTTCACAGTACTCTCCATCGTACTTGTTCTCAGCAGCCCAAGCGTGATTACCAACCATCTGAAAACAGTGCTTAAATGACCACACTTTCTTAAAGGTGGGCCGTCCAACTTTGATACCAACCACTGGTCTTAGCTTGTGCGCTGCCTCCAGCCGCATTGACCTCTCTTCCAGGTTTCCAGGAACCGCAGGATAACAGCTCAGCTCCCCTCGGAGCATGCTGAAAACTGCGTCAAAGTCGTTCTGAAACATTAGTAGATGCGGCAAGAGAAAGTGGCAGTGCCCAAACACGTAGTTCTCGTCTAGCGCAACTGTACAGTAGTCCCGTAAGACGAGGCGTACCAGCCACTTGGCCTCCCACGACTCCAGTCGCACAAGGATAGCTTTCAGCTCTTCGTCCGTATTCAAGTGCCAATCTCGTTGCGATCGGATGGCCGCGTCGGAGAACCTGTATCTGGCCGCGAATTGCGTAAGGAGCCTGTCGACCCGCTCTACGGAGACTGGGTGCTTGGACGAGAAAGTGCCATCCCATGGCTTCATCGCTCGTTCGGTATACACGCCTAGATCTCCATGCTTTCCGGACTTCCAGCGGTCGAACGAAGCCTTCTGACCATGATTCAAGTTAAGAAGCTTAGCAAGCTTCTTCGCTAAAAGAGGCGCCCGAAGGCCGTACACTCGATCCTTCCTGTGATGAGGGAACAGGGCAGAAAGGATAGCGCCTCCATTGGTTTTGGGGTCATCCAGGGCGCGTCTGTGGTTCTTCGACCAATTCGATATGATCTGCCGAATACTTTCATTCTCTTCTTTTTGTGGCAGTCGTGGACGAAGGGTAGTAATGATCTCAGTGCTCTGCAGTAGACTGCATATCGCGTTGAAAGTAACGGTCATTAGAAATGTAGGCTCAAATATGCTTTCGAGAGTCGCAAAGCAACAGCCTGGAGGTTGCTCGTGCTCCACAGACGCTGCAAGGGTGTCGAGAGGAAGGGGCTATCCTAGGTAGAGTTAATGCTACAGGACTTCCTGCACTTGAGTGCTCACTTTGAATCTGATGCTGGCTCAGACTCCATGTCATGAGTCTCCTCCTGCGCGCGGGAATTGCGAACGCACAAGGGTCTTTCCCGCAGGTAGTCCAACTCCTCGACATCTCTAATGTAGTAGTCTCAGACTGCTATGCCGCCGGCGAGGCGCGGTATCAGACTTACAGTGTTAGAATCGCGGGCCTTGAAATCCATGAAAATGAGCGAGCGGATATAATGCCGGACTCGTGGCCCAGAGCGCGTGCAATGCAACCTTTGTGTGACGTGAAAGAAGAACTGGTGGGGTGCTTCCCCAAGGGAAAACGCGCTAATACAAGAAATCACAGGGTTACGTGTCGTGCTAGCCTCGAAGAAGATGACTGTAATCGGTGCCGAAGACCGCAAGGTTGTAAACTTGTCTCTTGCTGGCTCATGCTAGATGAAATGTGCTACTGAGAGTGAGGCGGTTGCGTTGAACTTGCCTGTTGTCATTGTTTCACAGAATCACACCTTACGTAATTAGCCGTTCCTGACGTCACCAGGCTCATGATCCTAAGGCCATTTGGGTAGCCTAAATAGTCTCCAAGCTCTCAATCCAGCAATAATTTGGGCTGTGATCATTGTAGGTCCGATTATCACACGCGGAGACGAACTGTTCAGCTGGACTGACCTAGGATAGCACCATTAGCCACAACGACCCTCGCTCTGAGGACGCCAAGAAGTGGGATCTAATATCCTGAGGTGACTACACATCAACACCTGCTGGCAAGGCGGCATTCTTCCTTGCTCGTGCAGTTGAGCCATTTCTGCAATATGGCATTCTCGCACACGGACTCGGCACGCCCATCCTGCACCGTCTTGGACTCAAGACACTCCCACCAGGACTGCCAGCGCACACTGATATCACTGCTATCGGTAGCCTAGGCTTGTCGCCAAACAGGCTTGTGCTAGTAGGCATGTCGATTGGCAGCGCCGTGAAGCAGAACATCTGGGTTGCTCTGCTTTCCGGAGAGCCAATGCCTGTTGTGCCCGCCATCCAGGTCGGTCTGTTTAACGCCTTCTTCAATAGCATCAGCAGCTATACATTCCTTCTCGCTGCGACATCAGCATCGAAAGAGGCGGATTTTCCTCAGCCATCTCTCATTGCGGGTGGTACGTTGTATACAGTCGGCATCATCACCGAGCTCGTGGCAGAGATCCAACGCAAACGCTTCAAGTCCGACCCAAAGAACAAAGGCAAGGCTTACACTGGGGGTCTGTGGCGGTTTGCCCGACACATCAACTATGGTGGCTACACAATCTGGAGAGCAGGCTACGCATTGGCCGGAGGTGGCTGGGCTTTAGGCGCGCTTGTTGGTGCGCTCTTTGCATTCGATTTCTCGACGAGAGCGATTCCCATTCTGAACGAGTACTGCGAGAAGAGGTACGGTGAGGCCTGGACAAAGTTTAAGGAGCAGACCCCGTACTGCCTGATTCCATTCGTATATTGAGACTATCTCACCCGACATGGACATTGTGGATTGATCTTTTACAGAAGGGTAATCAGGTGAGGTTAGATACGCTTGACATTCTCATATGACGACTCGTCAGCACATGATTTTACTGTCACGCTCAGCAACACATGTCACGCTTCCAACATATCACGCAATGCATACTCACTGGCCTCCAGCATCCCGGCCATGTGCGACCATGCAGAGAAGCGGCCCGGTATGCCACAGCTCCTCGGAAACCCTGTCATCGCTCCACCGACGATTTCGCGAAAGGCCAGATCAAATGGTTGGCGACGCTGAGAGATCTGGCAGCGGGACAGTCCATTCGATGCTAATGTAAGCTAGCCCGCAAGGACCGTAGCGAAAGCGGATCGTGGGGATGCCGCTCGAGCTGACAACCAGAAATGGCAGTCCACGATAAGAGAAGCTCAAGTAATGGCCTGTCGCTGTCGCACGATGCAGGTGTATTTCCATTAAAGCTGGTGTTTGCGCCGGATCACACGTATCACGACATCGATAGTGTTGGACTAAATTGAGGCGCGCAACATCAGAGCTAATGTCGTGTTTACCCATCTCCTCGTCTCCAAGTCCCCGGCGCGGATTGACACCTCATCACTCGCTCTCTAGCGCTCGCGTCAACCGAGAGAAATCAATCGATTCTTCCGCTTGTCGACGCCACGGCCAGCAGCTCACCGATGTGAGCTTCAGGAAAACCATTTCAGTCTGACTGCAATTTTTTCTGTAGAGGCAAATTTGGTTTTGAGATTATTGCATCAATATCTGTGTTCAGCAAGCTACAGATATTTCTCCGTATTGTTGCAAAAATAATTTGCCGGGGTACGTGGATTTGCAGCAGCCTCTCCTATACACGACAGGAAGAGATCAGCATCTGCTTGCCATTCTCAGCTATTCAGGGTCTATGTGGCGGCCCGATGTTGCTCTGGGATGCTGCGCCACATCTCCAGTTTTCTATTTCTTCCTGGCAACTCCACATTTATGATGGTAATCGATACAGACTGCTGCAGGGAGGTGGCTGTGGTCGATGTTTTGACGTCGGCGACAAACAATGAGTCTGTCAGCGATCCGCTGGTCCAAAGAGTCCCAACGGAAATTGAATTGAGTTTGTTAATAGTGGATTTGCTCGGCTCACCGTCGATAAGCGGGGAATCCAGAGATCAAGCTCGAGGCTGCATGAGCTTGCATGCAACCCCACCCTGGGGCTCATAGCGGCTCATCATCAAGGAACAGCAAGCGGCACATCAAGTTCAATGACTTGCAGCTGTAAAGCGAGAAACGCTGCTGGGATGCAGCTGCTCTTCAGCCCAATGGATCGTGCATCAAACTTGGCCAAGGCCGACTGAGGGGTACGGGCTATTGTCAGATTGCTCTGAAATCAGGACAACACGCAGTTCGCACTGTACCTAAAGCATCGCGATCTGACACCCCTAGTGAAGCATCTCGGCTAATCTCTGGAGTGAGGTCATCAGATTGTGTCCAAGCAGCCAGCGCTTGCAGTGCTGCAATTGATCAGAGACACATGGCGACACACAAGCGATCTGTCAGACGTAGCACTCGCGATGCGTCCAATGCAACAGATGATCATTCATCAGTACGGCCTCAGCGCCCGCAAGCTCTGGCACGCTGGGCGCCATGGCGTGCCGTGATTCGACGCCGAGCGAGCGGGATCTGTAGATGCAGCGCGAGTGCAGCAGACAAGGAACATGACCGCGGTCACTTCTGCCGGGCCATGGCTGTAAGCCGCATCCCGGACGTGACTCCGCTGTGCTGCTGTCACGTCTTGCGGTTTCCAAGTTTTGAAGGCATTAGTTGGGACTGCTATGAACATGGTAGGGGTTGGTGCGCAACGGAAGCGCTGGACTATCGTATTCGAGGACGCCGTCGGAGCAGTTCATGGCATTTCGTCATGGTGGAGTGGGCCGAAGAATGGCTCGAGTGCCTCCTGTCCTAGCGCCGTCGAGAGGTACGGCAAGCACGGAAGGAGGATACAAGAGCTTTCGCGCGTCCGCATCTGAGGTGGGCAGCACGCATTGGCAACTCAGCTATTACTGGATCTAGCATCTACAATTTCTCAGTACCGCTGACCCAATCGGCCGCCTTCATACTTCTTCCCATCTCATCTCGCGTACGCTGCCTTAGCCCCAGGGCGCTGAATGAGGTTGTGCGCCCGCTACTACATCGGATTGGACGCAAGACGGAAGAGTAAGTCAGCTCTCGCGCCATACCTCTTTACGCTGCACGCTGTGCCCACGTTGTCCTGGCGCCTTCGGGACTACGCTCGAACAACGCAGGCGTCAGCTGGGCTCCTAGAGTTGAAAAGTGGCTCGTGTTCGCAAACTGACATTTCTTTCTTTAGCTCTCAATAGAAGCTTTCCCTAGCGCAGGTGGCACATCCAGAGACCTTCCCTATTGTCCTGATACATAAGGCCAACTACCACCCGTGATCCACGATAGCCACCATTCGTCGCCCACAGGTCGCAAACACCAACACGTACTCGAAGATTCCGGAGGACGCCGTCTGACTGCTCGATCCCTCAGCATCACCGATTTCCCTCGGCGCATCAGACCATCGCCGGAAGCGGTGGGAAGTCAGTGCATTCGGAATTCTGCAGGGCTGCAGCGAACGAACGCACGCACGCAAGCGGGGCGCCAAGTGGCACACGGCCTATCACCATTACCAGTACATAAACATACAGAGCCGCTCCGTGGACGCTCTGGTAGCTTCCGCGCTGAGTGCGACTGTCAGTGTCATTCACTGCTCCTGCCGTTCCTGTCCTGCGCGCCTCTTGACACTAGGCCGTTGTCGACTGTTGTTTCAGCGTCCGTGATCGCCAAGCGAGGAGGCGCAAACATGCAAGCCGCCGTGATGGCACAATCCTTACAGGCCTCGTCCTACGGTGGTGCAATGCCACTGCCCGTCCGCCGCAAGCCCGTAGCAAACCCCGGTATCGCCGTGCGACCGCCGCAGGATCAATACAACGACGCGCAGATGGGCCACTCCCGCACACGCACCACCTCGTCCGGCGTCTTCCCCGTTGCTCCCTCGCCCACCGCCTCCACCATGAACTCGCAGTACCCGCAGTACCCCTCGCAGTACCAGAGCAGCCTGCGCCGCACACCCACGTCGTCGACCAGCAGCACCACCGGCACCCCCAACCGCTCCAACAGCGGTGCTCTCCGCCGCTCCTCGTCCACCCGCTCCGGCACCTCGCCCACCTCCTACGTCGCCCTCATGCGCAAGCAAAAGGCCACGGTCTGGTGCGATCGGTCTCAGTATGAGGACCCACGCATCCAGGCCCAGCAGCGCCAGGCGAGGATGCGGGCTAACATGGAAGTCGCGGGCGGCAAGAACGCTCCTGCACGGGGTCCTTCGGGTAGCTCGAGCATGGCTGCTGGTGTACGCTCCAAGGTCCGCCATCACGGCGCCCCCAAGGCTACGCTCTACGCCCCCACCACCTACACTGGTACTGGTGTGCCAATGCGCCTGAGCGCTTCCGAGGTCGACGAGGGCGACGATGACGACAATGGCTCTGTTGGAGGGCAGTACCACCACCGCACCGGTTCTGGTCGCAGCTCCCTGGGCTCAGGCCGCCGCGTCTCTTACGCTAACCCTGCTGGTCGTCTCTCCTCGAACTCCACACCCCCGCAGAATTCGTCACCAGATGAGCTTGGAGACCTGGCCGAGGAGCCCACACCAAATCAGGATTACGCGACAAACGACTACTTTGTTGAGAAGACGAAGTCAAATCTCTCGACGGGCAGTGGCAGTAGCGAAGAGCGGAACTTCGGCGCGGGGGCCCCAATGAAGTCGCTGCCGAAGCTAGAGGTAACGAAGAATTCTGATTTGATGAGAAAGGGCAGTGTGGACGAGCGGACAACGACCATGACCAATACGCGTCTTTTCATCGCCAATCCGGATGCGGATAGCGACTAAGCTTTCCTTTTCCATTCTTCGATACCCATACCTACAGACGACACGATGATTGAAGATTTATGGTGGATGAGCACAGCACGAGAGGTGTTTTCATGGCGTTCACTTAAGCATTGATTTTGGAACTGTTGCATAGAGTCATTGACCTCCGCGTTTTGGCATTGATATTTGCGCACAAGCGCGCCCTGGAGGTCGCTCCTTGATATGGCTGTACATAGTGTTGAGCTTTCCAGAAGAATCGTACGACTGAAAAAGTCGGGTAATATCGATTGTTGTTTCTACACCTGATCTTCAAGAGTTGACCCCTGTTGTGAGCCGTCTATATAGTTCCTTCCTATTCCAGGCCCCACACATGTGGACATCGATAGTATACCTTCGGCCGAAAGCCTGCTTCGGTGCTCCCCTGTAGAAGTGCTACGACTCATACTACGGGGTATGCCCTGAATCAGCAAATGCCATTCTCCCTTGTCAACATCGCGGTCACGATTCCCATGATGCCGTCACTCTGCCATTTTCAGTTTCGTCGGCGCCCGGAGCAAGGCACCATCCGCAGACCCCTTTGCATCTCCACAATGAGAGCGAAAGTGGAGATGCACGGAGCGTCCGACGTGTGACGATGTGAGCAAGCAAAAAGGGTGGGCTTGGGCGGCCGACTGTCGTGAGCCGACTCGCTGGTACTCGTCGATCATCCAAGTGTGCCTGCCCAGAATGCCGAGTCAATTTCCATGCATTCTGCACAAGAGGGATTTTCGTGTTGACTCGGAAATGTGTGCAGTTCATTTTGGTATGATTCAGAATTTCAGTTACTGCTCGCTCTCGTTTTCGCGGTGCGCCTTGCCCAGTGATCAGATTTGGCGTTGCTATCGACCTTCATGCTCAAGCAATAGAATGTCCAATGGACTTCCTAAAGGAAAGCCTTCGTGTACGACGATGCACTGTTACCCCCAAGATTTCCGAGTGTTGCAAATCGCATGTTGTCTCTATGAAGATGCTCGTCACAATGTCCGAAAGCGACACATGATTCGCCGCTGCCTCACGCGCCCACGCCTTCCACTCACGCGTCCGCGCCAAGGTTGCCGACTAGAAGTTCCCCAATTACTCGACGCCCGCAAACGCACGACACAATGTGTGCTTGACTGTTCCACGATACTCACGACGTGCACAAAACCTGACAGATATGTTGCACGCTACCAATGGCTCGGCAAACGGCGCCACAAGCGGTGTGGCTACAAGGGGTGCGAACGGCGCGCAAGTCCCAATCGGCGTGAAGAGCAAGGCAAATGGAGATGCGAAGACGGATTACACAAGATGGAGGCTGAGAGATGATAGAGGGTGTCAGACATGGCATTACCTACAGACTGAGGAGGAGGTGAAGGCCTGGCCACAGAGCGCAGCGGACAGGTACTTCCTAGGCATGGAGACTGTACGTACTTATGCTATGCTACCCAGAGCAAAACACCATATGATATTATACAGGTCAAAGTTAACGTAAGAGTAATAGGGCCTCCCAGAACTCCCCAACGCAAAGACACCGCTCGAAGCCGCCGAAAACGGCCTCTCTTTCTTCTCGAAGCTACAATTACCGCCCGGCAACTGGGCCTGCGAGTATGGCGGCCCTATGTTTCTCCTCCCCGGACTGGTCATCACATGGTATGTCACCGAGACACCGATCCCTGCTGAACGCGCAATCGAGATTAAGAACTACCTATTCGCACGAGCACACCCGGAAGATGGCGGCTGGGGGCTACACATTGAGGGCGAGAGCAGCGTCTTTGGCACATCAATGAACTATACAGTGCTGCGATTGCTTGGCGTGGACGCAGAAGATCCCAGGATGCAGAAGGCGCGTAGTACATTGTGGAAGCTTGGTGGAGCCACACAGGGCCCGCACTGGGCGAAGTTCTGGCTGAGCGTGCTGGGAGTCATGGATTGGGAAATCGTCAATCCTGTTCCGCCAGAGCTGTGGCTGCTACCGGACTGGGTGCCTATTTCACCATGGCGCTGGTGGATCCATATGCGCCAGGTCTTCCTGCCCATGTCGTTTGTCTACTCCAGGAGGTGGTCGTATCCTCTGAACGATCTGACGCAACAACTTCGCTTGGAGCTTCTAACGAAACCATACGAGACTATCAACTTCGCCGCGCATCGTAATGACATCTCGCCCATGGATGACTACCACCCTAAGACCTGGATTTTGAAGATAATCTTCTGGCTCGTGGTTGTCATCTGGAACCCATACCTGAGGGCTGCGTGGTTGGTCGAGCGTGCTGAAAAGCACGTCTGGTGGTTGATACAAGCAGAGGACAAGAATACGGACTTCTCGAATCTTGGGCCTGTCAACGGGCCCATGAACGCCCTTGCTTGCTACGTCAAAGAAGGTCCTGATAGTCACGGGTTCCAAGAGCACTTGAAGACTCTGCCCGAATTTCTCTGGATCAAGGACGAAGGCATGCTCATGAACGGCACGAACGGTGTACAGACCTGGGACACAGCATTTACTGTTCTCGCAGCTGACTCTTGCGACTTTGTGCAACAGAAGAAGTATCAACCGATGTTTACCAAAGCTCTGGAGTTTCTCGAGGACCAGCAGATGTTGGAAGAAGTCGACGACCAAGCGCTATGCTATCGCCAACAGCGCAAGGGTGCGTGGGGGTTCAGCACACGCAAACAAGGCTACACTGTCAGCGACTGCACGTCTGAAGGCCTCAAAGCCGTACTTATCCTGCAGAATGACCACCACTACCCAACCTTAATTGAAGAGCGCAGACTCAAAGATGCGATTGATGTCCTATTGACAATGCAAAACGCTTCCGGTGGTTGCGCCTCCTACGAACCGACTCGCGGCTCCAAATTGCTTGAGCATCTCAACGCCGCAGAAGTTTTCGGCAGCATCATGGTCGAGTACGACTACGTCGAGTGCACAACAGCTACCGTCACCGCTCTCCAGATGTTCCAGAAACACTACCCATCCTACCGCCGCGATGAGATCATCGCATTCCGCGATCGCGCCGTCGACTATATCCGCTCCGCACAACGGCCAGACGGGTCATGGTACGGCGCGTGGGGCATATGCTTCACCTATGCGGCCATGTTCGCCATGGAATCTCTCAAAAGCGTAGGTGAAACATATGAGAACTCTGAGCGCGTGCGCAAGGCATGCAAGTTCTTCCTGGACCGCCAGATGGAAGACGGCGGCTGGGGCGAGACATACAAGTCCTGTGAGACGGGCAAGTACTGTCAGCATGAGCAGAGCCAGGTCGTGCAGACTGCTTGGGTCGTGATTGCGATGCTCGAGGGAGAATTTCCGGATAAGGAGCCACTTAGGAGGGCGCTGAAGATGATCATGGGTAGGCAGCAGAAGAATGGAGAGTGGAAACAGGAGGCGATTGAAGGGGTGTTTAATAAGTCTTGGTGAGTTCATATTCTTCGGCGCGGATAAAGGGAAAACGCTAACAGAATACCAGCATGATCTCCTACCCGAACTACAAGTTCATCTTCCCTATCAAGGCGCTAGGCATGTATGCCAAGCGCTTTGGAAACGAGCCCTTATAGAAAGTTGGCATGATGGAAGAAGGACAAACTTTACGATAATACTAATGCGCATTATGCGACTTTCGACCCTGTCGATCCTATGTCTTCCATTTCAGCGCACGCAACACCTCCACACATCTTACCGTGCCCTACATACCACCACTGCACCTTCTCCCTTGAACTGATCACTCACCGTTTTGTGATTTAATACCCCCTTCCTCGTCCAACACGCCCTGCACCTCCCCTTCTCATCTGCCCATCACCAGCCTGCTCCCCATCCTTACCACGCGGCGGCGCACTCCCCTTCTCACAGCCCAGAAGAACCGTATCCCGCTGCGCCTCAGGAACGTCAGGCTCAAACAGCGTGCGTCCCGCGGCCAGCGGAGCGTGTCGCTTGTTAAATACCGCGCTGTAGTTCCACGTCGCTTTGACGGCAGCGACGTGCTACTGGCTTGTCAGCGTTGGCGACGTGAGCAGCTGCTGCTTCGCGGTCTCGACGGGGACGAAGGACGCGTCGTGTTTGGGCTGGGTGTGGGGATTTTCGAAGCCGAGGGTGTGCCAGGATGTCAGGCTGTGGAAGGGGTTGGAGACGGTGGGCGTGCGATGGGAGGCCAGCGGGGTGTCGGTGTTGGCTGCGGCGGTGTTGGATGAGGATGAGTTGTCGATGGAGGAAGGAGAAGAAGGGGACGAGGAAGAATCGCCGGCGGTCTCTGCAAGAGCGTGCTGCGACGCCTGTGGCGAGGGCGGGTTCCGCACTGACAAATTGGAGGTTGTGACCTCATGCTAGGTTTGTCGCTGCAGGTGCAATAGTATTGGTTGCGGGTGGCCGTTGGGTTTCGAGAAATGCAGTATGCACAGGATACGACAGAGGATGAGCATGGCATCACATGCTCCGCCGTGTGATGCCTTGGCAAGCAGGCAGCAAAGTGAAAGGGTGATGATGGCAAACGGACAGATAGGACTTTTGCATACTCGTGACTTTTCTTGGTGAACTTGAGAGACAAAGTGTGAGACCTTGAATCTGACAATCGAAACTCGGAGCCAGGAATTAGTCTGGCAGAAAATGCACTTCGACCATGTCAAGGACGCGAGAGCAGCTTTCGCCTTACAACTTGTCCGTGCTTTGCAAATCCGTATTTTTGACATTTGGTTTGAAAAGTAGCTGTCGGTGTTTTTGACCCTGTAGCTCTTGAGACTTTTAGACGCTGCATATCCCATCACTGTTGAACGGGTCGAGTACTGAGTTCCAAGTCGGCAGCAAATAAGGTATGAATCAGGAATGAGGAAGTGCTTACAGGAACCATCAGTCTCAACGCTTTCTCATATGTAAACAGACACTCAATTTTCGATGATCGAATGTGTTCTGTCGAGGATGAATGGAATGCAAACCGGTAATTCACCCACGGTCATGCTAGACAAAGCAAGCTTGCCGATCGTGTGCTGATGATTCTTTCACGTCTGTACCGCGGATGTTCATTGACCATCAACGGCCCTAGGGGTATTAGCTAAGCCGTTCTGTACAACTCAAGGTGTGCAGAGTGACAAGGCTGCACGACTGTGCTCTCCATTGTCATCATCAAATCATATGCATACGTACAGAGCCGGATAACGTGTGCAAAGCCAAATTCTGTGCCACCGCTTCATCTCTCAAATCCAGAGCCGGTGTGGATGGTCTGGAATCTGACAGATGCGTGATTTTATACCTATGGGTCATTTAGCAAGAGGTCAAGATGTGACGCGCTGTAATGGCCGCCGAAAGAGAGTCACAAGTTTATTGGATCGATTGCATCCCTAGGTAAGCCTTAATATCACTACATGCCTACTGTCCGACCTGTGTTTTGGAGTGCGTACCGACCTGGAAACAGACAGTACGATCCAGCTTGCCCGTGGCATTAGAGTCGACTGCAACCACGCGATCAGTCTCCCATTTGAAATCAAAGCTGGCCACGCCATTTCTCGGGTCATCTTGTGTATACACTGGTTGAAGGGTCTTGTCTACCTGTGCAGACAACCAGAAGGCGCCTCTGCTGGGTCTGTAGCACACCAGCTGCCCTGCAGTGTCCTTGCGCTCTTTCATCTCAACGGGCAGGAAGCGATCCAGGGGTGGCCTCATGCCGAACTCTGCAACGCCGTCCGTCAATTTGAGGATTGTGGCGAATACGCCATTGCTGTTTTGCAGGATGGAGAAGCTTCGGTCCGCCCCTGTTCGAGTAATGACGATGTGGTCACTTCTGCCGGTGCGATTAAAGTCAAACACGAATGCTCGATCAGTAGTAGAGGTGAGGGTACAACCCGCTATGACTATACGGTCGTTCGTCCCGGTAGATCCATGATCGAAAGCAAAGCAGCGTGTTGCTTTGGGACGCATGTTATATCCACCGATGCCTTCTATTTCATTCCCCGGGATTAGGGATGGCTGAAACCGCCGTTCATTCGTCGGAGCTGTTGGAATTGGAGCACCGTAGATGGTCTGCTCTGTAGTGTGGCCATCTATTGACTTTTCAACTTTCATCGCGAGACACTTCTTATCCTTCGTGATGAACTGCCACCAGAAGTCTTTCGCAGAATCTTCGAAATCTGGTTTAAGTTGTCGCACGAAAGGGGGCATAGCGGCCACCACTCGCTTTTTTTGTTCCTCAATATGCCTGCGGACCTTGTAGATGTAGTTTTCCGTAGCTTCCCCGGAGTCTGCCTCCTTTGCACAACGGTAGAGATATATGCGCAGAAGTTGCAGTCGGGTGACCTTGACCAGGAACAGCTTCAGTGATGCGTATTAATGACGGATATCGAAGCAAACGTCATTGTCCTTGGCAAGTCGAGCATACAGTCCGGCTTCGAATACGTCGATGTATGAGCCGACGGATACGAAACCATCTTGGCCAACAAGTAACTGATTCAGTAGTCTCAGCTGCTCTTGTACGTTGCTTTCGAGATCTGTTCTGAGGTTCTCTTTCTGTTTGAGTTCGACTTGTCGGTTTTTTGTCTTCTTTGGTCATTGGTCTCTCTTTAGCTTTGCTGCACCGCAGTGAGTGATGTTCTTCTTTGCTCAACGGTAATTACATGCGTACAAGGTGACTTCTTGGCTCAGCACGGTGTGCCATCGTTCAGTCCACGTGGTAAAGCGGGTCTGTATGTGGGCCAACTCCAGACCGAACATCTGGCCCACGATCTTCCGAACGGTCTCTTCTCCAGAATTGTTAATTGCATCTGTCAAAAAGCGCTCGAGTACCGTAAACTGTCACAGGGTTATCAGCCTTGTAAAACTCATTTGCCTTTTCCTTCGCATAATTTTCCGCGGCATCGATAGCGGCGGCAGTCACCTAGGTCACTACCCAAGCAGTCGCGAGGGTCAGAGGATCGGCCATAGTCACTCCGGTAAGGTTGGTTTTGGCACCAGTAGAACGGAGAAATGCTCAGGTGATTGAGGTCTCCCTGCTCCTCTTATGTGCGGTTTTCCAAGAAGGCAGTTGACTCACACGAAGTTCCATCAGATCAATATTGGAAATTACGTGAAGATTGGCATCCAAATGGCTGGTGAGATCTTCAATGCTCCCTTCCACCCACGCGTCAAAACTGGCCAATTCTCTTCAGGGGTCAGGGCCAAAATGAGCCATGACGTCTGACGGCTTCCACGCGTTGCGGGGGCCGTGCCGGCTTTGAACTCCGCGTCTGTGGTCCCAGCCACCAGGTTCATCGCCCCCGAAAGCACGAGTCCGATCCGACTTTCCCGTCTGTAGAAGATAATTGAGTCCGGTCATCCTACAGATACATAGCGTTTGCGCGATGAATCTCGAGCTCTTGGGACCTGCAGCCCCGCAACACCAAAGTAGCTCTTCTCACGCTAACTATGACGTTGCGTTTATTTGTTATGCTGAACTACGTACACGACAGATCTGACGTCGATATCTTTAAGAACTCTGTTCCCAAGCTGATGGATCATAGCAGCTTCAGTATTCTAAGCAATTCAACAGTGATGCCTTCAGTAAACTCAGCAGTAAGCAAACGTACCACACCGAAGCTCTAAAAGAGCTCTTTACATCAGTCTGGCTCACTGATATGGTAAAGGTATTTCACGCGTATGCATACGGCACAGCTTTCTGGTATGGCCTCCGAGGAGCCTGTCGTGTTTACGACCCATTGATGGTTGTCGGCTGTACGCACATTTCGTAAACATCGAGTTTTGATGTGTACTGACAAGTCAGGGTTCCGGCCTCCTTCGCAAGTCATGCTCGAAGCAAATGACCTCGAACTCTACAACGTTCGCAACGATGGCTGGTGTCTCATCACCCTTGCCCTAATCCTCATCTCCTTTACCAACGCCGTACCCCTGTCTCCTGCCCCGAAAGCGATCCACAGCGCCGACGCACCAAAGGCACTTAAGTCGAACAGGAGCAACGGAGCTCTGCCTTACGCAAAGGCCGCCGTTGCTGCGACCGTGTTTCACCACATCACCACCGGCATTGGTGCTTACCAGCATTATAAGCTCGATAGCCATTACAACACAAGCATGGGTATCGGTGTTTGGGGCAATGTTTGGTTGACATTGACTGGATTGTTCACGCTTGCCTACCTGCAGAGTGGGCTGGGAGATGAGGATATTGAGAAGGTTGTGAAGAAGGTCAAATAAGCCTGATGCTGTCTAAGGTTACTTTTTCGACGATCTGAGTAATCAAGCTATTCACGATCGAGACAATTATCCTCATTGTGGCCGACATCATGCATGCAAACTCCCCTACTTCGAGCGTACGGCTATGCACTCGATGAGAGTTGCGAAAATGTAAACTCAGAATCAATTTCGTTGAACGGCAGAATTCTTTGTTCACGCTCGATCGTTTTGCGCTTCGTCTTCAACATGTCTGTATCTCTTTAGATACTCGAAGCTTGCTGCTGTCGAGCTGATCGATCGGAAAGCGCAGACGACCCTCTTCACCTACCAACAACCCGACCGACTTGCCATGCTCTGCACCAAATGCGCTTCGGTTAGCCTATTCTCTTACTTCGAAGACGAGACACATGTCGTACGCAACTATCGCAGCATACAGGTTTCGCCCGAAGCATTGCGACTTGGAACCCCCTCAGAGATCTATGCGCGGTACTCCCAGTGCAACCTCTGCCGCATCGTATTCGATGCAATTACACACCGCTCCCCACGCAATGAGTGGATTTCGACTGAGTGGCTCCTGAATAAGAGCAAGTTAATTGGTGCCCAAGGACAATGTGTCATATACAGCTATGCCTTTGGGCGTTGCGTCGGGGCCAACGACGACGGCTCACGAAGAAAGATCGACGGAATCCGCGTCGCCATAGGATTGCTACCTAAAAACAAATGGCCAGGTTCCATATTCAAAGCTGGTGAGCTTGCTTTGGTTTCGATGCCCAGGCACAGGGCCGCGTGATCTACCCTTATTTTCTGGACGCATAATGGATCCCAATCGTGCCAATGTCGACCTGTTCAAAAGATGGCTGGAGGTATGCACAGAAAAATATGCTACCGCTTGCAGGATTCCAACATACGACATGGACACTGCGGTGCCCAGACAGTAACCCTCACAACTTGCTGGTGATTGATGTCCAGGATTTGAGCCTACGCCCTCTGCCAAAAGAGAACCCACCTTACCTCGCTTTGAGCTACTGCTGCCAAATGGATTCCAGTCGTGGCTTGCAGATCTTACTCTAGTAGTCCGAGATGCGATCTCTTTCGTTCGGGAGATCGGGCAGCACTTTCTCTGGGTAGATGCACTTTGTATTGTTCAAGACAATCTCGAGTACAAAATGGACCAGATCAAACCAATGGATCTTGTATATGGTGCTGCGCTCATGATAATTATGTGCGCAGAGCCCGTATCTGGTAGAGGATTCCAGGATGGGAAAGCTAGAGAGCTGCAGCCAGTTGAGGAGCTTTAGCCAGACACACAAGAAATCTCCTTGAACTGTCAGTTACTTTCTGGGGTTCATTGCCAATGTTTAGGGGCGGCTGCCTGCTTCTTGTTTTCAGATAGCATGGACCATCTTGTAATTTCACGCATATAGTCCGCATCGAGCCATGTCGTATGTCTCGAAGTCGAACAACCTGCTTGATAGATGTGAGTCCACCTTGGCCTGTCGAATAATGACAACGCCCACTCCAGACCAGTTTCTTTACCTGTTGACAGATGACTGAATCTGAACCAATCGCGCCAATGCTATCAGGCAAGAGGTGGCTAAAACACCTGTTACCGATTATCTCCAAATTCTCAATATTCGGCGGATTGATCACGTTATCAATCATGCCATCGATCAATGACGCATCGCCGCCAAACAAGAATATGAGCGCGCAGGATAATCTACCCTACCTCGCGCTGGCGTGGCTGTTCTTCAATTTGTCGCTTGCTGCTCCCAGCATTGGGCAGACGGTACTTACATTTCAGGCAACGGCAGTGCATGTTGCATTTGGCGGACAAGTCACAGATAACATTGACTGTGTAAGAAGGGCCGATGGTACAGGTCGAGTCATCGGACATTTTACAGGTATCCGTTGATTTTGATCTCACAGTTTCGGGCACCTGTTGCGTTCTTCTTTCTCGTACTGATTATTTTTGCAATGAGCCAGTTGATGGGTGGCTATCTCTAGTACAGGTTTAGCGCTAATTGTTTGGGTGAGCGCTTAGATTTTGCATGTATCCGGGGCGGATGAACGATTCTGAATATCCGATTAAGTCAGGATTCTAGTAGTGCAAGACGAGCTTTGGGCATTGTTTGAGTGCTTAGGTGCGGCTGAAGATGACTTAACTGCATCCATGTAGCAGCATAACAATTGAGCAACCTCTATGCATGGTAATACTCGGATGCCGACCTCGCCAGTCCTGTAGACTTGGTTAACATGAGGACGTACCGGACAAAATGTCCGGTAATGGATGGGACAAGGCCAAGTGCAGGCATAGCGCCTGTTATGAGAGGGTATGATGTGAAGGTGAAGGGCACACCACAAAAGTAGATGCAAGATGGCGTCGTTGATTCACTGAAGCGATCGTATTGGTATAAAGGTATTGCAATGTCGCCAGAATGCTACACAAACACTACGTGTTCATTGACTGGCCGGACTTTCGGCCCATGACGACCCATCGCTTGGTGGGCTCGCCATGCCTAAACCGTAGCCCTGGCTTGTGTCAAAGGTTGCATCGTGCTCCATGGGTATTGCAAACATGTTATCCCAGCCCTGGGCCATCATGAGGTCAGGAAACGCAATAGCAGGTGTTGGACTATATTGCTGGTATGAGCTCAATGGCGCCATGCCTACATCGACCATCGGTTGTGGATGCATAGGCGGTTGCACAGGCGGCTGACCCGAATTTTGGGGCAATGAATAGTCCGGGTAGTTGATGGACGCAGTGTAGCCCTGTGGTTGTTGGTGCGAGAAGGTGGTCGAGACTGGAACCTCAGATGATGTAGTTGAGGGAGGTGGAGACGGTTGAGATTGGGATTGGGACGATGACCTTTGCTGGTAGGCTGCTTGCGGAGGGCTGGCCGTGCCAGTAGCCCGTATCATCTTCTCATACCAGTTCTGTATCTTACGAGTGCGTTGCTCGTAATAGTAGAAGATGTCCCTCTGTTTATTGCCGTCGCCGGCTCGTCCGACTAACGCTCCGATGCGCAAAGCCAAGTGTCGGAAAACATGATCAATATTGAGTCGATGTCGCAACTCGCGAGTCTGGGCTTCGACGTGTGGATTCCTGCTGACAATGGCAAACTTGGCAGCAAGTGTAACACCAAAAGATAACTGAATCCACTCAATATTGGTAAGAGCCATCTCTGACTTCGGAGGTAGCCACAAGTACAGGTCGAGGAAGGACTTGGCGCCTTCCAACCCCTCACACAATATGTTCAAGTGTAAGTACGGAGATTGCTGCAGGTTGCGTTCAAAGAATGCGACCTGATAGAGAAACAGTTTTGCGGTGTGAAACTGCATGAAGAGTAGGTCTAGAGCACCCGTTAGTTAAGATCTGACGACCTCATTCGGGACACGTACGACTGTCACTGACGTCCGAGCACAGATATACTCTAAACGCCTCAAGCTCTGCCCGCACACGGAGGTATGATGAATGTGCATCAGCCTCTGAGTGGTGCGCTACTTTTGCGATCTGATCGATGTTCTCGAGTATTTGCTGCAGACGTACGACATGGTATAGGTCTTTGTCTGTCCTATACTCGGCCTTCTGCTGCAGGAGTAGACATCCTTCCTCGATGAACGGTGTGCATGCAAACGTGTTCATTTTATCTAGCAGTTTCGCAATGCTGCAAATGGTCAGCTCCTGCCCACTCTCTCTGCCAGATTTCGACGCACGTGGAAGCGATGTAGAAGATGCCCGCCGCTGCTCGCTGTGCGGCTGAGTCCGAATTGGCTTCGCCTTTGTACTGGTCCCTTGCGATTGGGTCTCGTTTGCTGCCTTCGTTCGGCTTCTGGTGTATGGGCTTGCGATCAAGACGTAAGTCGACAGCTATCGATATAGCAAGCTGGAGGTATTGCGAGTAATTCTTCGATCGTCCGTGGAATTGGTTCCTGTTGAGGATCAGTCGAGCTCCAGGAGTCTGCACAGGACCAGATACCAAGCCAGAGCAATCAAGAGACCTTGGAGGTATTGCAGATCCAAGCACTCATCACCGCCGTATAGCACTTTGTCGCTGACCAGATACTTGAACCGATGATACAGCTTGTCCTGCGTCTGGAGGTCGTGATAGCAGGCCACCGAGATTATAGCCAGGAACAAGAACGGCTTCGCATGTCGAATGTCGCCGGCAGTTGTATGTGGAGGTATTATGACGAACGGAAAGTGTGGCATCATGTCGGTCTTGTACATTGCCACGAGCGTCTCCGCCCGTTCGATAGACACGACATCATCATCGATGATATCACCCTCGCCGGCAACAGGTGGCGAACTCTGACGGGCAGCAGTCGCGGAGCCTTCAGGGAGAGGTTGCTGTACGATGGGCCCCTTCTGTTGGAGTCGCAGCAGATCCTTGACCTGCTGTTCGAGAGCTTGAATTCGAGAGTCGCGCTTGGCCGAGTTGTCACGTCGCCGGGCAGGCCGAAATATGCATGGCTTACCCAGGCGGGCACACCGGTCGCAGATGTCCTGGCGCTGAGTACGGTCGCATCGGATCTTCAGTGAGAAGCAGTTCTGGCACGTTTTTGAGATGAGTACGGCGGCAGCTCCGGCGCTGGAGGAGTCGGCTCCAGGCGGGGCTAACGACATGATGTCTCCGGGCGCACAAAAGCAGCACTCAGCTTTTTCACGACGCCCACAATGAGTTCGAGCATGAAATCATCACAGCCTGCGACCTCGGCTCCTGCAGGTAGAAGTGTGCGACAGCATGGAAGGATGTTCGGCCGCAGTTGAAGCGCGGTATCTGCCAAGCCGTGACGACCAGCTTCTCTGATTGGCCCTAGGCTGTGACTTTTGAGCTGCTGTGCAGGAGTGCCGGGTCGATGGCTCTTCTGAGCGGGGCAGATACGTCTCCAACGATATGGGAGGGTGTGGGCGATTGATTGAGGCATTGAAGTTTGCCAAATTCAAGTTCGGTGTTGATGCTCGGGTACATAATCAAGCCGGCAACCTGCGAACTTGCTTCTAAGCATTAACGTTAAGCTCTCAATCCTTGAGGTTGCGCGACGTGATCGCGCCGCGCGGAACGCAGTTGTGAGACCCACATTCGCATATTGTATGTCAGGATATTAGGCGTCCCGGCTGACCCGTTATAATATAGTGTGATGCCTCAAAGATCGAAGAAGGGATGCTCAGCAATGCCATCTGCACAATATTTAGGGCAAGTCCCTTACTTTATTAGGCTGATGCGCGCCAAGTTAAGGCTGAACTTGTGGCGTTTGAGGCTGACCCCTAGCCCGTTGAAGATGGCGTCTGCGTTTTGAGGGGGTTGGACATATTCAATGCGTTTTGGTTGAAGCCTTAGCTTTATTACAAGTTTACTCTGCTGCGACTGCCATATCTGCTTGCCTCGTCGCTCCTTCCTCGACATTCGGGGGTGAGGGGTCGGTCCGACTCTCGTAGACCCTCCTGCCCTCAAACCATGTCTCCCTGACTTTCGCATTCAGCAGCTCCTCACCCTTCCATTCTGTGTCAATGACGGTGAAGTCGGCCATCTTGCCAACCTCCAAGCTGCCTACTCTCTCCTCAGCGAAGCAAGACCAGGCTGCCCCACTGGTTGCTGCACTGACGGCCTGCGCCAGCTCTAGTCTGAAGTTTCCGTTCACGGGTACATCACCCGCGTCAGGCTGCCTGGCTGATTTACGTGTCGTCGCAACATACAAATTCGGCAGAGGTGCGTACGGAGCAGTAGGTGAGTCCGTACCAACAGCTAGCACTGCACCGTGGTCTGCAAACTCGGAGTATGCAAACGCACGCTTCACCCGCTCCGGTCCAAGCAGCTTAGGCCATGCACGAAGGATTGCAGGATCCGAATGCACGGGTTGAATGCTTGCTGTTATACCTAACTGACCGAGTCTTCTTGCATCCTCAGGGGCTGTGAGCTCGAGGTGCTCGATACGATGACGCTGTCCTGGTTGGCCATGCTTCTCCAGAACATTGACAGCGTTGGTCACAGCCTGATCACCGATGGCATGCAGTGCACATTGTAGACCAGCGTCAGCTGCCTTCTTCACCACCGGGCCGAGCATCTCTGGCGTCCAAATCGGTCCTTCGAAGTGGCCGTTATTGGTATACGGCTTGGCCAGGGCTGCAGTACAAGCATCAATCACGCCATCACAGATAACCTTGATACCGACAATACGGAGATCAGGGCTTGTACTGTTGTTGAATTGCCGATTCAGTTCAATCGTACGCTCGACCTGCCGCAAGCGGTCCTCTTCCCCATCGCCAGGCAGGATGCACCAATGAGCCGCAATACGAAGAGGCAAGGAGCCACCCTTGCTTTTCCTCAGCTCGAGAACAGCCTCCCAAGCATTCTCATCCATTGCCATGTCAATGCAACTGGTAGTTCCTACGGCATGGTATGCGTCGATCGCTGCTTGCAACGCGGCTGTCTTGTCTTCCATTGGTAGGACCTCCGCAAGATACGGCCATACTATCAGCAATACGCACGCCTCAGCCAGCAAGCCCGAAGCCTTGCCGTTCGCGTCTCGCTCTATAATGCCTCCGGCTGGGGTCTCCATATCCTGTACGCCCATCTCTTTCAAAGCAGCACTGTTGCACCACACGGAGTGGATATCCTTCGAGTCGATGTAGATAGGCCGCGGGTCCAGATCATCGAGCAGGCTTGCCTTCGCCTCACCATTGGTCATACTATGCATCCAACCCATGCACAAGATCCTCTCCTTGTGTGGGTTCTCTTTTGCATACTTCGAGATCCTTGACCGGATCTCCTCCAGATCCTTGGATCCATCCAGATTGACCTTGTGAAGCGATTGTCCCAGCATCAGGAGATGCATGTGTGCATCGATGAAACTCGGCAGAATATGCCGACCTTGGAGATCCATGAGTTCGACACCACTTTCTTGATTGAAGAACTTGATCTCCGGAGCATCGTCAGATCCAATGAAAGCAATCTTGCCGTCCCGTACGACCATGGTCGAGTGCCATTGTGCGTCAGCAGTGAAAAGGCCATCATGGAAGAGGCGACCATTGGTGAAAATCTGTGTCTTGCTCTGGGCGCTCATTGTTGCGGTGTTCGAGTCGCACTGTGGAGTGAGGGGGTGTCATATCAGATCAAGACTTATCTAATACCGGTATCGGAGATCCAAAGTGCGGCCGACCGATGGTGTGCGCCGTTAGCCGCGAATCCACGCCCTGCGCCCCGCGCTCACATCTTGGCCACAGCAATTCCTTCTGCGGAGTTAGGGTACTTGTTGTGGATGCTGTGATTGCAAATTTCGATGCTACTGAGACGGAAACAAGACAAGATGAGATTACCCCACTGTAGCCTCCGGTGTACGCCGGTGAAATGAAGCTTAGCCAATCATGCGGCTTCGCGCTTATCGCTTATGACCCGCATGGTACTGACTCTTAATTATAGAGCCAGTCGTGTCATCGCTGTTGTCAAACTTGTGACCTCCTTTTGAGCTCCCTACTACAGTCATCAAACATGGCAGCAACACTTGTCGACCCAGCACCTACTCGGGACTCTACAACGTTCAAGGAGGCTCGTGAGGGTGCGGAAGCATATCTACAGGCGCGGCTTGCGGCAAAAGCTCCAGTCACAGATGAGGAGTTTCAAGTACCTGTCATTGACATTTCATCGTCCTTCTCTGGCTCGATTCTCGAACGGCAAAGAGTCGCAGCCCAAATCCAGAAGGCCTGCACAACATCCGGCTTCTTTTACATCACGAACCATGGCGTCTCTAAGGCAGCCCGCAATGGTATCTTGCACCAGGCTGAGCGCTTTGCACACCAATTGAGTCCAGAGCAGAAAGAGAAGTTACACACCAAGCACAGTAAACTGGGACTTGGATGGGAGCCAAGCGAGTACACGTCCCTGGCTGGCGATCTGGAGACCAAAGAAGGATTCAACTTCGCCTACGAAGCAGCCATGGATAGGACAGGTGGCGATGGCAAGTACACCAACCTGGATGGTACAACCAGGAATGGTAATCTCTGGCCGAAAGAAGAGGACCTGCCTGGCTTCTACGATGCTGTGAAGGAGTACTATGGCGGAGTAGGTCCAACAGTACCCATTCTCTAATTGATGAATTAATTGAAGACAGGTTCTTGACCTTGCGCGGCACCTATTTCGCCTCTTTGCGTTGTCTCTTGGCCTCGAAGAGACTTACTTCGACCCCATGACTACACACCCAGGCGGCATAGCTCGCTTACTTTACTATCCACCACCCCAAACACCACTGCCAGCGACCCTTAAATCCTCATCCGAGGAAGCCATTGGGCTCGGCGCACATACAGATTACGAGTGCTTCACCCTGCTGCTCTCCTCCTCAGTTCCGGGTCTCGAGATCCTCAAACCATCTGGGCACTGGCATATTGCTACTCCGCCGCCAGACTCCTTTATCGTCAATGTTGCGGACTTTTTGATGCGCTGGACTAATGGGCTGTACAAGAGCACCGTGCACAGGGTAGTGAACAGGGGTACCGAGGCTAGGTACAGCGTGCCATTCTTTTTCAGCGTGAACTATGATACCTCGGTCGAGACTCTACCGACTTGTCTTGCTGAGGGAGAGGAGAGTCCGTGGAAGCCGATTAAAGCTGGAGAGTATATTCTGGAGAGACTGAATGCTACAACGAAGGACGGGGCGGGGTTCTTTGGGAATGAGAACTTTGTCGATGGTAACGAGCCTAATTTGAACGCCTACTAGACGACTCATCAATCTAGGAGAAGATTATTGCTTCAACAAATTTGCTGTTCAGGCTTCCTTCCATTTCTCAAATCCGATTACGGCAAGGCGCGCTATAGTAGCGGCGTCGGCGTTAAGTCCCCGCAACTCAGATTTATCGGTCTTATTATACCAACTAATTCTCCAACTTCTCATTACAGATCTTGAAGTAGCATACTCGCGCGCTCAATATCAAAATCACCGATACATCTGCCCTTTGCATGTTCGTACAAGGGACGCAAAGCGAGATGACATCGGCTGGAGAGGTAGCGACCTGCTCTCGTTGTCGCCAAACGAAGCGGAGATTTGACAAGGCTAAACCAAGCTGTAGGCACTATGAGCGTGGAGGTATTGTTTGTACCCCCGGTGAAGACCAACAAGCCGAACGAGACCAGTCACAAGGAGTTTATGGTGGGTCTGACCTTGGGTACCCGAAACGCAACCGACCATGCATCTCGTGTGATTGATGTCATCATCTTAAGATCGAATGTGATCAGAGGGAACCCTGTCTACGTTGCTCCCGATCCGGGCTACAATGCTCGTACACGCACCGGCCCAAGCCGCCACATAACAAGCCGCCACAACGTCCACAGCAATCCAAGTCAGCTTCAGAAGAGTCGTAGAATCAGGAGATCCCTTTTTTGCTGATGGAAGACGATCATGAGTTTGTGGTCGCGACTTGGTTCCTTCGAAAGCAAGGATCGACTCATCACAGAGCCATACCATGCTCTACCTACTAGTGTCTTATAATGCCACTTTCGGGAGCAATCTCACGCTTTTGAAGTACTTCTATCGGTCATCTTCTGTCTCGCCGCATACACACTTGCTGACTCAACCATACATGTTAGAATTCTTGACTACTGCCTTCATCACCTGTATGATGTTGCTGTCTTCGAGCGGGTCTTTTTCGTCCTAGATGAATTTTGGGGACACTGGACTCAGTGAATGCAGACAGCAACGCTGGACGCTCTTATACGCTGCATGGACATTCTTGCCAGCGATAACAGGAAAGTTCTATGCTTCACCACTGGGTTCAAACAATTGCAAACGGTGTTCGCGCTCACTCTGAAGAATTATCGGCCTGGAGCTGTGCCAGACATATGTCAGTAAAGGGTTAAGACGCACTGAGTGTCAAAATTCATACGTGCAGCAAGCGACTGTGTGTAAGTATGGCGGCCAGTCATATACATCTCACTCCAACAAAGTTTGGGGGGCGGACGGACGCGGTCGCGGCATCTGTGACAGGAACAGTTACAAAAGCTCGCTTCGGCATATCCAGCCCGCTACCACCTTCCAAAAGACATTCGGACTACCGAAAATGCGAATGGTCGATCGAGAATGCAGCTGTGAAGCACGGAGTCGAATGCCGCGTTTGCGCTTGTTCGTGGCGTCGCCCTGTCTACGTTTCAAATCGCGACCAACGTCATGGCCGGCGCACATTATAACATGCCTATCGCGCTGATTGAGGAGATGTTTAATCTCGCATTATATCTTCGCATCCATATCCCTAGCAAGACCGCGTCTCTGCCAACAACACTAGGCAGATGTCACACCAACAGCACCCAACTTACTATTGAATCGACGCAAAGCATACGACATGTTGACCAACCGCCGCTCAACCATGCCTGTAAAGCATAGTCGTAGGCCTAGCTGGTATGCAGGCTCCAAAAAGACCAACTCCGCTCTCCCTACATACTCCATCGACAACACACCCAAGAGCCTCACCCCCGCAATCCTCACATGCACAACATCAAGTCTGCCTGGCTACACAATAACGCGCCTGGTTGGCGCTATCCATGGAACAGCATCTTTCACCCACAAAATTCCTTCGTCCTTCATCAAGTCGCTTTCGAGCAGCATCACCGGCTCTTGTGGTGAACCAAAGCCATTGACGCAGATTTTATACCAAGCTCGAGACCAGGCGATTGAGAGGCTGACAGCAGACGCGATCGAGAAGGGCGCGAACGCTGCTGTCGGTCTGCAGATAAGAGAGACTGAGGTGATGGGGTGTGTCGTAGTCAGTGTGAGTGCGACAGCATGTCTGGTCGAGAAAGAGAGGGACGGCGTGAAGAGGGACAGCGCGCAAGAATCTCCCTTCGGGTGAGTCCATTGGTGTTGGGAGAGAGTGGAAGAGCAGGTGGAAAGCCCAGAAGCACTATGCGGCGATGAAAGGAGCCAGAAATCGGCATTAGGATCACGCTTCAATCATTCAACGGCTGCTGGACAGCCGTTCAGACTTCAAGTCATGTATACAGCAAGTTAATTCATATCTTTGCGCACTTCCAAGGCAGCCGATGATTCGACAGTCGAAGATTCTCCATCGGCAAATAAGTCTCACGGTTGGATGCGTTTATTGAAACAAGCGACGGGCTCCAGAAGCCTTGTTGAGCCGTCAACGAACAGCTTGAAATAGCAAAGGAAAGATCTGCGAAAGATCTGAAGACGACGAGGATTGTGTAGAGCACCATGGGGGCCGGAAGAATTGCAAGGGCAAGTTCATCAGGAGCGCCTCCTCCGTTCCCGAACAGGCAAGAACCAACCGGTGCCACGCGGAACAGAACAACAAACACACATCTTCAACCATCCACCCCGAAATAAGCCTTACCTCTTTAAGTCACGGAACGGTGAAATGACACTCAGGTACAGCCGAACGCATATTATATCTCGCCAAAGCCTAACGTACATCACGGCTCCAGCATGGTCTTGCCGTTAGTGCTCGCCGCTCGCCCGGTTGAAGACGAGTATAAGAACGAAGTGTCGAGCCTGTGGCGCTACACTGCAGCAGAGCTATCATCACTATGTTCTTCAAATCCTTCGGTCTGCTGCTCACAGCAGCGCATACTGCACACTCCCTCAGTTCCAACCTGACTCAAGTTTTCGACTTTGGGCCCAATCCACGGAATGTTACCGGCTACATCTACGTGCCGGCCAATCTTCCCAAGAACGCACCAATCCTCGTTGCACCTCATTGGTGCCACGGTACTGCTCAAGATGTCTTCAACTACCGCTCTTGGGCATCTGCAGGTGATCAATACGGCTTCATCTCGATCTACCCGGACACTCCTAGTGCCACGGACCAATGCTGGGATGTTTCAAGCAAGCAATCACTTACGCACAACGGTGGCGGTGATGCACTGGGCATTGTGTCGCTGGTCAAGTATGTCATCAAGAAGTACGACGCCGACGCCTCTCGAGTCTTCGTCACAGGCACAAGTTCCGGTGCCATGATGACAAATGTGCTGCTCGGCAGCTATCCGGATTTGTTTGCTGCAGGCAGTGCATGGGCGGGTGTCGCATTCGGATGCTTCGCGGGTGATGGCTACGGTGTGTGGAGCGATGCGTGTGCGACAGGCAAGATCATCAAGACTGGACCAGAGTGGGCGAAGATTGTCAAGAATGCGTACCCAGGGTACAACGGATTCAGGCCGAAGCTGCAGGTCTTACACGGATTGAACGATACAATCCTGTATCCTCAGAATTTGCAGGAAGAGATCAAGGAGTGGACAAGTGTGTTTGGCATCAGTGACAAGCCTAAAGAGGTCACTCCCAACACCCCGCTGCCAGGCTGGACGAAGTACACATATGGCAAGACTGGGAAATTTGAGGCATATAGTGCTGCGGGAGTCGACCACAACATCCCTAACCAGGATGACTTGGTGCTCAACTACTTCGACCTCAAGTGCAGAGGCAAAAAGTGCTACTCCAGGCGGAGTGGCTAAACACTGACAACTGGTTCGTTATTTTGCTTTGAATAGAACGCAACCATAAGATATGGCGATCCTCAATGGTGATGATGTCCCTCGTGATCATGATCGTCTTCTTCCACCGATGCCCACTCAGCCCAGTAACCATCATCCCACAACTCCTGCAGCTTCTCTTGCTTGACCTCCGCATCGGTCTTCCCATCAAACATGACCTTCTCCCACTTCCTCATCTCCGCCCTGCTCAGAAGACACGCGTCGAGCATCTTCGTCAAGCCCTCGACGTCCAAGCCCTCACCAATAAAGACTAGCTCCTGTCTTCGATCGCCCCACTCGCCTTCGAAGTCCTTTCGAATAGCGGCCACAGTTTCGGCATCCGCATTCCAGTCTTCCTCAGGCATGCAGCAGAACCACGCCATCTCAGAGCCGAGGGTGAGCATGGCACCGGCGGTCGACCAAGAGCCCATCTGGAAGGGGCGGGTCGCGAGCCAGAAGATGCCCTTGCTGCGGTGCAGACCGGCGAAGTAAGGTGAAGCTTTCTTGCTTGCAAGGATCTCTTTGTCGGACATGGGAGGCTTGTCCTCGCCGCCGTCGGTTATCTTGTCGGAGTCGGACCCTGCCGAGGCCGTGTCCTCGTCGGATGCGGAGCCGGCGCTGCTTGCATTATTATCATCATCCTCACCCTCGTCTTCATCTTCGTCTTCCTCCTCGTCGTCTTCAGGCTCTTCTTGAAGCAGGATGAACTTTCCCTCGATAAGGCGGTAGAGTTTGAGAGGATCGAAGGGGCGACGAGCGCGGTAGACAAAACTACCAATGCCGTACTCGAGGGTCTCTGGCTTGGGCGCTACGCGTTTTCTGCCCTGGACATCCATGACGGTCATCTCGTGCAGACTCCTCAGCCAACCCGGGCTGGCGACTGCTTCGGCGAAGTTGAAGACACCCGTATTTAGCATCTCTTTGACATCGACCTTGGAGAACTTCGACTCGATGATCTTTGCTGTGGGGTTCAGTGTCTTGACATATGCTCTGACTCTGCCTAGTGTCGACTTGTCGACAGCATCAATCTTGTTGATGATGATCACGTTGGCGAATTCGATTTGGTCGGCGAAGAGGTCGGAGATGGTGCGTTGGTCTTCGTCTGGTACTTCTTCGCGGCCGAAGCGGTCTTGGAGGAATTCAGCGGTATCGAACTCGGAGAAGAAACGGAAGGCATCGACGACTGTGACCATGGTGTCGACGCTGGCAATTGTCTTTAGACCACCAAGCTTCGCTCTGAGAAAGACGTGAGCTTTCGATTCCAGAGGTCATCTCAATTAGAGAAACTTACACTTTGGCAAAGATCTCCTTCTCCTCAGTCTCCATCCCCTCGGCATCAATCATAGCCTCAGTGAGTTCCGTAGTGAATGTCTCCGCCACTTGCTGGGGCTCGCTGATACCAGAGCTCTCGATAACGACGTGATCAAATCCAGCGTCACTCCAGGCTAGCCTTGCCAATTCAGTGAGCAAATCAGATCGAAGCGTGCAGCAGATGCACCCGTTCTGCATTTGTATAACCTTCTCCTTGATACGGATCTCCCCATCGTCTTTCTTGCTTCTTGATTCCGTCGATCGTGTTACGAGATTGGCATCGACATTGACGGCTGCCATATCGTTCACTATCACGGCGATGCGCAAACCATGGTCCGGTGACTGGAGGATGTGACGAAGAAGGGTTGTTTTCCCACTGCCCTGCTAGGTGTTAGATCATGAGAAAGGTTGACGCAAACGCTGCTTGCCAGAAACCCTGAGAGGACTGTCACAGGCAGTGGCCCGACCCTTGCTCTCTTATCTTGAGCTTTTGGCTTAGAGCCACCAGTCTTTCTTCGCTTTGAGGGTGCCATTGTGGTTTTTGGAAGTAGGTTTGTCACCAGAAAATGTCAGTGAGATGTTCCAGAAGCCTTTCATGCAAATTATAGCACCTTGTTGTCATTTATAGTTTCCAGCTCGCCGTTGTGCGCCCGTCCAATTGAGCACCTCGATGGCTAGGTCGCATCATCACGAAACAATGGCACATCATTGGCCGAGTGCTCATTCAACTCAGTCAAAAGGGTCAACAGAATACTCTTAAATGCGCTAGATGGATAGATGGAGTAAAAGAGGATAAGAAGAGTCCTTGCGGACGAATCCAATGTGGGGTTGGCATGGGCCAGCTAGCGGGCAAGCGTATACAGAACTTTGCTTTGACGACACAGAAGAAGCGACCATGGGTAGAAGGTAATGGATGTGAAAACAACGCCGCAAATTTTTTTTAGGTGTTCAAGCTGAATTGATGGCGGGTTTCAATCGAGGATTGAGCTTCGAGGAAGTCGTGACAGTGACGAGGGGCGGAGTTTTAACACAATAACCTGTCCAGTCTGATTATAAGAGATAATTGACTTGCATCTGAGCTTACATATCTCGAGCTAATTCTGCAAATTGTCAGAGTTGTGGGCTTGCACCAGACGCCCATATACACTTGTGGTCATGGGAAGATCGCTGGTCTGCGACTAAGGCTGTCGTAAGAATCATTGTGCGACGTTCGAGATCAAGCCATTTTAATGATGGTATTCCTCGTCCTGTGTCGAAAAGTAATGTTGATGAACCCTCGGCGGAAGATTGACGTTTGATGATCGACGGACAGAACAAGTCGCGGTGGAAAGAAGAGCGTCGCACTTGCTAGCGCCGGTGACGTCACCCACTCAATTATTCTTTGGGGTCTTTGAACATTCCAATTTTTGCCTATCAACGTGGGTTCTCCCTTCCCCTGCAGATCTCGACTGCTCTGAGTATCGTTTTTTGTTTCCTTCTTGTTTGATTGCCTGCAAATCAAACCCATGACAAGAGCTGCCATTGTTTCTGGGTCTCCTCGCTTTCCGTTGGCCGTGTCCCCTGCTCTACTGGCTTCTTGGCCAGGTCACCACTCGCTATTCCCCTGCTCTGGTTGCAGGATATCGACTGGACTCGCCCCCTGCCCCTCACCGCCAGCAATCTGGAGTGGGCCCCAGATCGCTAAATTGATCCATGCGATCACCGACGATCTACGCAAGGCCGCGTGCATCTCTGGGCAAGCCAAGCAGACAAGTCGGCGCACATTTACAACTCCAAACATAGCGCCTCCTTTGTGGGCTCTGATAACACAAATAACATCCGGCATTTTGATGTTTCTGACCTGTTTCTGAATAGTTTGAGGCTCCGAGCCATATTCAGCCTCATGATGGAATGATAAGTAAGCCCTACTAAGGTTTCGATTCAGCCTGGCCCTCAAGTTTGTTTTCGTCCCATGCACGCCCAGCACTCGGCCATTCTCAAAACGTCATCCGAGGCGAACCATCGACGGGTCGTGGGTATACCCGGTCGATGTCTCTTGAGGATGCTTGGTGTTGTCGTGGTTGCCTCTAGGCGGTACCAGATAATTGGTCGAGGAAGGGTCACAGCATTGATTGTGGGTTTGCGGACCGTGGGACGCCAGACGTCACACGCAGCTCGAGGCTGGTATATATTGATCAACGGATCTGCTCAACAGAGTCATCTTCAACTTCGCAAGTCGCTCAATCTACTACATCAGGCACTGCATCCCCATTCTCCCTTACGACAATATCAAAAACATCACTCTCACCATCGACCACCACAGAAGATTAATATGCGCTTTGCAATCATCATTGCGTCAGTCATCGCAGGACTTGCCACGGCACTGCCAGACCCAACACCTCAAGGGTACACCGGGCCCTGCTCCAAAGATAATTGCGGCGTCAATGGCCTCCAGTGTCGAAGCTTGTGTGTCCCATGGCCTTCCACAGATCCTGACTTGAGGAAAGGCTGCACATGTAGCTCTGGCTGAGCAGTAGATTAAACGGTGAGTAGGCATACCTTTTTCTTAGTTTGTACAGTGGCTGATACCTTAAAAGCCAACGTGGGCATCGAATTTAGCGTCAATCAGCATCTATAATAGAGTCAAATAACGGGTATTATAAATTATTGAACGCAAACAGCACAGGTCTGCTCATGAACACCCAATCGTCGTTACGCTCACTCCCATTGTCCCCATCTAACTTATCATAGTCTACTGAACTTACAGTGTGCCTGATATGCAGTCTGTCGATAAGAGTTCCATGGAGCTTCAGCGATGGTTGTGCTTTAGAGGTGGCTTTGCTCCTACCTCGTTACGCTTAGTGCGATCTGTGTCCAATTCAACCGCCGCGGCCTTTGCGGCATCCCTTTTCCTTCTTCGCTCCTATTTACAAGTATCCTTACGACACCGACACGGGTTCTCATCATTGAACCATGTTTTGTTATAGAACAAGGTGATCTGATCACCGGGCTCTGAATCCTCTGTTGCCACTATGACAACGATGCGATGATGCATTCCGTAACGCATCTGCACGGCTTTGGTATTGGGTTCGCATGAATGGTTCGTGGGACGGAAGACAGGCCCTCTCCTGGTTGCGTGAAGCCGACATGTGAGCTGCGGTAATGGAATGTCAGGAACACGTGGGCCAGCATTGATCGCCATGTTGTAGCTAGCCAGGTCGTCGTTTTAGTCGCCAAAGAAAGGAGCGATCAGACCTGTGTACTCATCGAAATGCGTACCTTCTGGGATAGACTTCCTCGCATACAAAACCGAAGCCACTCTGGCGGCTGTTCCAAATGCAGATGTTGTTGTGCCAGAAGCCGAGGGCTCGACTCATCCACCCAGACAATGCATGGTCAAGTCCTGTCTTGCCGGGCGTGTCAGGGTCGTCACACTCGGCGCAGGACTCGCATATACTCCTGCATCCGATCAAGTCGTTCACCATACGGTGCGGCCAATCGCTCCTGCTCGAATCTTTTGGCAACTTAGGACCGTCTTGCCACGCCTGTTCTTATGTGTCGTTGTGCAACAGGAGCGTACTGTAAAACGTTTTTCCATCAATGATTTGGGGTAGTTATCTGGCTTGTGAAATACCGTGCTTTTGATACTCAACAAATCTATCCTGAGTATACTCTGGGTAGTATTCTTCCATCTCGCGCAGTATGTCGAAGATAGCTTTGCTCTGAGTCACCATTGTGCCAATTGATGGCTGCCCGGATGCGTGGTATGCGTCGTGATGATCAGATGTGTTGGACTCAGTTCAGTGTAAGCGGGCGATAGTTGGATTATAAGATCGTGCAAAAATAGAGGTCATCCCGTGAGCTCTTCTCCACGGTTACCTGTAATAGACTGTGATGTAGGCCCTTCATGCTCTTCGTCGCTGAGCTTTGTTCGATTGTTCGTCTCAAGGGCACTGTGCAAGACAGCGCTTCAGACATTGCAGCGCGCGAAGCAGAGTTGTATCCCGTTGTTATTGATCTCTTCGCCTCGCGTCGTAGAGTAAATGGCAGGCGCGTAGCCTTATCGATAGCTACCTACCGGTAGCGTAACCGAGGCGCTTCCAGGCATCACCATCGTCAACCATCACTCCAACCCCGCAAACCCTCAAATACTCATAGATCCAACATGGCAAATGACAACAACGAAGACCCTCAACGAAAACCGGGTCGCCCCGAAGACAACCCCTTCATCGCCTTTCGCCGTTACGCCGACTCGCAAGTGTCATCGCTGCTGAACACCATCTTCACGCTTCCCGCCCAAATCGCCAACTACAATAACGCGCACCATGCGCGAGAACAATGTTTGTTTGGGAAAGCAGATCCCAAGAAATGCGAGGAGTTGCAAGCTCTAGAGTCGCATAGCGAGAAGCTTCGTCGTGAAGGGACAGAATCGTACCGTGCTGGTGACGTGCATGCGGTTCTCATGAAGGGCGAACAGCTCATGGTGTTGGAACAGCAGGCTGGCGAATTGAGGAGGGCTATTTTGAACGATGCAGAGGATTCGAGGCGTAATTCACACCAACAGAAGCAGCTGGTGGAGAAAGTAGGCAACAAGAGAGGGCAAGAGTGGTCAGATAGCTGGGACTGGCCAGAGCCGACTTGTGAAGACGATGTCGATGACAATGGGTTTGCCAGATGGCTCGAGAGTCGTGCAAAGAGAGCCGGTGGCGAGCTCGAACGAATGTTTACAAGATTGGAAGAGGACGCAAGCAAGGTGTTCGGCAAGGAAATTGAGGAGCTGCATCGGCACTGGGCCGCCCGCTACGATGACACACATCGGCACGAAGATGCACAAACTCGCAATTGGTCCCGGTCGTGGTCATGGCAGTGGCTACCACCAGGAGATGCACCGAAGCACGGAGATTCGAATGCTACGAGAAACCCATACTCTCCCTCAACACTGGAAGCGGACGAGCGAACTAAACACATGGGCAGCCTGTGGCGCAACGCATTTGAAGATCTTATGCGTACTACGCAAGAGAATCCGCTGTTATCAGATGCGCAGAACTCGGACTTCGATCAGATGGGGTTATGTCCTCTGCGAGAGTACGCGAAAGAGCTTAAGCAGCTGGAAGAAAGCAATAAGAGGGAGTCAACACGAAATATCACACACGACGAACCGAGCTACGAGTACGCCCACGATCATGAGGATCAGCACGATGACCCACCAACGCCAAAGCCTCAGCAGAGTACACTTGCAGGGAATCCATCAGCAGCGCATCCCAATACAGAAACTGAGCTAGACGCTTATGAGCGACTGCTCACGACACAAGCCAACCCTTCGCCGTTGAGCTCTGAGAGTAAGCCGACTGTCCTCTCCACACTGACAACCACGGAACGCATGACTGCAACTGACGGCACCATCACTACCAAGGTTGTCCTGAAGAAGCGATTTGCAGACGGTAGCGAGCAAAGCTCCGAAACGATTCACACTCAGCGGGGCGAAGATGCCCACCAGACTGAGGGCCCATGGAGGGCAATGCAGAGCACACAATCGGCGCTGGATCAAAACCGGAAACCTCAGAAGAAAAGCGGCTGGTTCTGGTCGAACTAAATATGGGGGGCTATCTTTCATGTTGGCGTTGTTGGGTTTTACAGGCGTTGGCAAGCGACATACCCCTCTCAATCGTTCAATCGACACATTTGTTCAGAACAACAACTCCATTCCGTGAAAGGCCGAATAATCACTTTTCAAGCAGTGTTTGTCGCGCAATCACCGCGCATATATAGCTCGCTGTAGCGAAGGGTCTCTATTATGTCGTAGTTCGACTTCCAGTCTCCAAGCATTGATGTCGGGCCCTCTACGAAGCTGACTGTCACTCGAGCACTCCGACTCATCATCTACGATTATCTTCCTAGCAAGATCACCACACCACTCCTCTTTACACTGCGGATCCGATTGAATCTCCCTACTGAGCTACGGTGGATAGCATGCGTCATGTTGGCCATACTGTCAGAGACGACGTCGATGGTCTCCACGCAACCGCCGCCAGGGAGCTCTATGCGCACTCACAGGGGCGGCTGGCGCCCCGGGCTTCATATGGTTCCGCGAAACTCAGGTATTGAGAGCCTTTGGACAAATCTACCACACTTTTCCCATTCATTCGCTCGGCATTCGCACGAAGATCAGCAATGGGGACAGTGGCGTTGACGAAGTCGATCAAGCGCCAACATCTGAACCAGAATTCGATAGCGATACTTGGGATGCAGAGCGATGGCGCAACCGGCACAAGCATGTAAGTGGCCACGCACAGTATGCGATTCTTAAAAAATCGTCAAAGCGGACACGCCATTTAAGCACCACGAAGCCCGATGCTACAGCCAATCCACTAAGCGGCGCAACACCACAATAGTAAGTTCGTCGATTCGACCGCCCACTAGTCGCTCTTGCCATCGGCGGCCAGTCGCTCTTGCTACAAATCACGTACACGAAGTGCAAATGGACTTCTGAAAAGTACACTCAGCTCAGTCCCCCGAAAATGCATGCAGGTTCAGGAGAATCCTGGCTTCGTCGTGTTGCCAAAGGGAAATTGGTATCGTCATATATCTCCCTTCCAGTATTTGTTCGAATGATCAGATCTTCCAACGACCACCAACAGAGCAGCATTATGGTCAGGAATTTGAGCAATACATTGGTACTTACAAGGTGCCGCGAAATGCAACGGACTTCGTCCGCGATGTGGCAGCGTCAGACCAAGCCACAGTCGAGCAGTCCTCGACATCGTCGGAGATGCTGGGGGTGAAAACGGAGTTCGTTAATGACACTCTTACTGAACAGCACATAGCTACACGCCAGCGAGAGGAGGGTACATGCAGATGATTATGGCGCAATTTCGAAGGACAAGCCCCTGATTTGCTTGACCACATAGATATGTACATTCTAACACTTTGCGCGGATGGCGCTCGTGTTCAGCTTTACGGAGTAGCCTTGGTCATTGAACTGAATACTTTCTCCGCAGCCTATACGACGATGACGTCGCATTACCCGATTATCCCATGTGGAGGGCCTTATATATAGTTCAATACTGCCCCTTCGCATGCAATGGACCGATTCGACCAGCTTGCGTCTCCTCACCTACCGATCTGGGTTCCACAATGCCAAATCTCATCTTCTTGCGTCTCAAAGTCTTCCTCTTGTTGGTCGCAGTTGTATTGGCGTCTGAAATCACGTCCTTCACTGACGCCAAATGCACACGCTCATGGCGTGCGCTCAACACCGTCAACGGATACCCGGATGGGCTGTGCAAACCTCTCAACGTGGCACAAGGCCAAAGCTTCCAGGTTCAAGAGCTGGATCGAGGCTGTGCAGGTATGTTTCGAATTATTGCTGAGTGGAGTGGGCCTGATTTGCGCAGTGACTTTGTACGGCGAAAATGAGGGCCCATTAGTGTGCTCGAGTGCGATCAAGATCGTCGGCCACCTCGCTACCTGCTATGACTCGTCATGGGTGTATTACTCGATCGACGGCTGTTTGCCGCCCACCTCTTCGAGCGCAAAAGTGCCTTCGACCAAACCAACGGCAATCGGTCCCCCTGCAACGAAAAGCGCAAGCGCGACGCCGGAGCCAAACGACCACACAGAAGTCATCATTGGATTCTCAGTCGCAGGACTATCATGTGTCATCCTGAGTCTCACCGGAGCGTTGCTCATTGTGCGCCGACGACGAAGAGCCCCTTCTGCAGACGACACGCATGAGCTCTCAGAGGATCAAGCGCGTGCAGAATCAGACGCAGCTGCGGAGAAACAACATCCTAAAGAATTGTGGGGCGATCATGCGGCGGTCGAGATTGGGCGAAATAGTCGGTTCGAAGGGTTGATGCGGGAATCGCGGCCTGTAAGAGGGGTGAATCCTTTGATACAAGTCCATTGTGTCCCATGAACAGACAACGTAGTCAACATGATCGTAGCCAAGTGTTAGTGTATGACGAAGAGATAATCTGTTGAACGGAGTGTCGTTTTCGTGGATCGTCTGTCAATTTGGTACTGCTCAAGGCATTTGGGTCAGCTGACTTCACGCTGCTTTGGTAGCACGCTAACTTACTGAACGGCTATAGAGCCCTTTCCTCCACCCTCACTTCTGCGAACCTGCATTTTTTCTCATTTCGTCAAACTTTTTCGAACACCGTCAACGCCAGGTCTGACCCCAATCTTGCAAACCATAGGATGATGTGGCTAGTATTTGGGCTTAAGCCAGAAGATCGGCAACGTTCATGGGCATCTCATCAATCTGTGTAGAGTAGTACACTGCATGTTGTTAGCGATGCTTTCATCGTTTCAACATATTTGACTTACACTCTATGTCGCGGAGAATGCGGACATCGTCCTGGGTGACGAAGTTGATGGCGACACCCTTGCGTCCAAATCGACCGGAACGGCCGATTCTGTGTATATAGTTCTCACGGTTAGAAGGCAGATCATAGTTGATGACCAAAGACACCTGCTGAACGTCGATACCACGAGCCCAGACATCGGTCGAGATCAGCACACGTGAATTTGCCTGACGGAAATCCTGCATAATACTGTCACGCTCTCTCTGAGGCATGTCTCCGTGCATTGACGAGACTGTGAAGTTGGCCTCACGCATCTTGTCTGTCAGCCAGTCGACCTTTCGGCGTGTGTTGCAGAAGATGACGGCTTGTGTGATGGTGAGTGTGTCGTAAAGATCGCATAGGGTGTCAAACTTCCACTCCTCCTTCTCAATAGCGATGAAGTACTGCTTCAAGCCTTCCAGAGTCAACTCGTCACGCTTGACGAGAATGCGAACGGGATCGGTCATGAACTTGGTGGTCATCTCCAAAACATCGTAAGGGAGTGTGGCAGAGACCACGACGACCTGTGTCGCAGGAGGCAGGTAGCGGTATACGTCGTAGATCTGCTCGCGGAAACCACGGTTGAGGAGCTCGTCGGCCTCATCGAGAACGAGCATCTTAATGTTGCGCGTGCGCAAGTTGCGGCGACGAATCATATCTGCAACACGTCCGGGTGTCCCAGACACAACGTGCTGGCCATAGTCGAGCTTGCGGATATCCTCGCCAACGTTTGTGCCTCCAATACAGGCGTGGCACTGCACGTTCATGTAGTCGCCTAGACCCATGATGACCGATTGGATCTGGGTCGCAAGTTCGCGAGTGGGTGAGAGAACAAGCGCTATCACGCGTGAGTTACAGCTTGCCATACGTATGAATCACCGCGTACCCTGTGTCTCGCGCACTGCTGTGTCGATAACCTGGAGGATCGAGATGGAGAAGGTCGCGGTCTTTCCCGTTCCAGACTGCGCCTGCGCAATGGTGTCGCGACCTTTGCAGACCTGCACAATTGCACGTGACTGCACAGCTGAGGGCGATTCGTATCCGTAGGCGTAAATACCGCGCAGAAGGTTTTCTTTCAGGTGCATGGCCTCAAAGGTAGGGGCCACCGTGACCTCCTTGGAGGTGGAGAATTCCATCTTGTCGTCCGCATTTCGATCGATTCCGTCCGCCATACTGTCGGTCGTGTACGTGTTAATTTGCTTCGGGGTCGGTGGTGAAGTGAGGGTGCAGTAATGATACGCAAGAAAGTTTGGTGGAGCTGCCTGCGGAGACGGCTTCTCGGCGAAACCCTGCTTAGCGTGCTTTTCGACTTTATCTGAGCGCGTCTCCACCTCGAATGCGCCAACATCCACGCCGCTGAAGGTACTTAGCTTACACTTACCTATCTGCTACCATACAGAAGACTCATTTCAGATACAGGCGATCGCAAACATGCTTCTGGACGAACAGCGCCAGATCCACGAGGACCTTGAGCGCCTCGAGGATGCCGTCGCAGAGCGTCTTCTCGAAGACCCTCCACACGTGAGTACTCAGGGTGCGCCCGCTCGTACCTAACTAATCATCCCTAAATAGATTCGCGACCGTCTAGCACGTGATCACGACATTGCGCGATTCCTCGAGCAGCTGGAAACCCAGTCTAGCCGATTACTAGCCATCTACGAAGATGCCGAAGGCAAAAGGGACGAAGAGGTGCGCAACCTCACGCACGGCGACCCCATGGAATCTTTCATGAAGGAGATCAGCAACATCAAAGACTTCCACCGTCGATACCCGAACGAGCCTGTCGAGAATCTTGAAAAGGCCTACAAGAAGCGGTCACCTGAAGACCAAGCTCAGTCGATTGCCGCCATCGATTCCATGTTCACTGGAGAGGAGGGCTTTGGTCGTTTCTTTGATTTGACTACGCTTCACGAACAGTACTTGAACTTGTCTGTTCACCAGCACGCGCGCCGCCTGACGTATCTGCAGTACCTCGATCTGTTCGATGTCTTCACCGGGCAACAGGGCAGCGTTCGCCGCGACCAGAAGAAGTCAGAGCCTTATTTCCAGTACCTAAAGGCCCTGCAGGAGTACCTCGAAAGCTTCATTCGCCGAACAAAGCCCCTGGAGAATCTCGACAAGCTGTTCGCTAGCTTTGACAAGGAATTCCAAGAGCTGTGGGAGAAAGATCAGATTCCAGGCTGGGAAAAAAACGTACCATCATCAGCGCCAGCGAATGGAGACGCACCAGGCGAGGGCATCTGGTGCGCTGCGTGCCAGAAAGGCTTCACAAAAGAGTCGGTTTTTGAGAACCACCTGACTGGCAAGAAGCACAAGAAGGCCGTAGAGGCGAGCAAGAACAACAGCGCTCCGGCTCGAACAAGCGGTGCATCATCAGACATCCAGCGATTCAAGGAGCGAGCCGTGGCTGAGCGAGAGTTCAAGATCAAGAAGCTAGCCGCGGCCATGCAGACCGAACGCGGCGATACAAAGGTCAACGTCGAGCGCAAGCAGGGTATGACGGAGCGCGAGAGGCAACAAGAATTGGAGCAGCTGTATGCGGAACAGCCAGCAGAGGGCATGAAGGACGACGATGACGAATCAGACGGCGAAGACAAGATCTACAACCCTCTCAAGCTGCCCCTTGCTTGGGACGGCAAGCCGATCCCATACTGGCTGTACAAGCTGCATGGTCTGGGCGTTGAGTTTCCCTGCGAGATCTGCGGTAACTTTGTCTACATGGGGCGGCGTGCTTTCGACAAGCACTTCAACGAGCCTCGTCACATCCACGGTCTTAAATGCTTGGGTATCACCAACACAACGCTCTTCCGAGAGATCACAAGCATCCAGGAAGCTGAGACGCTCTGGAAGAAGATCCAGAAGGATAAGAAGAAGGAGAAGACCGCTGCTGAAAACGTGGTCGAGATGGAGGATACCGAGGGCAATGTTATGCCTGAGAAAGTCTACCGTGATTTGGCTGCCGCAGGCATGCTCTGAGCAGGGCGTTCGACGCGCACCCACAAATACCACATCAGCTCGACACAGTGCTCAAGATTACCCATCGAGGCTTCTTGGCCGCTGTCTGTCATACCTTTTGTGTCGAGAAGTCCAATAGCGATGTCACAGATACAGCCACACGATGTACCGTGGAGGTCTCTAGCCTTGTATAAGAAGGGATTAAACACCCTCCTCGTTGGCGTTGAAAAGAATCAGGGGAATGAGCTGCACTTACTTGGATGTCAATGTAAGATATACCCAAAATAAAACATTCATAGCGCTTCAAATTTTGATCATCTGCAGCCAACATACATTGCAAAACCCGAGCAAACTGATGCATCGTCTGTAAGGCCGGAGCGTTGCGAAAGCCCATGCCACGCAGAGCCGCACTACTGGCATCACGCCGGGTTCCGGCCTCAACACCGGGATCTCCGTGAGCATCGAGTCCGGCCGCGGGCGCCGTGGCTGAAGCTCTGATGTAATCAATTTGGCATAATCTAAGGTTCCAAAAGCGTAATCACAATACTATCAATCACTGCGCCAGCCACATTCCACAGCTATCGTCAAATCAAAAGTACCTAAACCAAGCATAAAATATGATGTTGACGTTGGAAAACGGGAATTATTTGGGCCTTCTGAGTACGGTTGATGTGGCAAGGTGTCTCGCATTGTAGTAAGAAGGAAGAACTTAGTTGATGCGATCTAGATAGTCGAAGTATTGGCAAAGATTCCTGGTCACACTCGACGGGCTTATGTAGAGATCGACCACTTCTCACCTCTCGTTCTACCCAGGAGCCCACTTATGTTCCGCTTCTTCTTTTCCTCGCTGCTGTTGACCCTGTCCTTCCTTAAAATGTTCGTGCCTGTCCTCTCAATCTTCCCGTTCAGATGACTATCGATACTTCCTTTCTCCAGGTCACCACTCATGCTCGTAAGTAGAGTATCCGGCAACTCCACTCGTCCGTATGTTGCAGGTTCGAAGTTCTCCGACGAAGGCGGTGCTGCAGGTGTCCATTCGACGGAGATGGCTTCGTCGCGGCTGAGCTTCTGATCGTCGAACCACAGCTCGAAGCGGATATCTGCGGGCCCGATAATGAAGCGGATCTCATACTCGATGCGGAGGTACTGTTTCTTCAGGGACCAGAAGTGTGAGTTTTTGGCGACAAATTTGTTCTCATCAGCAGCTGAGAGGTCAGAAGAGGTCTTACACAGAAGCCGTGTATCTATCGAAACATGTCAGCAGGTACTTTGAAGATTTTTCATGGTGTACTTGCGGTCATTCATCTGCTCTGTTAGCTGAGAGGCTTCCAAATCGCTCGGGATGACGCTCGTGATGACGCTCGTTGGGAACGCTCGTCTAGGATCTCCTGCACTGACATTCTTCAAGAAGCGGTGTACGATTGGGCTGTCGACGCTAACAGGCTCGCCTTTTTTCACGAACCAGGCGATTGCTTGTGTGACATACATTCGTCCCTTGAGAGTATCCTTCACGAGTTTTTTGCCTAGATGGTCTGGGTTACGCTTATCGTAGGCGATCTTGCAAGCCGTGCCATAAGAAGCTCGACAACAGCGCCAGCCAAGTACTGAATGCAAGGTGAGCAGCTTGCGCACACGATCGGCAACGAGACCTTTGCAAACAGCAAGCTGGGGGTCTGGCGCTATGCGAATTGAGAGCGACTTCGCATTCGGGATGGCCGTGTCTCGGTAGTGCTTCCGGAGTTGGGCTTGCACGTATGCGCTGTTACCGAGTCCGCCTGACAGGACAAGATGCGCGACTCGCTCGTTAGAGAATTTCTGCTGTAGTGTCTCGAGTTGAGCGTCGATGAGCTTGAAGAGCTTCGCAATCTGCTTGTCGAACAAACGCTGTAGGTCGTGCCGGTCGAACATAAGTTCTCCATTGCGAACCCGAGCCTTGGGTGAACAATTGTTGTAAGAGTATGGCACTTGTGGAATAGCGATACTAAAGATAGGCGTATCGTCTGGTGCTCCATACTCGCATTTGACGGCCTAAAAGTCTTTGCTCTTTATCATCTCTCAGGCTGCATCCGCTGGGTCTACTGGTAGCGGGTGCTCTCTCGTGAGCGGCTATCAAGCGTTGCGTAACAAGCTGCTCAAACTCGTAGTCGATCGCCGCGCTTCCAATCGTCTCGCCAAAAACGACGTCAAGCTGTTGCAGATTGATGACTTGGTTAACTGTTCCAGTCACGCGGAGAACACTCAAGTCTGTGGTTCCGCCTCCTGCATCGCAGACTAGCAGTATATCGTTCTCATGGAAAATGCCAGGTGCCTCGATTGATACATGCACAGCAACAGCTTCGGCTTCAGTAAGCCCAATGTTGACACTGTGTTGTATTTGGGAGCCGAAGCCCGCCTCGCACACAAGGCGCTTGAAGTTCTCCACTGTCGGTATTGGAGCCCAAGTCGTTGGCACGCTGATGATGAATTCAATCCTTGCGTCTATCTAAGTCACTCCTGCGAGCTCACCACCTAGCTTGAACTTGAGATAGTCTTACATCTTGCGGAGGTAGTCACGGTACCATTGTTCAACGTCCTGCAGGTTCGTGGGCGCGCCTTTAGGATCCTCGAACTGCTTCTGCCGTAGCTTATCTGCATCGAGGCATGTTTTAAACCACTCTTTGTATTCCTTGTCCTCGGATGTAGTCTCTGCGGTGGTCTCTGATAGGAAACCCCATGATGATGGTTCATCGCTACCTATGGGATAGACCACAACTGTAGGCACCTTATTCTCGTTGGCCTGGAAGCGACCTGGCCATCTTCGAACCCAGCGAACAGTCTCACTACCGATAGAAAGATTCGTGTACGATACACCAGTGCCTGTGGAGCTCGAATGTTAGTATGCGCGATGTGAGCTGAGATGGACACGTGCACCTGGTCTTGGCCAAAGGTGGACACTACGGTAGTGCCGAAGACTGCGGACCGTACCTTGCGCCCTCTCACTCTTCTTCCTCGTACCACTTACATGTCATACCCAGGTCGATGCCGATCACCATGTGCGGTTTTGTCACAGCACCCATCTTGTCCAGTCGTTGTCAGTGTGCTGCTAGGCTGTGCTTCGGTGTTCAGCATGCTTCGGCAGGCTGAACATCTTAACAAAGGATGATATGCAGGCGCCTGCGCTTTTTTACAGCCTTGCGGCACAACAATCACTGAAGAACGCCATCGTGGCCCCTAACACCTGGACCCAATCTGACGACGCGTTTTTAAGGAAGCGGGGTGAAGGACGAAGGCTCGGATCATTTTGCATGGGGGCCGTTGTGCGGTACTTTGGTTCGTGTTTGCGCTTCTGTATTGACCGTATGTACAGAAGCACCCTAGTAACTTCGAGCTCCGCACTCACAGTATCCTGACATCGTCATCGGGGCCTGTCATCATATGCTGGATGCTCTGGTTCGTATAATCATCTTCTTTAGAGAGCATTTGTTATACGTCGTGGTCTTTTCTGCGCCCATTAGGTAGCGTTTCTATACGTTCGGAGGCCCCGACAGGGAATTCTATCTTCAATATACCAATGGATTTCAGGTCATGCCAGGTAAATCAGAATCACGATCGGATATGAGACCGAGTGGGGTCCTTTATGCAGCCTAGGCTGACTACTGCGCCCTCGATTGGTGGTAGACAATACCTCGATCACTAAATCTCCGTATTAAGTCCATGGTGAATTTGATGTCTTCAGCCTTACCCCTTTCATTGTACGGTCGAAACCATCCATCTTCCCAGCACAATCGATATTGAGATCTATTCGAAGATGCCTGATATCCTCGTAGCAACCGGCAATATCACCGCGACAAATGACCTACCTTCCAGTGGCTACAAGAGTTCCACAATTATGATCCCTATCTCCTTCTACAAGCCGCCAGGCAACGAAAATCTTCTAAGGGTAGAACCACCTCAGCCTGGCGGTTTTATCGACCTGCTGCCATCGGTCTGGACAAAGGGATACGTGTGGTACTGCTGGGACAAGGGAAATAAAGTGGTCAAGTGGGTTACTACAACGGGAAACGGATGCTGCCAGCAGCAATCATTCAATATCTATACTGAAGGTATACCGTCTGCTTCATCTCCAGTACCTACCTCGACGGTCGCAAGCACAACGACTGGACTCAGCGGAAGAGCGGCCGTAACGTCAGCACCCACCATAGGCTTAACAGCTACAGGACCCGCTGCAACAAGTATGTCGACAACAAAGCCATCAAAATCTGAGGGTCTTGGAGGAGGCGCTTTCCGTGGTGTAGCCATTGGCTGCCTGGTTGCTGGAGCTCTGATTGCGGGTCTCATCTTGTGGGCCTGCTACGGCAAACGTCGAGGACGTCATGTACAGGATTCTGAGGTCAATAATATAGCACTGGTACCGCCTTAGAAGGGAGTAATGTCGTACACGCGACCGCTTCACGGTGGAAGCCCGCTAATGTCGGGTGCGGACGCTGCTTACCCGCAACCTCTGGAAGATCAGGCCATCTCCGGAGAGATGTCGAAGATTGGTAACTTGATCAAGAACCACGTACAGAGCTACTACCACAGCAAACCTGTGACATACGAGCTCCTGGACCACGACGATATCATAGCATTAGGACATGATCTGCCGGTCTCCGCTGGGACCTTGAGCACCTTACTCGACAATGTAGCGACTAGGGAGGTAGCATTGAGGTTCTTTATCGCCTGGGCTATCATTGCCAGACTGCAGAGTTACAAAAAGTCTTCGGAGAGTCTCTTGCCACCCGAATTGTGTGCGCCTATGCGCGAGATCTCAAGTATAGACACTGGTGACAAAGGTGAATCTCCTCTTAACTTCTTCTCTCGTACAAAGCTAACTTTCCCAGCACACACCCTGAAGGCAGCTCACTGGCGAGCTACAACTGCAGAGTTGATGCACTCCACCTACGTCCGTAATCCATTGACAGCGTCAGATTCGCGGAACGCTGCTATCCTTGGGTTAGCACAGATTCTGGACAGCATACTTCAGCCATTTGCCGGTTCACGCATGAATAACCAGGAGCGCAAACATAATTTGAACGAGGTTCTCAAAAGATCTGCGCTTTTTGCGTTTACAATTTTCTCACAGCCGAGCTCATGGGACTTTGATTGGAAGGAAAAGCAGGAAATTAAGTCTGGTGGATTATGCATCTTCCCCGCTCTTGTACAAGCGACGAACGAGGCTGGAGAACGTGTCAGACCACCCAGATCTTTCAGCGAGGCTGTGATCAGGAGGCTGGAAGGTTGACGAAAGCCACCATCCCACCCCTCCTGAACGTTGTAACAGCAGGAAGGCAACAATAAATGACATTTGTTGGATGAGCTATTTCTAGAACAGCAAGAGTAATGTATCGCACCACAACTGGGCGTGGTAATCGAGTAGATCCTCCTGCTGTGCGCTCGGCCTTGCGTACTGCATTTGGCCCCCAAAGGCGTCAATGCCGTGTCTTGACTATTGTTAACAGGCATAATCGAAGTTTCACCTCCATTTTAATAGGGAGTTCTCGTCGAAATGTTGATACAAGGAGGCCAGCGTACACTGCGCTGTCCCGTAGTGCACGTAGTTCGCATCACCAACATCCTGCTTTCTTAAAGTACTTTTGAGCAAATGCAGTAGACGTTCGTTCCCGGGCACACCGCATTTTTTGGCCCTTCACAGCCTTGTGACACCATCCTCCATCGCTTGTGTGGCGGCGTTCAGGTTCGAGCCGTTCTATTCTGCCCTATCATCTACGCCCTGTGTCAGAGGCTGGGAATAGGAACGACGCAGATCCCTGATCCCCGACCGCGTGCCGTCTTACCCATATCTCTAGGTGATCTTACTCTGTCGTTTCTATTAATTGTAAAAACACCGCGACCTGCTTATTGATATACCCAGCTCAAACTTATTCTTACGTCTACAGGAAGTATGATGCCAGGTGTGGGCTTGTTCTTACCCGGGATGTTACATCGCAATGACGTCTCTTCTCTAGGAAAAGTCAGTACTGAGGGGAGAATGCCTATACAATTCCCTCGCAACGAGAAACAGACAGGTCAAGACACCAGCATGTCGTCCAGTCGAAGATCCGTCGACCAGAAGAGCGTCTCATCGGAAGATGCGAAGATCGCCTCCAACCCGACTTCAACAGTATTCGGCTACGCAGACTTTGTTTTTTCGTCGAACAAACGTTCTACCGGGGCAGAACTCTTCGCGAGCCTTGTCTGGCGCACAAGGCATGACCTTACTGAAGCATCGCGACTTTATCTGTCCCCGACGGTCAGCAATTTTTTGGAATCATGGCCTGATAGAAAGGCTTGGATCGATAAGGTTCTTTCCAATACTCGCGTGGCACTGATTGATATTGGAACCTGCATCGAGTCTGTCCGCAGCAACCGGGACGATGACGGGATATCGAGGATGAAGCGCAAGTTTGATTATACGCTGAGCCACCAGAAGCGCATTGCTCATAGACAACAAACATTGGCCAACACACATCAGGTCTTACTGGGAGCGATCCAGGTCATGCAAACCGTGGAGCAATGCGCTGGCTTGGGAGGATCTGTACCGGACCCCATCTTCGAAGCCCCTGTTCGTCCCTGGCTTCGATCTGACAGCGAGATCGTTCGTGCGCCTTACTCACGGCGGAAAAGTTCTAGGAATCTTTCTGCTTTGAGTGTTGCATCTTCAGAGTTGAGTGACAAGTACGAAAGTAGGTCTTCTTGTAAATGAGTCTGAACCATTGTCGCTAACTCCGTGGCAGTGGGGCGTACTGAAGTCTTGCCAGCTGAGCTACACGGGAGTATGCCAGGCGATCTTATGAATACGAGCGTTCTAGATGTCCCTAGACATACAAGGACTCAAAGATCGCAATCGTGTGCCGCTTCGGCAAAGCAATGATCTATCACGAAGTGAACACAAGTCCGACGCATTACATATGTCGGTTTCGGATTCTGTAAGTCCCCAACAGACTGTAGTAAACGACCAGGCCGACCGAAGATCTATATCCGTGTCCTCTTCCCTGAATGCTATAATTGACAGGATTATCGAACGGACTCAATCTATCGCATCCACAACAGCATCAATCAGAATACCAGTGTTAGCGAAGCGTTACCGTCCACGACCTGTAGATATACAGAAGCTGCATCTAACACATCATTCATTTCCATCGAATATGCCTCCGTACCAAAGTCAGCCGTCACTCGAAGACGATCTAAGGGACTGGATGATTCAGACTGCGGCAAGCGATCATCCCCCTGAGATGGAGCTCATCCGCTCACCTACAATATCATCGACTACAGGATCAATAGCTTCACGACATGAGATGATGCAGGTCCTAGCTAGCATTTCGAACATTGAAGAAGTCGACCCAGGATTGGCATCGAGCGATTCAGTTACGCAGGGCTATTCCATTGTCGAAGATGATGCTATTAATTGCCCGCTCCCACCATCGGCGCCCAACAGTCCGCCTATGGCATCAGAAAGTACGAATACTCCAGACGACACTACGCTGATATCTAGTTTCCCACTGCCACCATTAAAATCCGGCAGTCTTCCTGTCGCTTCTGGACCCATTCCCTCACAACAGGATACTACCTCTGCCGTAACTTCCTTGCCACCACCGCCACAAGCGGACCTTGTTACAGTCGCTTCTGAAGCCGCCCAGACACAGGAAGGTGGACAACCAAACATGCACCCACGTGAAGACACCACGTTAGCCACAAGCCTACCGCTGCCACTGTCACAACCCGACAGCACACTTTTGCCTTCTGAGGTGCCGTTTCAGCCCCAATGTAGTACGATAGTGCCTCAGTACGGCTCAGTGCTGAAACGAAAACCTCTTCCCCCAACCACGGCAGACAACAAACTGAGCCAGTGCTCACCAGCACCCTCGCCAAGACCACTCCACCTTGAGCAGCTTACCGAAGACAGTACGACTCCCATGTCGCCTCCAGATATACAGAGCACCATCCGAACGTCCGAGCCACCAAGATAACCCAGGCGCCCGCCACCACCACCTCCACCCCTGTCAGCTCAAACAGCTCCTCTAGTCCCCAGTCCAGACTCGGAACAGCGAAGCCCGCTCAATTCCACCACAAGTCTCGCAACAACCACTGGAAGCCTGCAGATCAGAGTATCAACGCCCTCAAACCCGCCTCTGCCAATCCATTTCTTCAACGACACGTCACAAGTGAACACATCACAGGTAAAACACCCGCTATGCTCAGTATCTGCCTCACCTGCGGTAGGTGCAGACATAAATACTGAGGTTGAGGCACTGAAGCCGAGGTCAGCGGAGGCGAAACGGAGGGCTGCACACGCGAGGCGAATGAAGCTTGCATATGGGGGGTAGCGACGGGGGAGTGGAGGAGCGAACGGAGTGGCGGGTTGTATTTGCAGAAGATGCAAATATGCGGGACGCGAGGAAGTGCGTTGATTGGAGGGAGAACTGTTGACTTGAGGGAAGACGTGATAGAGGCTATGCACGAGAAGCTAAGAAGTCGCGGCGTGAGCGGCCGCAATGAGAGGTGCAAACGAATGATATCTGAGTACTTCTATGTCAATGTGCAAGGCCTGAATGCCAGTTGTGACGGGTCGTAGAGGCAGACACGTGCGTATCCAACAAAATGCAACCCACCCAAAGGCACGCCCAAAGGCACAATCATATCCACCTCAGCCCTTTCTCTCTTCCTTGGCCTTCTCGGCCTGCGTATCCGATTCTCCTCGTCATCCTCCTCATTTGATTTCACACTTGGCGCCCTCGTAGTTCTCCCACGCCCCAGCGCCCCAGCTTCCTCAAGCTCCCTCCCTTCCTCTCTGCCTCCTTATCCTTTTCGTCCGCAACCACCTCAGAGACGTTTTACCTCTCCTCGGCAACCAAATTCAAGATTCTGCCACCACCCCTCGGAGCCCTAGACCCTCGTTCAGGACTCGCAGCCCTGCTCCTGGTCTTCGGCTGGGGCGTTGTGCTTTGGCCCCTGGTACCATATGCAGCTCTGCCGCTATGAAACTTTGTACGAACGAGCTCTTCCTCTTTTGCTTTCAGCGTCGCTTTGAGCGTAGCATTCTCGCTCTGCAGCGCTTTATTCTGCTGCATCAAATTCTTCATGCTGCGGTCGAGATGCATTCGCTTGAGCTTTGTGGCTTCGCCCGAGGCTTGGTGGGCGAGTTTGGCGTTCTGGGATGTCAGGGTTTCGACTTCGGTTTGTGCTTGGGTTGCTTGGACTTGGGTTTTGCGGTACTGTTCTTTGAGAAAGTCCATGGTTTCTTCCTGTAACTTGGCGGAGGTGCGGGCTTTTTCGCGTTCGAGGTTGGCAGCTTCAAGTTCTTTGCGTAGGCGGGTGATTTCGACATTCTTTTCGTCCGAGGATGCGAGGTTGAGAACTCGTAGGGCTTCGACTTCATCGCGGAGGCCTCGGGTTTCGGCCATTTGGACGTCAAGCTGGCCGCGAATCTTCTCTCGATTCGCGGTCATGGTCGCGAGCTCACGATCGACCGCGGCCTTCTCGTTAAATAGCTTCCGGTACTGATTTTGGCGAACTTCGTGCTCAGTCTGCTGTCTGTCCCACATGATTGATTCCTCGCGGCGCTCTTTCCGCTCTTGGAGAAGCGCAGTACTCACCTTGTCAAGAGACGTGGCCAGACGTGCATTCTCAGAAGCGGCAGTACCGGGCATCGAGTCGCTCACGCGAGTGATTTCCGGGTCGTGAACAGCACTGGAGTTCGGTATCACACGTGGTTGCGGTGTGTAGCGCATGCGTTTTGCGGGGTCCAAGTCATCTTCTTCCTGTATCACGCGAATTAGTGCCCATGCCAAACGGCTACTTTGATTCGGTTACGTACCAGCGGACGCTTTGTTCGTTCAGGTACTGGAGATGAGGTCGCAGACCTGACGGACTGTTGTGTTGCATCCCACTCGATGAGGCTTTTTGCACTCCCGATCGAGGGAAGAGGCCACTCTGTGCTTTCTTGCTCCTCTTCAGGGAAAAGCCAACACGCAATCATCTGGGCCGCTTCCCCAGCGCTCGGTGTGTCTATGTCGATAGCATTCCCAACCTCATTGCGTGTCTGCGTTTGGGCAAGTCCTGCCAGAATCGTCTCGATGCGGATCCGTCTTGCTGTGGTCGGCAGGATATAGCGCTCGATGTGACCGACTGTTTGTGGAATCACCAAATGGAGGACAGGTATGATCTTGCCGGATGCTGGAACCTTTCTCTGTCGTGCTTGCGCAGCGTTTTGTACCCCATCCAAACAGATGATGAGGTCGACGACGGGAAGGACTGGAGTAACAGCCTTTGGAAAGGTCGTGATGAATAGAGAATCTGGAGATGCCATTGATTGGTATCCTTTGGTTGGCATCTTGTACTTGTACCCCCCAGCAACAAGGAATGTCCTTATGATGTTCGAAAGTGCGTTGTTGTCTTGATCCAGTAGCAGTACAACGTGCATCTTCTTGTCGCGGAGGCGGTTGAACAATCTTCCAAGAAACTTGAACTTGACCGAGTTGTCGATACCAAATTGTGCTCCATGCCGGACATCTGCTAGCGAGTGCGACCCGACTCCTGTCGCAGACTCTGCTTCAGCGTAAGTCAGATCGGGGTGCGTCTCGACGCCTTTCAAGTAAGCCAGAGCTCGATCCACCTCGTCGAGTTTCTCGACGGGAGCCGGACTGTGCACAAGCACCTCGTTCAGAAGTTCCTCCTTCTGTTTGATGTACTGAGTGTAAGTATCCTGTTGCCGTCCCTCGATGTACAGGGGAACAATGTATTCCTCGTTGTCAAGTTTGAGTTCATCATCGTACGAGTCTTCGTCATCATCACCATAATCGTCGATATCATCAATGTCGTTTGTGTCTTCGACGTCGTTCGTGTTCTCAATGTCATCATGAGCCGCAGGTGGGGAGGATACTGCCGTTGCACTATGCGCGGCGGCTGTTGCAATTGCGGTTACAAGTTTATCATTCGTCTCTGTGGGAGTTTGGTCGGTAGTTCTTGGATTTACAACCGGAGAATCAACCATCAAGGGCTCAGTGACTGTGTCGGCGTTGTAGAAAGCTACGGCCCGTAGGGGCGTAGTTACTGCGGTAGTTGCTGGTACGGTCCGAAGGGACGTACTTGGTGGGAGCGCAGGTGATTGGTCTGGTACAGTTGATGGTGATCTTGTACCTTCTGCTGAAATATTGACGCTCGGCGGAGCGAGTGCGTTATTGGACTGCGAGGCTGCATCGTTAGCGGCTGCGCCTGTGAACGCGGCCACGGAAGCCTGCGAAGCCCTGGAGCGTCTCCTTGCTCTTTCGGCTGCCGCTATAATTTCATTGAGCCGCCGAGCGACCTGCGTCGATGGAGCCTCACTTGTGCTTTCTGCCATCTTCGACAACGAAGAACTCAGTAATGGTCTAGCTGATCTAGGCGGAACGTTCGAGTCAAGCGTCCTCAAGGAATAATTTGGATGATGTGGAATCGGCGACGCGCTACCTTCTGCTGACTCCAAACTACGTTCTGGTGTCTCCTGAGATGAGTCGTGTCTCGAATAAGGACTACTATGCTTTGATCGAGGCGCGTCCGCTGGATTAGTCTCCACAGTCTCACGTGCGCTTCCAGTAACCTGCTCCTGCGTGCCCAAATATGCGCCGAAATGCACAACTTGGGCGTTGTGTTCACGCGACCCGCTCGATTGCTCAGTGGATATCGGTGGCTGTGAGGTCGTAGCAGCCTCGGCTTCGTTGAGAGTATACTCTAAGCTTCCACGGACTGCTTTTTCGAAGCCCTGTCTGTTTGCCTGAGTATGCGCGAGCTGCGAGGACAGATGGTATTTTGGCAATGTGCGCAGGGTTCCTTCTACTGGTGGCTGATTGATCTCGTCTATCGTAGTGCTTTCTTCGCTATCACCAAGAGGGCCACGCTCTTGGGATGTACTTGGGGAAAGATCTTCACTGAGTCGGGTGTAAGGATTCTCGTGCGTGCCACAGGTCCTTGGAGGTTTCGTTAGCGCACGCTGTGTTGGCTTTGTGACAGAACGAGGATCGAAGAAAGCAGGACACTGCGATTGGAAAGGAAACTGTGCGTTATCTTCCCAGACAGAGCGGTCGATCAGAGAGAACTCAGTCTCGTGCTGTGCGCTTAGCTGAATAGCCTCAAGCTGTTGTGCGGAGCTGAGTTGTGCTTCTTGGATCGTTTCCTTACGGGCTGTCGTTGAGAGCTGCAAGATCTGAGGTGTATCTGCGACGGCAAACCCTCCTAGGCTGGCGGCAAGCTGCGTGTTGGGTGTAGCTTCCGGTGCTTCCTGCGCCGCCGCAGCGGATTCGTTCTGCTCCTGCTCGGGTCGCTCAGGTACCGGGGCAGAAGCTTCGTGGTTAGACTGCGTTGAGCTCTCGACAAATAGGACAGGAGTTTCCACCAGGTGCTGTTCTGCTGGATTGTGTGATTGCGTCAAAGCAGGCCCAGTACGATGACTAATGCTTTGGTCGTTCTGAGCGCGTGTGCGATCGGTCTTGTAAGATGTCGCTGGAGACTGTGACTCGACTGTCTCAGGGACCCCAGACTGTTCTTGCAAGCTTTCGAACTGACGTTGACTGTGAATGTCCTGAGTTGTGTCGGCGACTGTTTCGGCGATGGAGGTTGCAGGTGATTGCGCGCGTACGCCAAGCTTTGGTGCCTCGTCGGTATCGAGGAGACCCTTCACACAGATTAACAAACGCAATTCGATCGTTTCCAAGCATCTTTCACTAACCGAATACCCAATTACGTTATCTTCGTTGGAATCGCCACTGGAATCAGAATGTCGACTGGAGCCAAGCTCTTCCTGTGTGACGGGAATATAGCTCACGTCACTAGCAGAGCTCTGTGTTTCCCGCACAATACCAGAGACAAAATGGGCGGGCTGCGATTCAAACAACGGTGAGCTCTCCAAGTTTGTGCTATCAGCAGCGCTTTTCTCTGGTGAAGACTGTGACTCCGGGATCTCTGAGAATGGCGCGTATCCGCCGCGGTTGAAGCTGTCTCCACGCACGTCGATATTGGCTTGCGGAGATGCCCAGTCTAGTGGCGATTTAGAATGCTCAGAGCTCTCGACAATGCGACTGCGTCTTGCGCCTCGAGCTTGTGTTGCTCGCGCAGGCGACTCTTCCCGAGCACTTCGTTGCCGAGTACCCGGCCTAGCTGCTGCTTTCACCTCTTTCTGTTCTTGCGCCCGTCTTGCTTGTTCTGCCCTCCAGGATGCGCGCAGGGCTTCACTGGCGTTGCTGGCTCTTTCCCAGGTCGGCGCCCACTGCTCTCCAGTCGCGGGATCGGCTCCTTTCCACTCAATGTAGTACCGCAGCGCAAATCCCTGCCCCCTTTGCTCGAGTATGCGCACAGCTTCCCACTCTTCTTCACTGTCGTCTGCAGTTTCCTGTTCGGAGCTGCTGCTACTACCGACGTCTGGTAGTGTGTACTTGGGCCACTTGTTCGTGGTTGTTCTTATTGGCTTGCGCTTGCGTTTGCTGGGTGTCATTACGCGGCGAGGGCGCGAAGAGTATTCTCGAAACTGTAGGCCGAGTCCATGGTCAGTGAAGTGCTTGCGTCGCGTCGAGTGCTCTGGCGTTCGGTGTTGTTAGAGTGTTGGAGCTTGTGAAGCTGTTGCGGGACCATCGAGTACCAAGCTACTGACGTATCATGGACCAATCAAACGCGTCCTATGCGCGACGCGTCAAAATGTTCAATTGCAATGAATGACGATTGTAGATAGCTGGAAAAGAGTGGAGTGGGCGATATTATGTTATGTGAGCAGAGCAGCTGTGCCATGGGGACTGCATTAGCCAAGTGAAGTCACGCTACCTAAGATAAAGGTAAGTGTACGCCATGGCGGCCGTTTCGTAGGTAAGAGCATTCGATCCGTATATGATTTTTGCTATCCAAAAGCTCAGGGGCGGTAATACTACAGGACTGCAAACTGCAGCACGACCTTAATATCTTCCTCCTCGTCCACGCCCATAACCGCCTCTGCTATTGTACCCACCTCCTTGGTTGTTGGCTCCGTATCCACCTCGTCCACCCTGGAAACCGCCTTGGCCGTGCATCTGATTCTGGTTGTACCCTTGATTCTGGAGGCTACCTTGGGCGTGTTGTTGGTTGAAACCTGAATTCACTCCTTGCTGAAAGTTACTCCATTGATTGTTGAAGTTGTATGGATTGGTCGGCATCGCAGCTATAGTTGGTGGGGTTGGAGGGAACGGTCCGCTGAAGCTATGCGGCGGAGGTGGTGGCACGCCGCCGGGGAAGCCACCAGGTCCTTGGAACTGTATTGGCGGAGGAGGCGGCGGGAAGGGCTGCATGGGGAACGCGCCGGGAAACTGGTTTGGCATTGGTGGTTGTGGAGGGAACGATGGGGTATTGAACGGTGGTTGTGGCGCTTGTGAGAAGTTGGTTGCAAAGTTTGGAGGCGCGTTTGGCGGAAATTGGTTGCTGCCAGGACTTCCCTGATTGCCACGGCTCGGTCCATGTTGCCCATCCCATTGTCCACTAGATTGCGAATGACCCCTTTCGATTGGTCTTGGTGGCAGTCGTCTGGTATCATTCTCGCGGTCGTCGATCCTCCTGTTTTGATCAATGCGCCCTCTGTCATCGTCCCGTGGCGATCGACGTCGACGGTCGTGGTGACGACTGCGTGACCGGGAGCGGCTGTCATAAGACGATCTCGAGGCCCAGCTGTCGCTTCGACTGCGGCGGCCTCTGTCTCGCCCGCGAGAAGATACAGAGGATGACGACCGTCGGCGTCGTCTGGGCGACCGAGAGTGACGCGGTTGATCACGCTGCTTCTCTGGCACAGCTTCCATGCGCTCAGCATCCTCCCTCAATGTCTTGATGCTTTCAGGAACCCCGTCTTTCTGCATGTCCTGACAAAACTTCATAGACCATCCGTAGCCATTGGCTGCAGTCGTCGTCTCGCTTGTCTCCTTATCATGCTTGACCAGCTGTCCCATCGGGTCCAGCCGCAGATTATACTTTTCTGTGTCGCCGGAAGGGTTATCGCCCGTCGGTGTGTGCTTGAGGTCGAGGTTCTCGAAGTAGTTGTCGAGCAGTTTGCGGACGTGTGTCGAGACTGGCTTTCTATCGAATCGAGTGACTTTTATGCGGTGCGGGTCGAGGGGACGGTTCGGTTGCTTGATCATCTGATCCAGCATGTATGATGCTGGCAGCTCGTGCCAAGGTGCCGTTCGCTCGCCATGATACTCCGGCAGAAGGTAGTTGCGTTTGCGAACATGCGTGCCGTCTTGCGCTTGTGAGAAACTCTCGTCTGCCCGCTCCTTGAGCGTCTTGTATACGTCTGGTTCAACAAGCTGATTAACGGCCCAGGAGTTAATGATAGCCCTGAGCTTGTTCTCCGCTTGCGACCCTTTCTCTACAGCGCATAACGCTGCCAGTTCAACAAGCTCAGCAAGCTGAGACGCCAGCTCGGTCCCGAGCAAGCCATGGTTGGAAGTGCTATTATGGTGGTGGTACCTGTCAGTATGAAGCGCATCATTGACGACCAGAAGGAGGTCAAGCCGGTTGCGCACTGCCCTCTTTCCAGCTGCTGGAGTTGTTTCTACAATGAGCGACTTTGAGACTGATACCAAGTAGTCTCCAAGCACTGCAACGCGGATCCTGGAGGGAGCTATGTGCTTGACAATCCATTCTGTACATTTCTAAAGACTTCGATTAGTCTGCTCACGACCAACGACCGATAGTGGTATTGCAATCAGATACCTGGATGTTCACGGGCGTGTTCTGTGCAAGAACAGCATCAACGGCGCTGAAGAATTGCGAGCAGGTGTCCACAGGGACCGGAGAGAGACTAGCTTCAGGTTCCTCCTTCTTGAGATTTTGCTTGAACTTGAGCTGCGCGATAGTAATGACGGTATTCGCGCGCTTTGCGTCATCGTTCTGGGCCATGGCGAGGCGACTGCAATGTTGCTGGAAGATGGCGTGTTGGTGAAGAAGGAATGCGACGCGCCATTCATTGTTTTCGGCTCCTCGCGCTAGCGTGCCTTCTGCTTCAACGTCACCCCGCCAAGTCCATCCAAGCGTCCGAACCATGTCGAGCGATGCCATCGAGGACGAGCTGACTTCGATCAACGCCATCTTTGATGAGGAAACGCTGTCACCAATCGATGTGAGCGCCAGATTGTTCAGTCTGCGACTGCCATCCTTTCCCTCGATAGTTCTCCGTATCGAATTTTCAGCAGACTATCCAGATGCCCCGCCCTCGATTCTTGGGACTCAAAGCGTCGGCAACGATGTGCCAAAAGGTATGGGAATTCGAGCAGTAGATGTGGCGAGAGATGTGCTTGCGCAGGTATATCGCCCAGGCGAGGCCTGCATATACGACCTCTTAGAAGATACAAGAGAAGCTTTAGAGAAGGCAGAAGAGCAAGGAAATTTCAATGTGAACGACCAAGTCGAGGAACAAGCACAAGAGGAGGATACATCTCACGGTCAAAGTTCCACTGCTGACTTTGGACCCGAGCCTCCATGGATAGTGGGAGAGCCAATCAGTGAGAAGAAGTCTGTCTTCCTTGCCCGCGTGGCTCCAGTTTCGTCGCCACAACAGGCCAAGCAGTATATCCAGCATCTACTAGCAACAGACAAGAAGGCTGCTAAAGCAACACACAACATGACATCGTGGCGTATTAAAGGACCCAACGACACCGTTTTCCAAGACTGCGACGACGATGGCGAGACAGCCGCAGGGAGCCGAATGCTGCATCTGATGCAGCTCATGGATGTGTGGAACGTCATGGTTGTCGTCACGCGATGGTATGGCGGTACTCACCTCGGTCCAGATCGCTTCAGACTCATCAACACCGCTGCAAGAGAAGCTCTTGTGCTGGGAGGATTTGTAAAAGATAACAAGGAAGAGCTGGGCAAGAAGAAAGGCAAGAGATAGATAAGTTGGTGGGGATCCCGAATGTTTTTAGCAACTGGTCAAATCCAAACACCACACGCCGTCCAATGGTCGACCGAAATCGAAAATCCATGGCATGTGGTTAGTAGCCACTACAAGCATTGGGCAAGCTGCTACCGAGTCGGATGCGCGCCAGGCTCAGCTGAGGAACTCCATTAAATGGCTATGCATGCATATCAGACATTTCACGCATCTCCAACCAACGTTATGAAGTGTGCCTGACGACAGAAGCAATTTATGTAAGGTCCGCTGGCCACACATCTACCCCACTAGTACCATCCGTACACCCGTCACGCCTCGGTCATGTTGCTGACGGCAAAGAGCATCTTGAGCCGCCCAAGGCCTGACGGCGTCACAAGAGTTCCAAGCTTTAGCAAAGCAGCAAGTCCACTCGCGATGATGTGGGGCTCGGTCGCAGGGAAGAGCTCAAGGCACGGACCATCACCAAAAATTTGTCCATCCGCCCAACACCACCACAGATCAGCACTACCCACGCAACACATCGACAAGCGCAAAAAGAATCGCATCTCTCCGACGGGGAATCGAACCCCGGCCTCCTGCGAGCTGTCTCGTGGGTGACAAGCAGAAATACTGACCACTATACTATCGAAGATATCCAATCTGATGATTGGGAAGAGATTTGACTGGCCAATGGATACTAGGAAAAGCGTACGCTTTATATATCAAGCGCTTGAGATCACATTAGCACGCGACGGATGCCTCTCTGGATGTGTTGAAAGGTTGGGCTGCTGTGCATGGGTCGAGACGGCAGAACCATACAGGGTGGAGCCACTAGCTTCACGACGTTTCAGACCTCGGTTTGATTTTCGAAAGTTACCTCTCGTCTCCAGTTGTTCTTCAATGAACCAAACACGCCCCATGCATGATTTTCAAGTGACTTGGACTTAGATCATGACCATGTTCATTCCAGCTCAGCCGCTCCATGAACAGATCCTGCCACACAATCACTCCTCTGCCTTGCCCCTCCCAAGCTTCGCTACCTCCACCTCGATCGCAGCCTCCACGTCTCTCTGCAACTGCTTATAGAAACCTAGCTTGAACAGGATCTCATACCACACGAACAGCGGCGCTAGGAACAAAGCTTGCACCAGGTTGTCCAGCAGCGCCGGCTTCCGGCCCTCGTACTTCCCGTGTCCGATGAATTGCAAGATCCAGCTCACAACGTGGACCGCGACTGCGATACTGTTGACTTTCGTGCGGTTGTATTTGGCTGTGAGCTTGTTGGCGAATGCAGCGGCGCCAACAATGAAGGGTGTTACTGATGCGCCAGCGGTGTTGGGCGAGAGGATGAGGTAGAGGGTGGAGTAGGTGAGTGAAGCGAGGGTGCCAGCGTTAAGAGGGAGGTTCAGGCGGTTGAGGAGGGCTGGGGTGCGAATCGATGGAGTGTTAGTGCCCTGGTATGCGTGAGTTGCACGTAGAGAAGGTTGGGCGTATGTATCGTACGAAGAGGAACCCAGTGGCTAGCAGGATTGGTACACAGCCTATGTGGATCGCGACATTTGTCTTGAGCCTCGTATCAGTACTGGCATTGAGACTGAGAGTGAGCTGGGCTACTGTACAGGCTCACGATGGTACGCGCCGTACTGGAAACGATCAGCCAGTGCGCCTTTGCGCTTTTGATCAAACACCTACGAAGACGAGATTCTTCTTCAGATCAAAGACTGCCATATTGCCACTCTTTGTGGTTGTTCGACACGAAAGGCAAGAGGTGAACGATGCGGGGAAGCCAAGCGCAAGGACAACACCGGTAAGTCAAGCTAGGAGCCTGCCAGCGGATTTTAGGGCTTTGAGCTCTTTTGTACTGTCAGATCTAAGCCTCCATCAGTCCTGTGTCACCTTATCTACCCTGGACATCCGCAACCTCTACCCCATGGGGCTGCCATGGCTGTTGGGACGCGCAAGGGTCCGGAGGAACCGAGGCCAACCCGCTGCTCCTCATTGGCAAGTGTTCGGACGCCCGAGCCCCCCGCGACGCTTGCATGTGAACTTATCGACGAAGTTCACGAAGTGGTGGAGCTTCGGAGGCTTAGGTTCGTACGAATTGGCATGTATCATTGCGTTAGTAGTTTACCTGCGCGGGGTCGCTGGGTCGGAAGCGTATGCAGAGAACCTACAACGCCTTGGCCGATATGAACTCAACGATGTCAATGAGAACGAAGCGAGCGCTGGAGAATAGCAAGAACGTGACACGCTGATCAAGCAGAGATGTATCTGCAGTTCGCGGATGAGGCCGACGCGTTCGTGAATCACAACGTCCTGACGTAGCTTCCTTCCACCTTCAACGTCAACAGTCAAACACCGCACTTGCACGCATTCACAAATGTCGCCCGGGGACAAGCTATTCCAGGCGACGTCGTTCAAATGGCCACTGCGAGCGACAGATTCTTTAACGAATACTCAGTACGATATGTGTATCATTAAGGACAGACTATGAGTGCTAACAGTACGTAGCTTCCGTCAGGGTATCAAACATTCGCCTTTCCAAGGCATCGTCAAGTATCAATCAATTCGTGGTCAGACTGAGGGCGACAGATCCTGAACGCCGCGAAACCCAAGGTGCAACCTCAAGTAGACGGCCTCGCAGGATCAATGCAGCTCGGGCGAAGTGGAGAAGGCCGACTAGACTTGCTTCTCAGCAAGCGCCTCACTCGCAGGCGCGACGTGCTGCTCTCGGGCCGCTGGCTGCGCCACATCCTTCTTGCGAAGGACGCCAGTGTTCCAAGCGTACTTCATTTGCGCCGTAACGCTAGGAGCCTGAGGCAAACCACCGAGCTTGTACAACTGCGGCTTTGCGAGACCCTTCTTACGGAGAATGTAGGTCTTGAACCACCAGGGTAGGTTCTTGGTAGCTTGATACTTCATGTGAGTTCGCGTGGGCACGGCGAAAATGTAGTCGAGCTCTTCGAGCGTTCGCTGCTTCGTCTCTGGCATCCACAGGAAGCTACAACGTCGTCAGCCAGTCTGTTGTACGAGTTCGATCCGGGACTTACATCATGATCAAAGCGAGAATGTTGAGGCCAGCGTAAAAGCCAAACACTCCCTGTGGTCGCATCACTCTCAGCATACGCGGGAGTGTGAGCGACAGCACTGCAGCCCAGAAGTTGTTCGTAGCCACTGCCCACGACATGCCGACCTCACGGTGCGACAGCGGGAAGACCTATCGGAATCAGCCAAGCGACTTTGTGTTGAAAAAGAAGGACTCACCTCAGCAGAATATGTGAATGGAACGGGCCCTTCTCCCGGAGAGTCTGTAGCACATCAGTCACGGCCTCGGATACGCAGAGTGCTAACACTCACAAAAGGCACCAAAGAGATACACGAAGAACGCAATCAGCCCGAGATGTGCGTCGTTGTCCCTGGGAATGTAATAGCACATGCCTGCCGCCAGCAGCGTCCAGAACATGTTCGGGAAGGTGAACAGCAACAATCCGCGGCGGCCGAATGTATCGATCGTCCAGACGGCTGGCCAAGCGAACAAGAAGTTGACAAGTCCGAATCCGAAAGAGGCAATGAGAGCTTCCTTCTCAGTTGCGCCACCCTCCTTGAAGATGGTTGACGAGTAGAACGCAATGATGTTGACTGGTACGGGGTCAGTGACTATCGCCAGGGCTACACTCCGCAATCACTTACTTCCGCACATCTGCTGGCCGATCATGACGATTCCGGAGGCTTGAGTCGCACGTCGTACGCGAGGTAGCGTGAAGAGCTCCGTGAAGCGCTTAAAAAAGTTGCTCTTAGGGTTGAGGCCAGCTTCGCGGACCAGGACATCTTCCTGGGCAAGCAAGGCGTGAGTATAGTAAAGATCACGCGCAGCTTGTATTGGGGTGTTTCGAAGCGTCAAAAAAGACTGATACGCTTGCGCATAGCGGCCTTTCTTCATCAGCCAGCGAGGAGACTGTCGGCGCTGTCAGCAAGCCTCAAAGACAAGAGACGAAGGCCTCCAGCCTTGCCTTTCTCTGCAGGTGGACTTACCTCCGGGACAAAGTAAATTCCCAGAACCAGGGGCACCGCTGGGATGAACGCCGAACCTAGCTGCAGACGCCAGGAGATTGAGCCCGTGTTCATGACACACAGGTTGGCAACAAAACCCATGAAGATACCGAACGCAGTCCAGATCTGCCAGGACATCACCAATCCACCGCGAACAGTAGCTGGCACGACTTCAGCTGAGAACACTGGGACGGTCACCTCCTTCAAGCCCATTCCGATTCCGAGCATAATGCGACATGCCACGAGCTGACCCCACTTTTGAGTCAGTGCAGAACCAATGGGCGCGAGAAGCGAAAACACAGCGGCGATGAAGATGGTACCACGACGTCCGAGCAAGTCGTTGACGGGGTCCGAGAGCCAGGCAGTGAACAAGGCGATGGCGATGTAGGGAGAGGCATTGATGAAACCGATGGTCCAAGAGTTGCTCTCGCAGGTACCATCTGCGGTACACGCAGGACCAGAATCTGGGATGCCGAATGACTGGGCGAAAGTCAAGTTGGCACCGTTGGATCCGGTTTGATCCCAACTGAAAGAAGTCAGGCCTTTATCCTTTTACTTCCGATGGCAGACTTACCCTTGGATGGCTGCGGCGATGGAGTTGAGTATGATGGTGTAGTAGAGTGTCTTAGGGAGCTTGAAGCGATGCGTAACCTCCTCACGAAGTGCGACTCGGTCATCCTCATCGAGCTCCTCAATCTCTTCGATCAGCGCTGGCGACTGTGCGACAAGCGCTCCCTTCGCTAGGAGAGGCTCGATGTCTTCCAGCTGATGCGCCTTTGCGAAGAGAGAGACGTCCGAGAGAAGCTCAGCCTTGGGCACTCCAACAAGAGGATTGCGGATCCTACAGTGATAAGGATGTTGTTGCGACTTGGGTCGCGGGTCAACTTACTCTCCCTCGAGGTTGGAGGTCAGCTTGCTGATGCTCTCCTTACGCCTGTACTCATCATCGAACAGAGAGCTGCGGCGCTCATTGTGTACAGTAGTGACTTGGCTGACGGTGGTCAGTATAGTGAACCGACAAGTTCGATAGCGCGAGCCTTACTCAATCTTGGGGTCCCCGGGCTCCGCCATGACTGATTGTACTAGGTCAAGGTCAGGAGTTTCGGTATAGGTCAAGTCGGTGCAGAGATGGGGTGAAGGAATTGTTTATAAGCTTTGTGGCGAGCTTGCGCTCGGGCCAGGCAGCTGCATGAAGGTAGGCAAACGGTCGTCGTGCAGGCTAGCTTTTCGGCAATTGTGAATGCTTCTGCGATCTCACTCTCCCAGCAAGGCTGCGATCACGCGCTACAACTCTTTGAACCAGTCACGACGATGAACGGCGCAAGGATCAGCACTTTCTCACCCCCAGTTGGTGACGCGACCTCTCCGTTACCCCACAGACAGCATGGTACAGGCGGGAATTCGAGAGCAAAAAGCTGCTCTATTGGCTTGGATCCCTTGGCGTACAGTAAAAGCAAGGTCCGATAGCGCAGCTCCAGATCGCAGGCTCAGACAGCTCGAATTTATCCCAACGTGCAGCCTTCCGGACAAGTAGGCACGGCGTACTGGAGAATCTGTTCAGTTGTAACATTCGTATGCGTGGGCGGATAGCTTGTATCTGCACGTTGAGATGGATACTTCACATGGCGCCAAGTCCACATTGCGCCCTCGCAGCAAAGGTGGCTTGCGCAGTCACTGGGATTCGAAGTGAAGCAACCCAAGCTCGCATCAGCAGTGCAACATGCAACACGATCAAACCCGCATCCAGGCAGGGTAGGTACGTCAGTCCACCCGTTATCGTCTGTCTACTCTCACCGGCGTCTGCGCTGACTTCTATCCCTCACCGTCGCACAACTACAGTGACACAGCCAGTCCCCTTCCATCAAGCCCGCCGACGACGCTCTTTCGACCCACCCGCGCAGTCCAAACAAGCAGCGCCAAACAATCTCAAGACGAGCAAGAACGCACCGGCTTGAAGCTTCCCCCTCCAAGCCCAGCCCGGCCCCGCATCCCAAGACGTTGCTCGCTTGGCTTCTTACACAGCACTGGCCATACATGGCTAGCGCGCCTGGGTGCAAGCATCCCGCAGCCCGTCACACCATGTTGACCCAGGCTTGGCGCCATAGAAATCGCTGTCTGATGGTAAGCCGTGTGTTTGCTGTTGACAGCTTTGTATTCGGCTGCTGCAGCTTGCGAAGCTGACGCACATCGACCCCGGACCGGATCGTGATGGCGCGGTGTATAATACTTGCGCGGACGAGATGGAGTGACGATTACCGCGCGTGTCGCGAGAGTGACCAGCTAGGGCGCTTCACGTGCAGGCGCTGGGCTGCACCCTAGGTAGTCTGATTCTCGCCATCGTGCCTGGCTTTCGCTGAAGCATCGGGGGTGGATATCGCTGACTTTGTAGTGGGACTTGTGTGCTTCAAGACGTTGTTCTCTGTCTCCATGCTCTCAGAGGAAAGATAAAGCTGGAGTTGTGCATCGCTGGATACCTCGGAAAGCGGGACGTGAGAGCGAAGCACGTACGCGACGCCATCTGCCGTCGGGAATATCGTCTGTTGTAGGGCTCGTCTGAAGAGCGTCGCGAGTTTCAATCCTCCAGGGACTTGTGGGCTGGCTTGTTCGCTCTCTGTGCTGATCGGGCGATGGCTTTGATGCAAGTCTCCCACGTATTGATCTTGTCTGTTGTGGCTAAGTCAGTATGCAGTACTTCACCGTCGTGTCACTGGTTAGAACCCAGAAGGGTGTGGTGAGATGCTTGCGCTTCTTTCTGCTGTTGGGTGTGTGTGCCTCGTGTGGGCAGCAAATACGTCTAACACAATACATGTACGACAGCAGACGACGCACCACACTCCCCCCACCTCCCACACCCAACCCAAAAACACCCCTATCTAGCCAACCTCTGCTTTGCGCCGGGAGTAGCATCTCCATCAATCCCCCGCGCTCGTGCGTCCAAGTCCACCATTCCATCCTACCATCCACGCTTCGACACCTTGCCGTCCTCCCCCTGCACTCGAAAAACCACACCTTCTCTTCTCCCGCCATTTCCTACGCACCAGTGTATCACACCACTCTCCCTCCATCCGCGCGGAACCTCAAGACACCAACTCCAACGCGCGCGTCGAAGTGCCGAGATACACCACAGCTGTTGCGAGACGAGCACACTCTTGAAAGCGAAGAGAGGAGAGAGGGAAATGGCGTCAGAAATCACGCCACGCATCTCCGCCCAGATGCAAGAAGAACCCCTCGTTTCGCCCGCCGCATGAAGCAGAAACAAAGGAGGGGGGTATGAGTTTTGAGCAGCAAGAGAAGGAAATGTCCAGCCCGTATCTGTATTGCCGCGACAGGAGTCTGCGTCGGGGCGACTTTTGAGGGCGGGGCGCGCGAGCCACCCACGGAAGAGGGGGTTCAGCGCGTTGATCTTCGACGTTGGACGCGCGTCCTCTCATGCCAGTAGGGGCTGTGAGAGGGTGCGGTGCAGTCGTGTGCAGTGAGGTTAGGGGCTAGGGATTTGCTGCTTGGGCAGACGGGACACGAGTTATGGCTGGTGCTGGGGCGGGACTGCGGTGTGTCTTCAGATGTTAGTGGGCCGGGGGGGGGATGTGGTTCAGATGGGGACGCTGCGAGGTAATGCACTGCGGCGTGAGCCGGGTGTGTATATGTTACAATGTAGCAGTACTTTGCTGCTCGGGCTTGTCTTCCACCTTCTCGTCGCTCGCGTCAGCCTTCTCGTCGCTCGCGTCAGCCTTCTCGTCGCTCGCGTCAGCCTTCTCGTCGCTCGCGTCAGCCTTCTCCTCGCTCTTCCTCGGTTCTGGGTCGGCAGCGGGCTGTGCAACGGGCTTGCCCTCTGCGAGCTGCATGAGGAACTTGCCCACATTGCCCGCGCCATCGATGGGTCCGAGTTTGGCTTCAAAAAGCTTCGCCTCGCGCACGAGTCTGTCTCCATGTCAGTAAATCGGAACAGCGGTATCGACAGGACCCTTCCGCTATGCCCGGGTCTTCACGCAACTCACCTAGCCTTGCCACCGGGCGTCTTGACCCCCGCCTCCTTGATGACCTTGCCGACCTGCTCTCTGTAGCTCTCAAACACCGGGCCCATGATCATCCGCACCTGCAGTTCGCCAAGGTACCTGTTAATGACCTTGTGCATCGTCACGGTGTCCTTGGTGAGGCTCTCCATAGCGGCAGAGACATCGCGCTTGACCTCTGCGTCCTCGTCCCAGACGACCTTTTTGAGCGCGCGCATGTGCACCGTCGCCCTGCCGCTCAAGATATCCGTGAGCTTGTCGTGAATGCTGCCCTGCTGGTCCTGCAGCAGCCGCTTCGTGTTGTCGAACTCGGTGCCGACGGGCTTCCCGCCCGGCGGGGTCGGGCCCGCGCGGCGCCGCGCGCACTCGCGTATGTACGGTACTACGGCGATGATGAAGCTCAGCGTCTGGCTTGCAATGGCGAGGTGCTTGGTGTTGATGTTCTTGAGGCCTGCGGTGGCCATTGCGCCAGCGCCGAGGATCAGCTGGCACAGGCGGCTGTTGAAGAGCTTTATGTATTCGCACAGGCAGACGGAGATGTCCGACGTCATGCTGGGGATGTGGGAGAGGAGGATGAGGTGGCGTTCTATGCCGCGCAGGACGAAGGTGGAAGAAGCGGAGACTGTGTATTTTTCTTCGTCGACAATGGCAGGGGTGGTGGTCTTGCTCTTTTCCTTTGGTGCCTCGGTGGCGCCGTTTGTGCCGTTCGCGGTGGGTTCTGGGACGGAGCTGAGGACAGAGCCGGTCTCTGCCCAGTTGGGGGGGTCGCCGTCCATGCTGCCGAGGAGTCGCGCGAGCACCTCGGTGTCGGAGACGTCGAAGTCTTTGGGCTCCCAGCGGTCCGAGTCCATGGCTTTTGCGAGTTCTTGCTTCTCAAAGTCGGAGAATTTCTGTACAAAGGCGGTGATGTGGTCGTTCACTGCGCTTTTGAGCGCCGAGCCCGAGCGCCCAGAGATGGCCTCGCATTCATCGGCGAAGAGTCTGCAGAGCTTGAAGTAGCGCAGGAAGCGTTCGAGTGGCAGTTCTGCAGACTGTGCCGAGCGCACCCTGAGCAGTTTGGTGATTTGTGTCTGCGCAGCGTCGACGGCCTGACCAAGCAGACTGGACAGGTCGAGGGCCTGCATGAGCTCCATCTGTAAGTCGCTGGAGCCCAGGCCGTTCTGACCATTGGATCCCGCTTCCATGTAGCTGTCAATGTTCTGCATGTACGGACTCTTCGGCGGCGATCGAAGGCCTCCTGCAGACGCTGGTGGTGTCGAGACGCCGCTCGTGACGTCGAGCAGAACCTTGACCTGGGTGCTGAGTCGCCGCAACGCCTCGCCAATGTCTGTGAAGATGTTTGTGAAGAAGTCCTCGGCGTCTGCGGCATCCATGGCTCGCAGATTACGTGCTAGGATCGAGTTCTTGTCCTGCTGGCTATGCCCTCGGCCCCCTCGTGTCGAGACAGAAGTCATCGACTCAGCATCGTCGTCTGTCGAGCTGGGCAGATATCTGCGGATGATCATCTTCATCTCCTTTACAATGGCTTCTCTGAAAGTCGCTGCAGCTTGGTTCGTGAACTGTGCGTCATTCAAGCCGTGCAGGCTCGCTCGTAACTTTGAGCGAAACTCTGTGCTGGTGGTGAGGTATGCAGGCATCAGCTTGGGCTTGGGCGCCGCCGGGGCGCCTCGCGCCTTTGTCGATGCAGCGACCCATCGTTCGAGGGTTTCGCGGCTCGGCACGTTCTTGATATGCTCGCCGAGGTCGGCGAGCAGTGTATCGAGGAAGCGCACTTCGAAACCCCTGCCTATGCGGAACTTCATGTCGCCCATGCCCTCGAAGATGCCGTCCAGCGCGCGCAGGCCACGTAGATCGATGAGTCGCCGAGGCAGCTGCGTCTTCAGCCAGGACGTGACGTTCGAATCCGAGGGGTCGAGCACGCCCGTGATCAGTCGTTCGATGACGACCAGGCGCGCTGCGGCCGCCTCGAGCTCGCCCTTTTCGACCGACTCGTCGCAGTGCGACACGCCGTAGATGACGGCCTGCAGCTGGTCCACGGCGTCGGTCAGTCTCCTCAGATTCTCGCGCCGCCTCTTCATGCCAACGACCCTCAGCCCTCCTATCGCCATCTGCTCGTCCAGCCTCCTGAGGTCCTCTCTGAGCTCCTTGATCTGCGCAACCGACTCGGCAGCCTCGGTCTGCAGCTCACGCAGCGACCCGAGCGCGGCGAAAAAGGACGTCGACGCCGTGGAGATGGCCGATATGAGGTGCACCTCGACCGTGTCCATGTACCACGACAGCTTCTCCTGCAGAATGGCATTGGTCGCCAGCGCCTTCCTGCCCGAGGGCGGCGGGGCCTCTGCTGTGCCGTTCGCGCTGTAGACGGCGTCATTGGTCGGCGGCCGCACGGGCCGCACCACCTCGGAGCGCTCGCTCACAATGTCAAAGGTGCGCGGGTTCTCGAGGCGGAACGACTCGTCGAAGTAGACGCCCGGGATCGTCGACAGCGGCGTGACGGCGGGCGGGCCGCGCTTGGACCCGCTCTGGCGCCGCCTGGCCTTTGGGGCGCCGCTGGGCGTGGCGGCGGGCGAGGGCGTCGTCGACGCGGGCTGCGGCTCCGTGCACGGCTGCTGCGCGGCGGCGGCCGCGGCGGCCGCGGCGTCGGCGTCGGCCTGGGCACGCTGGAAGGCATCGTAGAGGGTGCCGATCTGCGACAGGTATGCGTTGAAGGCGGCCGGCTCGACGTGGGCAATGTTGGTGAGCGTCACGGGCGGGATGTCGCGCGTCGAGGGCGGGCGGTGGCCGGAGCTGGCCTGCGCGGCCGTGTAGGGCAGCATGCCGGTGCGCATTACGGGCGGCGTGAGGAGGGTCGCGATGGCGGCGTTCGTCGGGCCTCGCTCTTCCGATAGGGCCTTGAAGCCTGCGTCCAGCACGCCGCCGACCGAGTGCATGCTGCTGGCCGTCGACCCGCGACGCGGCTGGTGGCGGCCGCCCGTCGAGCTGGGGCGGCTCGTCCAGTCGTGCGGCGGGAACGGGTACTGGCTCTGCTGCAGCGTCGGCGACAAGAACTCGAAGCTCTCCGTCGACCTGCGCGGCCCTCGGGGCGAGGGCGACGACGACATTGCTGCGCGTTCGGGGCCGTCTGCGGGCCGACGTGGGCTACGTCGAGGACGTGTGCGGCTATGTCATGCTTCGTGCTGCGGGCGGTCGCTTGTTGTCCGGGCCGCCTGGGGGGGCTGAGGCGGGCGCAAACGTGGCTCGTGGCTGGTGTGGCTGGTGTTGCAGGTGTTGCAGGTGTTTCTGGTGTTTCTGGCGTTTCTGATGCAGTGACGATGCTGGCCGGCCTTGAAGGTTGACAGGGGAGCTTTCAGCCCCACATTCCTGTCGCTTCCGACTTGACATCAACATGTTCACTTGACATCAACATGTTCACTTGGCATCAACATGTTCACTTGACATCAACATGTTCACTTGACATCAACATGTTCACTTGGCATCAACAAGCTCACTTGACATCAACATGCTCACTTGAAATCAACATGGAAGCGACCAGCCAGTGCATTGCAGTCTATGTCACTACACTCTTCTCCAGCTAATCCCTCACCAGCTAATCCCTCTCCAGCTAATCCCTCGCCAACTAGTCCCTCACCACCCAATCCCACACCGTCCCACCACCCTCCCCCGTCACTGCCCCTCCCAAAACTCCCCCGCAGCCTTCAAATCATCCACGTTCAGCAGATCAATCCCCTCCTCCCACAGCGTCCTCCAGACCGCATTCCTGATCCCCACCGGCCAGTTCGGCTGATTCCAGTACCTGGCCATGATGCCCCTGTCGTGCGCGCTCTTGATCTGACCGCGCAGCTTGTGCAGCTGCGACGCGTTCATTGGCGTTCTCAGCTCGCCAAACTGCGCTGCAAAGTTGGTGCTGGCCACAATGGCCTCGTTGCCCGTCAGCCCGCTGTACTTGGGCGTGTTGAGCTGCGATAGAGGCGCATCGAGGAACACGTCGCGCGGCAGGTACGCAACCACGTCGGCGAGCTCCGTGTTGCCCGTCCCAATCACCGTCACGGGGCGCGACGTGAACGAGTGCCCGTCGTAGGTCGACAGCCAGGACCCGTTGCGCAGGGGCTCGAGCGCTTTCAGCACCGCCGGCCAGAGCTCGTCCGCTGCCGTCTTGAAGTCGACGAACAGGTACAGCGTTTGGAAGGACGCTGTGTCGAAGACGCCGTTGGACGACCCGTCGGGCAGGAACGGCGATTCGGGGTTCATGCGCTGCAGCGTGTCGAGGATGGGGTCGACGTAGAGGGACTCGAACGTGCGGGCTTTGGTGAGCGCGCTGGGCTCGTGGCCGACCTGGGTGCGTTAGTCGTGGTGTATTGAGAGTGCATGTCCATGGTGCTTTGATGCATGTCCATGGTGCATTGAGAGTGCATGTCCATGGTGCGTTGATGCATGTCCATGGTGCTTTGATGCATGTCCATGGTGCACTGATGCATGTCCATGGTGCACTGATGCGTGTCCATGGTGCACTGATGCATGTCCATGGTGCATTGATGCATGTCCATGTTAGCTCGAGACAGTGCTAGACGGCATGTCGTGATGGCAACTCTTCTCGAGACCAAACATATCGCTCATGCACAGCGTCGAATGCTCGTTACGGCGTCCGTCCCGTTGCACATGGTCAAACTTTCAACCCGCAGAATCACGCACAAACCTACATAAAGCACCCCCTCAATCAGCCAGACATCCGCCTCCGTCGACACAGCACCCGCCGCAAGTCCAGAGTAGAACGGCACATCGCGCCAATAATCGTTGTGGCTGTGAAATGGTTTCTGGTGTGGCGTAAGCTTGCGTTGGAAACGTTCAAAAGGCTACCGCACTCACAGGCTCAATTCCACGTGTGAAATCCGTCGGGTATCGGTATTTACCCGTCTTGTCCGTGTTCTTCAAGATGTTCTGCAGAGCGCCGCTTTGCAACACCTCCCCGGCGCCTTCCGTGGGAGCGTAGGCAATGTACGCAGTGGCCAGAGCTGGGAGCGCAAGAGCCAAGGAACGCATTCTGAATCAACGCAGACAGTCTGTGGATCTGTGGAGCGAAGTCGAGAGCCGCAGAGCACATGTAGGAAACTTTGGTCAACGCCTTCAATGAGCACATCCACCCACATGTCACTGTGGAGCCGCGATGCACAGGAACCGCGGGCTTCCGACCAATCCGGTGCCGTTGGGTGTCGCGTGCGGTTGGCCTGTGGAGATGGCCTGTGGAGATGGCCTGTGCACCGGCCTCACAGCGAACCACTTGCGTGAAAACACACGACAGCACAAACAATCAATCGTCGAGGTCGTCAAATGGTCCGTCGTAGGTGACCAGAACTGCCATCCGTCCAACTTGCGGCTGAAGTCAATCGGCCCAGATGTTATTGGCCGTGGGCGCGCTTTTGGCTCAGGTGGGGCAGGACGTGCAGCAACCCCCTCTTGCCTGAAGGTCACTCAATATCAACGGTGTGACCTTTGCAATCCCCTTCCTCCTCTTCTGCCTTCGGGCACCTCTTCAACCCTCTCGTCTCCCCAAATCCTTCGCGGGGGACTGCAACAATACAGCATGTACTCTTCGATCTCGCCAACGACGATGGGATTGTGTGGACTTGCCGCAGCACTTGCAGTGTTGTTCATCAACGCGTTCCGCTTCAAGGTCGATTCTCGAGAACCTCCTGTCATCTACCCGCGGATACCTCTCATTGGACATATCATTGGGATTCTGACCAAAGGCGCTTTGTATAACAAGACTCTCTCGTGAGCATACAAACTGGCTTCCCGACATCTACTGACAGCCTTATCAGCCAAAACCTCAAGCTTCCCATCTTCACGTTGCCCGTGCTCACAGGCCGCACGTACATCGTCGCTGATCCGGCGTTATGCGCATCCATACAGAAAGCATCAAGCACTATGAGCTTCGATCCACTCATCGCAGAAGTCACCCCACGGTTGATCGGTTCAAACGCCCATACCGCAAGCATCATCAGAGGCCCTCCTGGAAGGAAGCTGGACAGGGCCAGCTTTGTCACGAAATCTCACCCCGTGATCAACACGCCATTGATGGCAAACAACATCCACGATGTATCCAAAAAGCAACTGGACTACTTCAGCGGACTCGTCTCCAAAGTCAATGACGGCTCCGAATTCGAGCTGTTCCACTTCATCCGCACGGCTGTGACTGCCGCCTCGCAGAGCAGCTTCTACGGGCCGAACAATCCGTTCGCGAAGAATCCACATCTTGTGGAAGACTTTTGGGATTGGGAAGCCGGCAATGTAGCTTACATGACAGGAGTGTTTTCCAGTCTGTTTGCGCGCGAAGCCGTCCGTGGTATGAAAGCTTGCGTCAAGGGTTTCAAGGAGTGGATTGAGACGGAGGGATACAAGGATGCCTACGTGCTTCTTCGGAACCGCAATCAACTCCACACCGACGAGGGCATTGTCAATACCGAAGAGAAGGCCAAGCTCGAGGTGGCATTCTCACTCGGTATCAACGTCAACGCGTCTGGCGTCACGTTCTGGATGGTGAACCAGATCTTCAGCCGGCCTGAACTGTTGTCCAAGATCCGCGAGGAGATTCGTGCCAACGCCATCGTAGACCATGGAGTGCTATCTGTAGAGCGCCTTCGCCTGTCTTGTCCGCGATTGAACTCCGTTGCCCGCGAAACTATGCGTCTCTACGCGCCCGCCATCAGTGCAAGACTTGTGACTGAAGACACGCTAGTCGCCGACACTTGGTTGCTGCGCAAAGGTGCAGTCGTACAGCTGAACGGGAGTGTGATCCACAATGATCCGGACATCTGGGGACTGGACTGCGAATCCTTCAATCCTGACCGCTTTCTGTACAGCCTGAGCGGCTCCAAGACGAACCCCGACGGGACTGTACCAGAAGGTAGAGCTCACTTCATACACCCTGGTGAGTTCTCACGCTCCCCTGCTAAAATTGGACTCCATGCCCATCCGTTCGATACCTGCCTAAGCTAACGTCTCCACAGCGGCCTTCAGGAGCTTTGGTGGCGGCACCAGCTGGTGTCCAGGTGAGTCAACACACCGTCCTCGGTGGCCTCTTCCGCTCTGCTGTCCAAGCGAGCTAACACGTGTGCAAGGACGGCACTTTGCGCAAATGGAGGTCTTGGGCCTCGCCGCAGTTCTGGTCATGGGCTTCGACCTGGAGCCTGTCAACGGCGCGCAATGGAACCCGCCCGCAGATGTGAAAAGGATTCCGATTTCGGTGATGAAACCGATGGCGCCCCTTGATGTGAGGGTCAATGTCAGGAGGGAATATCAAGGCGTCACTTGGGAGATGAAGCCGTAAAGGGGGGTACACGTCGGGATATCAGTATGGATGAAGTGCTGGGCTGGTTTCACGTACTGACACTGGGCTTGAGGATGGGACTGGCTACATTGACGATGCACGCAGATCATCAAACAGCCCGACCCTGATTAATCGAGAACGCCAGCATCCGGCTTTGCAATTGAATGGTAATCAGCGCAGAAAGCGTTGGCGCTGCAGACGCAGCTTTGACCCCGTGCCACTGGGTAGTCTACAGCACTGCTGCACGACGCCGTCAACCCTTCTCTTTGGTAGTGCGGTCTCACATCTTACCAAAAAAAGTCCATTGCCATGCCTCTTACCTTCCGGCTTCCTTGTCTCTAACCCTTTTCAACACGCCTGCACACTTCAAGACCAAGCTGGTTGTCACGTCTCGGAATCACAGCCGTAAAGCGCACAGATACCTCCTAGCCTGCACCAAGAAACACGCAGAACACACAGCCCCGCCGGTCTCGCAGACGTCCGCTTCGTCAAAAAGCAACATGGGGCGCGGATGCCAAGTCGTTTAACCCCGATCGCTTCTTGCATAGCACGAGTGGAGACAAGATGGATAGCAATGGTACACGTGAGGATCGAGCATTCCACCTGCGGCTTTTAGGACCGTTGGTGGCGGCAGGTATGTGTGCCTGGCCAACACTTTACCGCTGCTGGAGTGCCGATTTTGTCGGCAGTCATCATTGCACGCCTGGAATTGTGGGCGATTGAGCTGCCCGGAACCCGGCTGCGGACAGGAAAAAGAAGCACGTGTCGGCTATGAAGCTCTTGAGAAGCTTGTGGTGAGCGTGCAGCGTAGAAAGCGGGTTGAGAGTGTCTGTAAAGGGGGTTTTCGGTATTGCATGTCTTCGTGCGGTTGTGTGAAAAAGGTACAAGGCTTAGCGATCGACTGGCCGACCTTGAAGATGACGTTGTTTTCGTTGAATGCTTTCCAGGGTGCTTCTTCGGCGTCGCTCATCGGCAGGCCTCTCGAGGGTGCAAGAGTGTGACATCTTTATTAGCTTGCTGATAGCCATCCACCTGGTTCTATATGCGCCCGGATCTGGGCTCGATGGCATTTCAACTAGCGGCAGGGATATCATAAAATAGGAACCAAGCATCAAGATCGACTGCTTGACTTCTCCTGTGCTTGCTAAATTTGCATCGTAGCCGGCGATAACGCGGGCGTTCTTCCCTCAACGCGTGTCCATGCGCCACGCCACAATGCCGCGGTCCCGTGGCGGTGCGTTCTGCACCAATCAAATGCGCAAGGCCTGAGAAGTGACGTCTCGCTTTGCGCGCAGCAAACGCTGGCGTGACCTGCACGGAAATTGTTATAAGCGCAGAGTTTCTCACTTGTGCATGATTTGAATTTCTGCACGTAATACATAGTACTCGATACCCAGCGTTCATCAACTCTGCATTGTTCGCGCGCATCACGATACCCAGGACGTCGTCACAACACCACAACACCAGAAACGGTCCACAGCACGTCGCGACTAAATCGCAAATCGCCAACATGATCAAGACAATCCTCCTCATCCTCGTCACAATCTTCCGTACGCGCGCATCCCCTCTCCCAGTGCATCTTCGATAAACTAACCCCCTCCAGTCCCACCCGTGGGTGTCTTCCTCGTCGCAGGCTGCGGCGCCGACCTACTTATCAACATCCTGCTCACCTGCCTTGGGTCCGTCTCCCTCCAACGCCTAAGCATACCATACTGACCCGCCCAGCTACTTCCCCGGCCACATCCACGCCTTCTACATCGAATACGTCTTCTACAAGCGCCGCGACGAGATCCGCGCCGGCACCTACGACGGCAGTCTCGCGCCGGGCGTGTACAGCACCAAAGTCCAGAACGGCGGACAGAGGAACGTTGCGCAGCCCGCTCCTGTCGCCGCTGCCGGTGTCCCGCCTGCCCAGCAGGGGTATGGCACTACGACTGTTTAGAAGACAGTGATGACGTCTACGGGCGAGGTTGAGACGAGACCGGCGATTGTACGGTTTGAGGGCCTAATGGGGGACGAGGCGGGGCTTGTGCCCGTGGAGGGCGCTGTTGCGCTGAGAGGGCCGGGTGTGCTGGTGTAGTGGGGAAGGAGCGTGTAGGAAGTTGTTATACCCAGAGTTTTCGAGCTCATTGTTACAGTCGAAGGTTGCCAAGAGTCGGTACTGAATCGAATGGGATCGCTTGATGGTTTACCATGTCGTCAGGCGCATGGAATGTGGAGTGTGTGACTACACAAGCTGTGTTTCGTTTACTGGTCCTGTGGACGTGTGGATGATGTGTTCTGTGATTGTCATCTTCGCAATAGGACCGCAACGGACTGTCCTGACATCATGCATGACTTTGAAGTTTATCCGTGGATCGCAAAGTTAGTGTCGTAAACCTAAAGTGACTACTAGCGGAAGTTAAGCTTGGACTATGAAGTCAGATGTGACAGCTAGGGCGTAATCCTGGTGCCTGTTGCTTGCCGGAACGCTGGGGTGACGGCTGCAGTGATGCGATGATACCTACCTATGCGAAGTGGCTTCTGACCATCTTCATCCAGGGTCAGGGCTCACTTGCAAGATGTCGTTGTAAGGTACCTAATACGCAGCGGCGTCGGTCGCCTTGCATGCGCGTCATGCCTAGGTGTACTCATCAAGTCCCCGCAAGGTACCCCTTCCCAAATGAAGTCGCATGCGTATCCTACATCATTACCCTTTGACAATTTTTCATGACTCGTCTCCCACCGCACCTCACAACTACCCTGCTGCAGATGCAGGTACTGGCAGTCGTCACTGGCGGAACTCTCGTCCGGCCGGTGAGGATCGCTTCGCACGAAGCCCACACACCCGCCCCGCAAAGGACCGAGCCCACGATCTTCGGCCCTGATTTGCGCGGTAAAACAGGGCCTAAGGGCTGTTGTCCAAGGTCTTGCGGCCGTTGAGTCCGGTATCGAATCTCGAAAGGGCCTTTCGCATTAACCTAAGGGCTGCGATAGGCCGACGAGAAACACCGGTAGATGCCCAACTGGAAGCACTGACTGGTGTGGCCACCGTTGTGTTTGGGCGCGCCGCGTGAACGTGGTGTAGATATGCCCTAATTTAGTGTCAGATGGGTGGCGTGGACCCTGCGTTGCGAAAGCGGTGGGGAGGTTCTGGACTCGACATACTGTAGAAGTACCTCGTCCATCTCTGTAACGAGAAAGGGCCGAGGATGAAGTGAGGGGTTCGGCGTGAGATTGCAAGCAGATGTGATGCAGGTAATTGTGATTGCGCCTTGGTTTAGGAAGGAATGTCAGATCGTGGTTTCGTGAAGAAATCTCAAGACGCGGTTCAGAATGTGATAAGTGCCTCAAAGCACATGGTACTTGTATTCAAAGGTATCTTATCCAAATGTGCCGTTACCCAACACCATGCATAATTGAGAATAGTCGTAATCCGAAACGCCTCGAAATGCTGATTACCACACTAAATGAATAACAAATGATGAGGTCGATACCTGACCAACCTCCGCTGATTGTGTGCAAGAAAGCAGCGTCATGAGAGACAACATTATGAGTCGGTGGAGGAGACAGACTCGGCCCGCTCAGCATCAGTCGACTGGGTCATGCCTGTTCGTCGGCGTGCAGAGTTGGTAGCAGTGCTGAGCTGTCGCTTGGTGTGCTCGTGCATAATCCTTAACATGTTAGACGCGATCGATGCTGAGTGAAATTTGACATACCTCTGGTAGGCGGACATAGCATCCTCGGGGTGATCGATGTCAAAGTTGTTGACAAAGTTGTGCTGAGCGCTTATGGGCTCGGCGAAGTTGTCGGTGACATATACTTGAGCGGCGGATGAAGACATTTTGCTTGATGTGGTTGTTGGGATTTGAAGAAGGGTCAATGATTATATTGTGGAAGTGAAATAGTGCGGATAAGGCTCGATTGAAGTGATGGAGTGGCTTGTTTTGGATCTCGATGAAGTGCGAGAGGCCGGAATTATATACAATCCGCTCTAACCAGAGCCACTATTTCATATCGCAGGCGGACAACAGCCAGGCTACCCTTCAGTGTTGCCGGTCATGTCCGCACATGGTAAGAGATCAGCACAGCTTTCGGCACACACTGGCTCACCCTGGTTCAAGGCTTACCGTCAAGATCTACAGGGTCCTACTTCTTCCGTGAGTGTAGACTTGGCCGTTAGACAGAAATGTGCAGACGTGATTAGTGCGATGCTCAGATCCATGTGTCGAGGCGGGGAGGCCGTCGTCATCGGAGTCTTGGGTGTAAATCTTGACCTCACTCTCCACGTCACCAGCGAGCGCCCCTGACCGTGCATGTCCAGGGTCTTCGGACACAGAATGCACTAGACTGCAGGCTGTGGAAACCCTGCCAGTGAAACGTGGCCAGGCACAGACCGCATGCGCTCATTGGCGTCGCAGGCTAGGTAATGGACAGTTTTCCGGTCTCCAACACAACCTTGAAGGCGCTGTGGATGGCAGGCCATCCCGCTGCACGTTCGAATTTCACCGAAATTGGGAGTGCTGAGTGGGGGTCTTTCAATAACCACCACGGCAACCAGATGGTGATTCGTGAAACGTGAAACGGCAACGTCTATACTGCACTGAGGGCTGCCACTCGCAGAACGACGCCTTTGCGCTTTGCTGCCACCCACCGTCTCTGGGACGCCGCGCCACAGTCCCCACGACAATCACACTGCACCAGACGTCAGACCTGCGCTCAGCAATTCAACAATGGACCACACAGCGGCAGAGACCCAGAAATGCGGAATCTCATCACAAGGCGGGTCTCACCAAAAAGCCCCCCGTCGTGCGCCTCGAGAGGCAAGCGTCGTCTGGCGTCATACCTACTCGATGCGGCTGAGTACCAAGGCCTGCTAGATCTAAATCAGCCTAGCAAATTATTAGTCTCATGCAGGGCACCAGCCGTTGCGCTCATAAGGGTCCAAACGACGTCAAAAGTGACGATGTAGCAGGAGGACTTCCCGTGAAGCCTCACATTGCAGGCTCTCTTTCAACTCAGTATCAACAGACGCAGGTACCACAAGGTGACTGTGGTACAGATAACGATGTCATCCAATAACTCGTACGACACAAGATGAAGTTGGCCTCCAGGCAGTGCGCAACTGCAGTCAGTGCGCCTGCCACTTCGTTCTGCGTGGACCGGCACAATGCACTGCAATTTTTACAGATTCAGCAGAATCTACAGACTTTGCACCTGGACCAAGATGCGAATTCGCAAAAGGGCGATCGTGGAGCTGCAGCAAGCCAACCCGAGGTGGATGGATACAAGCCATCAACGAACGGTTCTTTTAGCTGCGTTTATTCCCACCTCTCCTTCCATCTTCCTTCGTGACGCGCATGCCCCGCTGCACGGCCTTCCATCAAGTACTCCCTTCGTCACGGCTGCTTTTCTGCGCTGATGCGCTCCAGTGCTGCGATGAGCATGAGTTTCAACAAGTTGTCTCGACCGTCTAGATCAGCAGGCCTAAAATCCTCCCTCCACCCCGTAATCCACCTCTGTAACCTTCGTCCCGCGCTTGCAGAACATGTCAATCTGTAGATCTCCAAGCCATCGGTGACCACTCACACCCACAACAGTCTCCCCCTTGCTCACCAAGCGTCACAACCCCACTTCTTTCGTGGAGAACCGACGTCAAACTATAGAATATGCGGCACCTGGGCCGAGTGCATCGTGATGCATCTGATAACAATCAGATTAAGTTTGTGCGTCGACCACCAGCACAGCGCATCGAGAAAGATTGGAGCGCATCGAGAAAGATTGGAGCGCATCGAGAAAGATTGGAGCGCATCGAGAAAGATTGGAGCGCATCGAGAATAATCGCAGCGCATCGAGAATAATCGCAGCGCATCGAGAATAATCGCAGCGCATCGACTGGCTTCAACGAGACTCAACATTGACATTCGCGGTTTACTTTCGAGACAGAAATCGGAGATGGCGGTGCTCCTCTTGTGTTGAAGTCCCTAAGATGACATCGTTTGCGCCTCGCACAGCGGGTCAGAACCACTCAGTCTCCTCCAAGACCAACAACACGGAATCCTCCCAAGAGCCCCTGCCCGAAGCCTTGCACATCCCGCGACGAGCTTCACAAGCGGCAAGCCGCGTCGCAAACCCGCCTTGCTGGCCGATTCAGTCCTTCCACTTCTGACATGCATCCAAGTGGAGACCTCCATGACCTCGCGTGCCACTTTTCTAACCTCCCCCTAACAGCCTCGCACGCAGCGAGTCTTTGCTTTACATCCAGACAACTTGTAGTGGGCCAATGAAACGAATCGAGAACGGCTCGTTCTACCATCCGAGGCATGCATCGCATGCTTCCACTGTGCTTCGACCGTGCTCCAACACAGAAGCTCGGTATCGAATGCCACCTTTTCGGGTCGTCTCAAGTTGCGCGTATCCACACTCCCTCTCCATCGTGACGACATAGCCCCCGTTCGGTGGTGATCCGACGTCAGACATGGTCCACGGGTTGACGCAGCGCGAAGCGCCCGCCCCTCAGATCGATTTGTTTGACGCTTCCGCGGCTACGCCGTTCGCCCCACTGTTCCTGCATTGGAGCGACCTGGAGCACAGTAAAGTCTTGGCTGCCGTAGTCACTGACGTTAGAGATGAGGTTATGCGGAGTAGGCGAAAAAAGGACGAGACGGGAGTATTTTGGGATGCAATTGCATTGCATGCATGTTGAGCGGGTTGGGATGGGCGTATTTAGGAGCAGGTTGGGGAGGAGAGGGCGTATGTCATAAGAACATCGAGATCGAAAAAGTGAACTAACGATGTGCGACCGTCCGCTCCTACTCGCTTGAACAGCATTCTCGAGCTGTCGACCGTGAAGAGGTATCGCTGATTCTTTTGTAGATACAGAGTTCGCGTTACTTCTAATTACATCCTTGGAAATTCCTAACCAAAACGACACTCCATCACGCCTCTAGGAATCCGCCGACATATTTCCAAGCTCCTCGCATGCGCACGCATGCCTTCTCAACATCGATCCTCAATCCACCGTACAACCCTATGTCATATTGACCGCCCGGAATGTCTGATACTTCGGAGTCGATGGTGAGCGGCTTCAGTGGTTCAGACCGAAGGTCACAAGGCCTCGTTTCTTCTTGTTGGCAGATTTACAGTGCTACTGCCGTTGCACGAGGGTGGTTTACATAATATTCGAGTGCTCGTGAGCCATGCAGCTTTTACTTTTCACAAGCTACGTTCCGATCGGAAGGCGCGGCACGACATTTTCTCTTCCAGGCCAGATAGAGGACTGTCCAAAATCTTGATACCGTCAGGCAGCAGGTGTGCATCGGCCTACTCTTCGGCGATCTCTTCCATGATTTCGCCCCGGCTATCTTCTGGGTAGCATTGATAGTACCTCCTGCTTTTGTATGTATTCGTGTAAGCAGGCTCGTCGTCATCGTTGCGATAATCGATATGAGAAGTTCAATTCCAAGGCGGATCGTTCGTTCGAGGCGCCATTGGAGGATTTTGTCAAGACAAGGAAAGATTTCGCGGCCTCCTCCAACTCGAGATCCGGTGCAGTGTGTTGGGATCGTGAGTTTCGTTAATTTCCGGAACAAGCCGTTAAAGAAAGGGAGCCTGCTGCATTTAGACGTTCGCTCTGTGGCAGCGGATGTTCAAAGACTTGACTTGATTGGCAGTAGAAACTGCTGCTAATAAGTCAACAAGCGATTCTATATACAACAGCGTCCGTGTCGTTTGCTACAGACAATCTCCAGATTGTCCGCGTTCGGACAGGACTCCAGGAATTTGACCACATCACAATCGACGGTCAGAGTGCTAGCTCCTAAGTCGTAATGGTGTCGGTGGTTGCGCAGCAGTTTCGGGAGTCCGTTGTTGGGTACCATGGTGATGCGTAACTAGCGCAGACTCTCCAGCTGGAGAAAATAATCGAAGAAGACTTTGAAGCCGATCTGCATTCTTCTGGATGTCGAAGTATCGAGATTGGATTGTACATCGACTCGACACACATATTGAGCCAGGTTTGCCGGGCTCGGGAGAAGACGACCTTCATGTCGAATGTTACAACTTTACCCCAGGTCAAGAGACTTCGCCAGCTGACTGGGACCTTGAGACTTTGTACTTGACGGAATAGTCTGGTCCACTTCTTCAAGTCCTCAAGTCGTTCTCGAACATTGCCACCGTAGCAGTCGCAGGACAATGCTTCGACCCTAGTAGATGGCAGTGCCTTTAGCAACTCCATTGCCGAAGCCGTGACGTAACAGAAGCCATTGCGCTTGTTGCAGGTGATATTCAATTTGGTCACGTTTGGACGAAATTTCAGCAGCTCGAGACCTTCACAGTCGACAGAAAGGTTCATCAACAGCTGTGGCCGAACCAACCTTGCAAATCTGCGGTTGACCAGAGCGAGTGCCTTCAGAGGCTTCTATTTGCGCAAAGAAAGTCCGTCCCGGTTCTGACGGTCGCGACCGTCAGGGAAATTGAGGATGATTAACCAGATATCGCAATTGAGGTCTGCGAAGGTCGTTGTTGGTGCGATGGGCGTTGCCATCGGGCGGTGCTGAAGTTGATCGATGAGGACTGAAAATGTGATTTCGATTCGAAGATTGCTGCGCATCGATAAGAGGACAGCTACTTATAATTCATTCAGCAGAAGGTCGCATACGACGTAGCTTTCTGTGCAAAGTTCGGGACGCTGGTGGACGGCCTACAGGCGTCGACACTCACGTGCACAGCTCGTCTGTGTTCCTGGGGGACCTAAGGCAGGAAATGAAAAGAGCCTCAAAAGCAGGTGCTCAAGGCAATGACACAGACGATGTTTTTGCTGCCTTTCGACAGAATAAAATGAGAACGAAGCTAGGCATGCATACCAGGAACGAATTATTGGTCTATACCCATAATCCGGAGCACACTTTCTTTTACTCTTGTCCCACTTGCCTTATTCCGTCCAAAGTCTTCTGATGAGCTTCTCCCGCCCTACCGCCGGGAAACAGAAGATCAAGTTGACAGAACTACCAGTACTCCATTTCAGACAGTTGCTGACGTATCCACATGTCCTGCGAAGCGAATAAAAAATCGTTAGCTCTGCAGATCAAAGCGAGCGCTTTAAATGGAGGTAATGGGTTGAATGCAGTTGAGTAGGCCTTGCAGTGGATATGCTGGACACTCGATCCCATTAAGAACCATCTTCATGACGTCGGAGTCGAGACCGTCCAAAGTGGTGGGAGATGACAAGGTAGCCGCTATATCGAGCCTTATGAGATAGAAGGTAATACCCGCCTGATATCTCGGCAAGTGGGTGCTTGTGGTCGTCCGATGGTGCCATCAAGTTGTGTTACACTTATCCCAAGCCTTTTAATTGCACCATCAGGTGCCAAGCCTCACGTGCATACCTCGCTGCATACAACGACCGCTTCTTTCTCTGCCCGATAGTTCGCCCATTCGGAATGATTGGTACAGACATCAATATCTTCTCTTTTTCGTTCCCAGACCCAACTCAAGTCGTCATTGCCGCTGCAGCCTGCCAACCGCCGCGCAACTCTCTCATTCCCGAGCCAGCACTCCCTCAACCGCTCAATACTCGCAAATGCCAGGCGTACAACATTGTTCTCAGCCTGAACCCTATGCACTTCATTGTGCAGCCAAAGCACTCGTCGCTGCGCCTCGGTAGAGCATGCTGTTATGCTGCGCTTCCAGACTGCACGAAAGCCCACGTCGAGGTTGCCTACTTTGTTGAGCTTGAGGGTCTTCAGGTCCCTGAGGTTGTGGCCTAGAAGCTGCATAATGGTAAAAATGGATGCGTGGTAGCAGAATGCGTCGCTTCGCATATGCAGATGCTGGAGACTAGGGAAGCAGGGTACGAGTGCTGCAATCTCTTCCGCGGACCATTTGGCTGTCGTGTCGAAGTGTGTAAGCTGTGGGTAGGTCCGCTGGCTGCCGACTAGCTGAGGATGTAGTGGCAAAAGTCGGGTAGGTACGTTGAGGTAAGTTTCGATCATGCAGGATGGTCCGTCTTCGACGACAAGGTGCCTCAGGTCTGGACAGTGGGATGCTAAAAATGCAGCTGCAGAAGTGACGACCAGTGTGTTGATACCTGGTAGCAACAACGTTCGTACGTCCTCGACTGCCTCAAAAGCGCTTACAAACAAGTCCACGTTCCTCTTCATCATCGTTACTTCCAGTCTGTTCAGGTGCTTCAATTCCTGGACACACGCAAGAAGCTCCAGGGCGTCATTGCTCGACACGTACTTTCCTGAGCACCACCACCACATGGATCCAAACATGTCGATCTTGAGGGTCTTTGCGTATTGACAGACAAGCGGGGCGCTGCTGAGCTGGCTCAATGGTCGATTGATGTACAGGGCCCTGAAAAGAATTGGACTGAAGACATCTCGAAGCCGGCGGTTGACACTCGCCAGCACCTTGATTGGAGTTTCGCCTTCTGCGCTCTGTAGACGAAGACAGTCGCAGATCATAAGAAGCATATCCTCGCAGAGATTGGCCAGGGTAGAATGATGGTTATTCATCTTGTATGAAGATCTGAGCCGCTGGATTTGGGCGACAGCAGCAAGTGGAAACCTATACACCTCCAGATATGGTTCAAGAAGTACGCACGAAAGGATGGAGAATAACGTCAACCAAGCTTCCGAGGTCAGATTAGGAAGCTACCCCACATTGACATGCATGCTCGTTGCCTTTTGTGGTTAGTTCATAGCAAGCTTCGCAGCTGTCGAAACGCTGAGCTCGAGGCGATCCCGATCATTTGCGTTGTCATACAATTCATACCTCGTCAGTCATAAGATCGTGCTACAATACAGCTCGTCAATGGTGTTGTGCATGCAATCCATGCATTTGCAAATCCATGATGTATGCGCCCCCAGTGTCATCATCGAATGACAATAGTCTGAACAAATAGAACCACATCAGCCGAAGCTTCACACTGCACCTGCAGTCACTTTGCCTTTTCCAATGCCTTGCGAATGTATTAACATCTCACGAAGGCGAGTCTCTGCTTTAGTCAACTCTTGCTGCGTGTCCTGATTTAGGCCTGTTGCACGTGGCCACGGTAGCCATGAGGCCAACGAGGTTATGGTGTTTGATCGAGATTTTGAGTTTGACTGTCCAACAGAAAAAGTTGCAGTCGACCAGTTGCGACGATGCACTGTCCTTTGTTGGGATGTCCCAGTCCGTGGTCGTAGACCACCCCATGTGTTGTCAGACTCTGGTAGGTCCTGTAGCGCAGATGCATCGAAAGCGAGATGTTTGGAGGCCTGTGGTGTAGTTTCGATGGTGATAGCGGGGTGGTCTTCAGTCTGCGATGCTGTCCTGATCGTCCACGCTGGGCCTTGTGGGCGTTGCTGTTCCTCGTGTCTCGAGCTGCTAGCTTCAGGATGTGCGAAAGTGTTGTCCTCCAGAGATTTTCTCTTCCCACTGCTGCCGCCACTAATGACGCTCTTCAAGCTGCCGTAAGCGGACCGACTTCTTTTCCTCTCGCCATCCTCAGATGTCGTGCCTCTACCCTCTTGGGCTAACCGTTCGCTGGAGCTACTCGCCTCTGGCACCGCCATCAATGTGTTATTTGCAGCCGTCCACCCCTGACTGATACGAGACAATCGGCTTCGTCCTGCTAACGCTCCTGTACTGGCAACCCAGCCCGGTCCTGCGCCTGTTATCTCACCTTGTGGAGGAAGGTGCGCGTCGTACTCGTCAGCCAGGCTCATTCGGCTCCTGGCACAGATCTCGGCAATAGCATCGATGGCGTCTCTAATCTCCGGGTCAACTGCACGGAGAATGGCTGAGAAGGAGAAGTCCTCAATAGCAGGCAGCTGTTCATTGTGACGCGCCAACCCAGCTGAAAGAGCAGAGGCATTCGATTGGCCGTTCATGGCGAAGGAGCGTGGGGTGTTGAACCCAGAACCTGGCCGAGAGGTGTGTCGCGACCCTGAGTATGTTCGCACTACAACTGGCTGACTTGTGACCGTTGTTTTGCTGGATGTAGATTTCGCCGGCTTGCCTTGCGAGTGAAAGGCGGGGGCGTTGAGCGCACGAATAGCAGCAGATTGTAACGGAGGCAGGGTATTCGTCAATGTCGTAGTCGTACTGGGCACCGAGCCTGTACTCGCGGCCAGATCGTTATGTTGCTCATGGGCGTCGGCATGCGTTGCGTTGGACGGTATCGCGATGTTCACGGTCTCGTGGGTAGAAGCAGAATTGTGCCCCCAGAGCGTCGAAAAGACACCCAAAGCTACGGATTGCCTTGTTGTGGTGGCCGGTGTCAATGCTGGTGGGAGCGCGCTCGAGTCCGCTACACCGGCGGCATGGTGGTTTGGGAGAGGGGCAGCAGGGTGCGGGTGCGGAGGCGCCTCGCAGGGGCTGGCAGCTAATCTTATATTCGCCGAACGTTCGGACATTGTGGGCATGCTTTACTGGAGCTGCTGCACGTCAATGCATGGCCGCGATGCAGCGCAGTTCGAGGTGTGAACGTGGACTGTCGTGATCGAAGATGCGCTGGCGAGCGGGGCTTGGCTCGATGCTTTCGTCTCATTGCAGCAGCAGTTTGCGATCATTGGATGAAAACAATACTTGGTCCAAACATCTACCCGGTTTGTCACACCTTCCTTGAGTCTACCTGGCATTTTGATCATTGAGTATGGGTTGTATGGACGTTAAAAGAGCAGGCCGTCATCAGAGCCAGCCGTGTCGACTACCAGTTCGGCATCGGTAGCTTGATCTTGATCAAGCTCAGAACTCAAGAAGGAGACTACGCCGCCCGGCAGTTCGTCTAGGATCTGGATTTCAGCTTTCGTGTTTAACACAAGCATCGTTTGCAGCTCGTGCCTCCACTCCTGCTCAGACCCATCCTCGGTACAAAGGTCCCATTCGAGCATGCAAATTGCCTTCATACGGTCGCGTGCTGTTAGTCTCATCAGGCCTTGAAGCTCGAGAGTCGCGCTTGTGTCTGTCCCACCTTCGTTAACCTGAGCTTGGCTGATATGGTGCCTCTTCACACCAAGCCAGCGCAGGTTGGGTAGACTCAGAGCTGGTGCGTCCTTATGTGCGACATCTTCGTGTGCGAGGCGATACGAACCATATTTGTAAGTCGTCATGATAGCAATGCCATCGGGATCCAGATCCACGAAAGCGTACATTGGTACATGTGGTGCGTGATCGGTTAATTGACGCAGGAAAATTCGAGAAGCCACGTCAGGATAGCCTTTGGCCTGGAACGTGTTAGGAATAGGCCATTGTAAGCATCAGTCGTCCTACAGTAACAGCCAATCCATTGAGTGCCAAGTCCTCCCAATGTGTAGTGCTGATGAGAGCGCGAAACGTCGCCTGAACAATTTAGTACATGCTGTCAGATCTACGCCTGTACATACCTCTTTTTCGATGACGAGTATCCATCGAAGCTGCGTGAGATCCAGCCGATCTGTCTCTCCGATCTTCGGGATAAGCATACCCTCTTTTTCGCTCAGACCATCCACCTGCGTACCGTCTTCACGATGTAGGGTGAAGTATCCAGCAACAAGCCCTTTGGCGGCGGCAGTGACATTGAGTTGATATCTTGAGATGTTCAACGTGCACGCTAGGTCGTCTACATAGCGATCAACGACTGCTTGCTTGACAAACAAGTCCGGATGCTTGTAGTAGATGTCTCGCTTGGTCATGATGGTGTTGTCAACGAGGCCTCCGTGTACGAGTTCAATGATGCGTAGAAGCACGGTGAAGTTCCACGCTTCTTGAGCCGTGCTGCCTGGGAACGAGATCTGGCGCACCTTTGGGGCAGGAGTCGAACCAGCTTTGTGCTTTGCAACCGGTTGTCGTCTCGATATGTTGGCCCGGCTCTTTAGAGTGAATGTCAGTCTCTCATTACCCCCCAGAAGGCCATCGACGATCTTCTCAAGCATAGCTTCAAGACGAGCGATGACCCAGTGTCTGGTGTACAGTCAGTACTTGCTTCTTCTGGCTGGGCGTTCAAGGCACCTGTCGCGTGGCCTTTGCTTGTCGAGGTCCACAGACTGTGCCCTACAATCCACTGGAGTCATTACGGCATCACGCTGTAGTGTGACGAGCGCATCTGCTGGTGTCAGTGGTGGGCTGCTGAGTAGTTGCCAGGAGTCTGCTGTTGGTGATCCAGGGGTGTCAAATAAGTCATCGTCGTCCAGAGTTTGGAGATTGTCAGCAATATCGAGCATCTCTTCGTCATCGTATTCATCGTTCCACAAGTCTTCAAAGTCTTCCTGGGAGTCTGGCGCGCCGAACAGCAAGTCTTGAACATCCTCAAGGTCCATCTTGTGAACATCCTCAAGGTCCATCTTGGCGCAGATATGCAGTGCTTATGAGTCAGTTGCTGGAAGCAGTCAGTGACGGATGAAATCGCAGTAATTGGTTTCTGCGTCGATGTCTCGCGCAACAATTGGTCGGCATCCTTGCGAAGTCGACTGAGTTCGGCTGAGTGGTTAGGAAGGTACGATGTTCTTTAGCGGGGAAGGCATTAACCTATATTAGGCAATCAGCATACATTTCCCCAAAAGACAGCGCAATCGCGATCTTGGCGTGCAGGCAACAACCTCCGGGAATCGCGCCCGCGTCTCTTACGCGCCAACGCGTCCCGTCGCGTGCTCATCCACTATCATCAACGCATTCACCCATTGACGCGTTACGTTCATTGCAACGCTTGTCTGCCCGCTCACGCAATCATAAACGTCCACTGAGCAGTTCACTGTTCCATTCGCACGCGCAACTCCTACGCACAACATGGAAGATCCAACGCCCGTCGTGCCTGTCGTCCAGAAGCGTCCTCGCGAAGAGGACCCCGAGCTGCAGCCATCTACACCAGTCAAGCCCATATCGTCTCAAGCGTCGACACCGTTGTCGGTTCTTTCCAATGTCCAGACACCATCGCCAGCCAAATCGAGTGCTCCCACGACTATTTCATCCACACAAAATGCACCTGGCGCAAGCAATACAGAGCAATCGGTCAAAAAGAAGCGGAAGGTCCTGACACAGAAAGAGAAGGATGACGCAGTTCGCGAGAAAGAAGTCAAGACAAAGGCAAAGGCAGAAAAAGCAGCACAGAAGGAAGCCGAAGCTAAGCTCAAGGCCGACGAGAAAGCTCAGAAAGCTGCGCAGAAGGAGGCAGAGAGCAAAGCAAAGGCTGAAGAAAAGGCCAAGAAAGAGGAGGAGAAAGCGAAGAAAGAAGCTGAGAAGCGTGAAAAGGAAGAAGAGAAGGCGAAGAAAGAGCGGGTAGGCTCGCCGCATGCTACAAGAAGATTGCTGCTAACTCGCTCCTAGTCACAGATGAAGCTTAATGTCTTCTTCATGAAGCCAAAAGTCACTGCCAGCAGTGCTAAACCTTCGGTGGTAGATTCAAACCCTGACTCTACTGCCCCTACTCCTCTATCATTATCATTGGATACCCCTGGAGTTGTTGTTAACACAATGCCTCCCTCCCCACAGAAGTCCATCCATAAGAGTGCGCACTCAGATTACGAACGCTGCTTCCTGCCTTTCTCATTGCCATCTACCGCGACCCTCGCGCCCGCAAACGCATTCATGCAGGATATCGAGAAGCTCAATGCCGCCCGGGCTCGATTGGATCGGCTATGCAAGGACGACAAGGCCGGTCTGTCACCTCTCACAGTACATACCCTGAAGGTCTCGCTTCCAGCGCGTTCTCTGCGAGGTGTGAAAACTGTCACTATAAAGGAGGTTGTCAAGCGTGTGCATGGCTCGCCTGATCGTCCCATCGGTCTGACCAACGACGATGAGACCAGCCGCCAACAGCCACTTGACATGCTGAAGACGATACCTATGAAGTATCTACACTTTAGTGAAGATGTCCGCCCTCCCTACTACGGTACTTACACCAAGTCTTACTCGGCTGCGGCTGAGCGACGGCTCGCCTGCAATTCTGTTTCTCGAATCCGACATGATACCAACTATGACTACGACTCAGAAGCCGAGTGGGAGGAGCCTGAGGAGGGCGAGGATCTCGACTCTGAAGGAGACGACGATCTCGAGGATGAGGGAGATGATGATTTGGACGGCTTCTTGGACGATGAGGAGGACCCCCAGCTCAAACGTCGAATGCTGTCAGGCGACTTGGAACCCGTCAGCACTGGCCTGTGCTGGGAGGATAACAGTGGTGTCTCAAAGCTTAACGATGGCTCTGGTGCTATCTGCACGGACTTCAGGGACTTCAAGATGGAGTTCTTACTTCGTAAGTCGGCGCACATGTTCAAATTTTTCCCTTACTAACATCTTCCCCTCAGATCCATATCCGCAATCCATCGATCCGTTCTCAACAGCGTACTGGGCGCCACCTGCACCCGTTATTACTGCGACCACTGCCACAGCAAGTAAGAAAGCGTCTACCAATGGTCTTATGCAGCCTCCAGCGCGACTGCCGTTGGCGCAGCGGACCATGAATGGGATGCTCAACACTCTCAACCCCAGCTCAGTGCCCTCTGCTATTGCAACCAAGCCTACAGCACTAAAGAAGATGGTTCCTGATGAGCAGCTGCCTGCCTTCAAAGCTGAAATCCAAGGCAAAGATCTCACCAAAATTGGTATGATAGAAGCTCTCAAGAAAGCCTTTCCCAAGCTCCCCAAGGCAGCCATCACCAACACACTTAGCGTTGTTGCTGCGAGGGTTGGGCCTACCGAGAAGGAGAAGCGTTGGGTGCTGATTAACAGTTGAGTGTCCCGCATACCATGGCAGGCCCTCCACACTGCTTCTTTCCTTCCACTGTATCATATGGCTTCGCGGCATGCCGAAGAGGCGCTATCGTCGTGCCCATGTTTTCATTCTCCTTTAAAGTCAGAGTCTGCACATCTCAGCGACCAGCATAGCGAGAGGCGTTTCCAGGTTCTACATTATGTAAAGGATATCAACGCATTTCAAAATCACGGCGTTACTGTAAGAGGCATTTCAGCTCTCAGCAACGCAGAGCCTCATGTCGAGAGCAGGATATACATATGTAGCTACACCAGACCACATTGATACTACTACGAATACATCTAGGCCTAATCCTGCGCTTGTTGTCAGACTTGACGCATCTGCGTTAGTTTAGCCTAGACGCGAGCCACAACCCTGAGCCACGCGAGCCTTGGTCCCTATCCTCCTCGGAGCCTACAGCAGCGCGCCCTTTACAAACTGTAAGTAGAAGCGAACGCGAGCGATTGACAGCCCGGCCATGTCAGGGTGGTCCAACGTCGTCATTTGTAATCAAATCACGAAATTCAATGAATTCTCGAACGTTATTTCCGAATGTTGACGTCCATGTCTGCTTCTGGTTCCGGTCACACTGCAAGACGCTTTGACGCGGCACACCTTCTGGGGCTGTTCGAGATCCTGGAGGGCTTCAGACGACCTCGTGGGCGCGGGTCTGAGAACATTAATTGGATCATCGCACATGGTTCTTCGGGAAATTTGCCTGCATGCACATCGTCCCGCGCGGTTGCCCACCCGGCTGCAAGACGTTGGTGTGGCTGCCAACTCCGAGTGTGAGGCCGCAACACCTAATGGGGTGTGCGAGGCGAAGTGGACTGATGCTTCTGAAGAGCAATTCCCGAGGTCTGCACCGGCTGCAGCAGCACTTGTGGATTGGATGCTGCTTGCTCGAATCCGGCCGCACAGCTGTGCCTGCGCGGCGCGCAGAGCTGTAAACAAACTCGGCAAACATGGCACATTATTGGCGACGCGGAACGGCAGGGCAGCGAATTGCCATGTGGAAGGCACACAGGTTTTGCACGCTGCGCTCACGGTTCGCGTGTCATGGGCCGTCTAGCGCTAGAAAATCTAGACCAGGGGCTGCCGCTGTGCCATGCAGCGTCGACTCGAGGGAACATCAGGGAAGAACAGTCTATCAAGGAAGAACAGCAAGGTCAGGATCTGGAGTTAAGAAGATGGGGTCAGTGAGCCGCGAGAGCTGCAGCGGTCCACGAACCGCGGTGATGGCACGGTCTGGCGCTCGCGGACTGTCCCGACTTCGAGAGCAGAGTGGGAGCATACGGCAGGCATGTTGGCAAGGAGGTGCTGGTCGCACGCCCTGGACTGCTGGCTGTAATGATTGCTTCGGCTCGGCGGTTCCTGACTCGGGCCGGCGAACATGAGTCGCAGCAATGAAAACGGACCGCGTGGGCTGGATATGATTTGCAGCAGTGAGGATGCATGCTGTCGAAACTTAAAGCAAAACGATGCTGGGGGGAGGTATCTGTGGGCGACTTCATGTTCGTATCACGTGCCTTTCGAGACTGGAGGCAATTGTATTGTACAATAGACAGGTGGACTCGTCGGAGGGCTGGCCACTTCAGGCGCTCTGGTCTCCACGGAAGGGCATACCCGCAAGCCGGCGAACCCGCAGCCATGGATTCGTCTGCGAAGGCTTGACCCCTGGCACAAAGGGCGCGGTAGTGTTGGTGTCTCGAGCGCCTTGGGCATCAACGAGATTGAGATGAATCTCTTCAGTGAGTGAGACTGTGTCTGCGTTTGTGAGATGCTTGGACAGGTGCAACTGTCACACAGCACGCTGGCAAACCTTCGAGTAGGTACTTGCCTGCTGATCAAGTGCATGTCAAGCTGAAGGCCTGGGTTGGCATTGCGCCGCACAGTGCTATGCTGCAAGCGGGTGAGAGCCGGTGGCTACCTAGGGAGCCTTGGAGACATCTCGGGGCTTACTGCAAGGAGGTGGTGCTGCGGTGCCGTGAGATGGACGCTATGGAGACGGCGAGATGGACACAAGACGCGAGAAGGCCTTAGCTCTGTCCACAGTAGTGCAGTGGGCGGGCCAGGTTCGTGCCTGAGGAACACATGCAGCGACGTTGCTTGCGTGTGCACTGTGCGCCATTCTCGGTGGAGCGAACAGACCCTGCGGCAACGTCTCACGAACGCAGCACTGCAGCAGGGATAGCTGCGTGTCGTCGAGCGCGCACAGCTGCCACAACAGATGCCACGACTCAGGAGTGGACGCCGAAGCGAGCGCGGCCGCTAGACTGCATACCGTGAGGCCCTGCGAGGCGCGCTGTTGCACAGGAGGGTGCTACTGCCACTACTGGCCAGCTGGTCGAGGTGCGCGACTATGTGCAGCATTTGATTAAGGCTGGAGCACCGCGCTGCCAGTGCACGCGCTTACTGCCCAATCGCGGGCTCCCCGCGGACTCCTTGCATAATCGACCGTGACCGGTCGGTTCCAGTTTCTTTGTCCACACAATCCCAGGAGCACCCGGCAGCCTCCCGGCAGCCCACCGCGCCAGGGCCACCCAGCACTCGCAGGCGGGCTGGCAGGCTCGCGGGCTTGCGGGCTCGCGGGCTGCGCCAACTGAGTCGGGGCTCGTTCGTTCTTCTGAACTGCTGTGGATCGCTCCTGCGCGCCCTCGACAGACCGGGCCTGTGTTCCACATCTCCTCTGCTGGAGCGCCGCCAGCGTTCTCCCTCCTGCCCTCCTGCCTGCCACCCCCCACCTGCCCTCGACTGCTCCTGCCCGCCGCCATGCGTCTGTTCAACCGCAAGAGCTCCAAGCCCACCATCTCGCCGGGCTGCAGCCAGCCCAACTCGTCCAATGGCTCGTTGCGCTCCCCTGGCCCCTCCACCGCCAACGGCTCGCGGCCCACCAGCTTCCCCGACGTCCCTCTGCCTCGCGCCCCGGACCCGGCGCTGGACCCGGCGGGCTACCTGAGGAGCATCTACGCCGTGCGCGACCGCTCGCGCCTGGTGCTGGAGAAGGCCAAGAAGAACCAGCTGAAGCACTTCGCCGTCGACATGACCAAGTTCAGCGACGTGGCCAGCTTCGTCGTCTCGATCGTCAAGGTGCATACCCGCCGCGCAGCTGCCTTCGGGCCTACAGAGGGCCTGCAGCACCTGCGATCGCGCCTGCAATGGCAGTGCTGACCCACCCGCAGAGAGACTACGCCCCCGACTACGCCTCGATCCCGCCCCACGGCCGTTGGCAGCACTTCGAGGTCGGCGGCCGCCCGCGCATCGACCAGCTCATGGCCTCATGGCCGTCGACGGTCGACAACTCTGAGCGCACCCGCCGCCTGCTCGACCTGTTCCTCGTCTCCGTCCTCCTCGACGCCGGCGCCGGCACCAAGTGGCAGTACAAGAGCAAGGAGTCTGGCAGGATCTACAGGCGCAGCGAGGGCCTTGCCGTTGCCAGTCTCGAGATGTTCAAGGCCGGCACCTTCAGCAGCAACCCCAAGGAGCCCTGCCAGGTCGACAGCGCCGGCCTGAGGAGGCTGGACCTGGCCATCATGGCGCGCGGCCTCCAGGTCAACGACTCGAATCCCATTGACGGCCTTGAGGGACGCACGAACCTGCTCATCCGGCTCTCCGATGCGCTGCAGAGCCAGGAAGTCTTTGGTCTTGAAGCACGCCCTGGAAACATGCTTGGTACATGACCTCCACACACGACGCTGCGGCGCATGCTAACTCTCTCAGACTACCTTCTCTCGCACCCCACCACCCAGGCCTCCTCGGTCCCTATCATCCCAGTCCCCACCCTGTGGAACACACTGATGGAGAGCTTGACACCCATCTGGCCCGCAACACGAACCCAGATCGACGGCATTCCCATGGGCGACGCATGGCCTTGCTCGGTCATGCCCTCTCACCCGACGCACCCCTGGGAGAACATCGTCCCCTTCCACAAGCTTACCCAATGGCTCACCTACTCCCTGATGGTTCCAATGACCAAGCTCATGAATGTGCACTTCGCCGGCACCGAACTGCTGACTGGGCTGCCCGAGTACCGCAATGGGGGTCTGTTCATCGACACTGGACTGCTGACGCTCAAGCCTGACGACCATAAGCGCGGTGTTGCGCAGTATCAGCTGAATGCCCAGGTCAAGGGACAGCCCAGCATGGAAGTTGTACCTATGTTTGCCGCAGAAGACGACGTTATTGTCGAATGGCGCGCAGTTACAGTCGGCTTGTTGGACGAGCTCCTTGTCGAAGTCAACAACTCGCTGGGACTGAGTGGGCGCGAGAAACTGAGCTTGGCCCAGATGCTAGAGGCCGGCAGCTGGAAGGTAAGCTTCACTACCCTGTCACATTGGCAAACTGAGACTAACACAACGCAAGGGGGGTCGAGAAATCGCAGAAGTGTCGCGGCCAAATACGAAGGAGCCGCCTATTATGATTCTGTCCGATGGAACTGTTTTCTGAGATACCCCTGAGATTCCTCTCCCGCTTTGTTTCGTTCTTTGGTTTCTATGGCATGCACTACACGCACGCCGTACATTTGGACCATTTACACCACCGTTGACAGTGGCTCGACTGCAGTCAATTTGGAAGTTTATGATGCACGATCTCGACGGTCGGCACCACGGTGGCTTTCTGGTTTCATGGCTTGAGCGGCGCGTCACCCTTCATTGGCGTGCCTGCTAGCCTACTGCGATGTCCTATGTTCTTCACTTCTACGTGGGACATGTCTAGATGGTAGGCATTTAGGGCACGGAAAATGGATCTGTAAAATAGTAAGGATCTTGGTCTAGGACTATTACGCGCTTAAAGACGCAGCATTCTGCGAATCGATGATCAGTCGACGTAATACGAACTGGTCTCACACTACTGCGCGCCAATTGCTCATCCCACATTGATGCTTTCGTATGAGAGTCGAGGAGGAGGTCAGGGGTTGCGGCTGTGCAAGCCGTTGCCCCGCAATCAGATGCAGAGCGCACTTGCCAAGCCAAGGATTGACAGTGCGTCCAAGCTCCAGCTCCTTCTTCCACTTACAAGCTAGTTGTTGTGCTACGCGCGTTGTCTGACATTGCACACGATCGTCATCTAGTCTCTCGCTTTATTAGTTATACGCGAACATTGCTACTACCCCTCGTCACGATAGCCGTTGTCACTTCGTACGTCATCTGATACCTTCGTTTCACCGCTCACCACGCCGCACCATCCCACCAGCCTCTTTACTTCTAGCCTTCTGCTAGGGGACCCGACGTCAACGTCAGATCCTTGATCACTTCCACGGGCCTCTATCCGTTTCCGCGCGTCGATCAAACACTCGTACACGATGAACTCTCAGAAACGCCAGAAGCAGCGCAAGGTGCTGCTGATGGGCAAGAGTGGAGCTGGCAAGTCGTCGATGAGAAGCATCGTCTTCAGCAACTATGTCGCCAAGGATGTCCGCAGACTCGGCGCTACTATCGACGTTGAGCACAGCAACATCAAGTTTATGGGCAACCTCATGCTGAACTTGTGGGATTGCGGAGGGTATGTATTCAAGAGCTGTGACTGCGAGTTTACCATTTACTGACGGTGCACAGTCAAGATGGCTTCGTCGAGAACTACCTTACACAGTCACGTAGCCATGTGTTCGGCTCCGTGGCCGTGCTCATCTTCGTCTTCGACATCGAGTCCCGCGAGTTTCAAGCCGATGTCGTCTCCTACTCGAACATCATCCGAGCTCTTCACGAGTGCAGCCCCACCGCCAAGGTCTTTTGTCTCATTCACAAGATGGATCTGGTACAGGCACGTCTACGAGAGGCCATGTATCACGAGCGCTCAAATTACATCCGAGATGCCAGCGAAGGCTTTAGCGACACAGTCGAGTTCTTCCCCACGAGCATCTGGGACCAAAGCTTGTACAAGGCGTGGACCAAGATCATATACTTCCTCATCCCGAATGCAGGTACCATCGAAGCTCTTCTGTCGCAGCTGGCCGAAATCATCGACGCCAGAGAGCTAGTCCTGTACGAGCGCACGACTTGCCTCACAGTTGCGCACGTTACCCGAGGAGATGGCGAGGACAATCCATTCCACGATCGTTTCGAGCGCATCTCTAGTATCCTGAAAACGCATAAGCAGAGTATGGCCAAGCATACAAACATCCCAGCCGGAAGCGCCAATTTCGCCGAAATGCAAATCAAGACCGGCAGATTCATGTTTTTCATCACACGACTCACGGAGAACACCAATCTTGCTGTCACCATACCACCCTCCGAGCAAGTCTTCAATGCTGCGCGCGTCAATATCTTCCAGGTTCGCCCCAGGTTCGCCGAACTCGATATCGCCTCTAAACCGCGCCCTCCAGTTCAGCAGGCCTTCGCCGGCTCTGCAGGCACCGTGGAGAGCAGTAAAGGCAAGGAGAAGGTTATGGGCTAGAACACTGAGCCTGATCCTGAGCCCATCGAGGAGATGAGCAACAGATTGTTCGGTTTCAGGGTTGGAGGCTGTACCACAAAATATGCCGACGACCTGAAGAATCTGAGTGAAGAATCAAAACAGCTTCCGGAGCTGAGGGGAGGTGGCGACAACAGAGAATTTGAGCGGTATCACCCACGAGAAAGAGCCAACTTTGAGGCAGTGAAGCATCGCCTGAGCCCTGAAAAGAGACGACACATTGAACGCTGGTTCGATCGTGCTGCTGATCTGAATCCTTCCTGGGTCCATCGTTCCACTACTGTTTATGGCCAACCACCCCTCACAACAACTGCAATGGCGCAGCATCTGAGCCTTTCCACAGTTTTGAAGATCAGTTTAAAAACAAAAGTCGAACGTTGGTTGAACTCGATCAATAACGACTCTCTACCAGAGCACGAACCCTCGACGCCTCCAGACGTCTCTGATGACGAACATGCTCGCGGAGACGGCAACGGACAGAAGGGGGTAGAAACCACTCTGGTGTTGAGAGGGGGTGGCGATAATTATGAATGGGACCTGCAGCACGAACGGCGTCGAATCGTCATCTACCTTCAGGATAGAAGGAGGCTAGTGCTCCTTGAATTACTCGAAGGCGCCGATACTGGAACTCCGATCCGTATGCCTGAACAGATACGCTATGGTCGTCGTCGAGCATATCCTCTGGAGGCCTTTGCGAGCTTCCTGGATACCAAAGTAGACCGCAGAACCGTCATCGAACGCTGGCTAGATACAGTGGTGCTTGAAGAGACCGTGGTGGCGTCCAGAGAAGATCAGCCAATTCTCCGAGGGCGTGTGCAACTTCTCACCTCATTAGAAAACATCAGTCCTCTTTGCATAGAGCTGCAGCTTACATCCGCCGCGAACGACGCTTTGGAGCTTGCGCTTGCAGCTTCGGAAGGCTATCTATTTACCATTGCGGTGGACGAAATTGACCAAGAGTTGTCAAGTGAACAGAACGAGCCAATAGCGCAAGCTGAAGACCTCCACGACAGCGGTTTCTGGTCGTCGGCTACCAGCCCTGGACTAGACAACGATGGCCAGAGTGTAAATCGCGCACCTGCTGCGCATAGTCCATCACTGACACAAAACAGCCGAGTGAGGAGCCATCCGACACCTCGAGCCAGCGTTCAGACACACTGTGCCCAACAGTAGCATCGGACGAATCCATTCGAACTTTGATCAACATCACGGCGCCTCGGCCTGCCACCATCACAACACCCAGGCCTGTGGTCTTGTCCCGCGGTGATATTTGGGATGCATATGCATGCTAGCCGGGTCGAAGTCTGCTGGTATACTGGCTTGCATGAATTGCGCAAGGGCTTCATGGTCCGAGGTTGACACGCAGCTACAAATACAATACATCATCATGAGCCTTGCATGATCAGACTCAATCTTCAAACTTAATGTGTCAGGACTTCCAGTTGCTCACACGGTGCCTTTGCGGCTTCTAGCTAATTGAAATGGAGCAGGCTTGTCCGCGGACGTATTCAAGCAGGGTCCCCGTTACGGCACCGACATGCATACGCTTCTCCACTCGAAGCGCACCGTGCCGCAAATGGGGGACTCGGGTTCCTTGCACATTTATAAAAGGGTTTGTGGAATTCATAGGCGCACTGGCGCGGAAGACGGGCGACAGACGTTGATGACGTTGATATCCACTCTGGTGCTTCACAACTGTTGGAATTGCGGCTGAGGGCGTCGTCCGTTGTCCGTTGTCCGTTGTCCGTTGTCCGCTGTCTGCTGTCAGTTTTTCGTGGATGTTTGTGATTCAGTGCTGCGAGGCTGGTGAGTGCTGGCTTGCTCTCGTGGTATGGAGAACGTCGGCTTTGGTGACTGGGTTCGTTGGAGGTGTCAGATGTATCGTCGAATTTTGGGAGTCGGGCTGAAGCATCTGCGACTCCAGAGTTGATGCATGTTTGGATGCCGCTTGACAGTTTCTGGCTGAAACGAGTTGCACGTTGGTGCCGTATCTAGTTGCCGGAGAGCAGAGTTCGGATTGACACCATCTTGACAGACTAGAAGCTAAGAGTTCATACAGGCTATCGAGGTGTTGAAGAGCCATGTTCTACGAGTTCTCCTCCCACGAACTTAGTTTCTTCGTGCATTCTTGGGACTTGCCCGAGTCTCGAGACTGGTGGGGGTGCGATCTAGGCACGCTCAAGACTTCTGATTGACTGCAGGCACTTACCTGCTTGCTACTGTCGGGCAGGTAGAACAGAGTTCGACGACTGCCGCCTCGCTAGACAGTTTGTCTGCATCGTCTACACTTGACACGGACTGATCGATCCGTTGATGTCCACTAACGGCAACCAGGTCAACAAGCGCCGTCTCAACATCGTCTCGTGCATGCAGCTCTGGGCCTCGGTAGCCTGTTGGTAGTTACTGCACTGGACCTTCTCAGTCTGGCGATGATGGGAAATGCAGTCAACCATGATGTGCGCTGGATGCCTCCAAGGTGCGACTAACACGCAAGAGAGGAGTCTCCTAATCATGAGTGCTGAAGAAAATCAGGATGTTGCGTCCCTTATCTCTTACTTGGAGATTGCACGTCATGATTTGCTGCATTGAATCGCTTCGCTGAATTCTCTTATATTCTGACGGTATGTGGCTACTAAGCTCGAGCGCTCTGTGCTTGAACCTACCCGCTACTTCTACGCTGCCTTGCTGCTTTGTCTAGGTGATCGTATGCACCTTCCTCAACGGCTGATGGCTGACCTGCAGCAGGCACGATCTTGTCTGGTCTCATGTCGCCCACAGTATCCAGACTCTCTTTCCGACTTCATTCGTTTGGCTAGTGCGTGCTGCGAACCCTACATACAGGTTGAAAGACCAGGCTTTCATATAGCACCTTCATCCTGTCAACTGGCCAAGGCACCCATGTTAGCAGAAGTACTATGTTTCATTCGTATGCGCCGACTTCTCGGATCACCTCTTACTAACCTATCACCTACACGCATCGCCAGACCGGACAACATAGAGAGCCACAAATGTGACATGTATATTACAAATGATCCCGCCCCATGATCCCCATATGTGCCCGGCATATAATTCTAGCCCCCGCTCGCAGCCGTCGTGCCGTCCCGCTGCTCCGCTGCTACGTTACTCGACCGCTTCAACACTCCGAGAGCTATGTCGTCACACCACATGAAGGGTTCACACGTGAGACTATGTACTCACCTAGTGCTATTGAGATCCAGGTCTGAACACCGACGTTGGAGCAACAAGTAGAGACTCAGCCTCGACTTGCAATGTCCGTCGTACAGCGCACTCAGTAACAAGAGAAGTATTGGCATCCGCCATCACCTACTAGCAAGGAATCCGCAGCCACCATGGGCGACTGTAGATTAGAAGCAAGCCTCTCCCAAGCAAGCCTAAGTCTTGTACAGCAAGTCTGCGAACCCCAACTACGGCTGCTAGCTGATCGCCGTACCATCCCTATGCCGCCCGTATCAGCATCTTGCATCGCGCCGCTTTCACTCGCCATCGTTCCGAGAACGGGTTTAGCTACGCCAATTGCCGAACCTTAAATCGGTGGGTCCGGTTAGTGCCCTGCAACCCATCAGCCATTAATCAGCAAGCCAGGAGCCGACAACAGACTATTGACACACGACCCCAAACTTGCGGTTACTTGCCGATACTAGAACACGACAACCGGCTACCGAGAGGCTATGTATCGCTCGATCGACTCTGACCACTTAGGAAATGTGTTGAGGTTGGCAGTTAGTATTTCCAGTCGAGGAGATCTCATCGAGCTACTCAACGTTTCGGAATGCGGCACATATTCGCCAGCAATTGCATCTGTACCTACGGCTCACTGCCTTGGCGAGTCTGGGCTGGTCGAGGTCCGCATGGGTAATATAAGGTGCGCACTGTTGCAGAAGAAGGCAAACGATTGAGTAAATGCAACGATTGAGCATTATGTCATTAGACCTCCATGAGAGATATGTCGTCTCTAATCGTTCAAGCAGATCTTGCTAGTTTCGATGGACTGATATGCTCCTGTTGTATATAGTACATGTGCTGATGCAACATTGATAGACGCTTCCTGAAATTCCATGTGCTGATCCCAATTGGGGGCGACTCTAGCGTCCTGCGCGCTGTGTAATAACATCAAAGAGCTCTCGCTCGTCAGCCCTGTACATAGCATCGTCCTTTCCGAATGCTACGTCGAGACTCTCGCCAATCCGCCAGTGCCGCTCTGAGTGGCCGTGGTTGGCCCCGTGCTTGTGTTCCATAGCAATATCTGCGAGCTGGCGCAGACGATTAGAGATAGCCTTTTGCTGTGCGCGCGCTGACGCCCAAAAAGTGGCGAGCTCTTCGATACAAGACATGGTAGTGTCCACCGTATCGATCAGCTTAGGCAATGTCGTTGAAGTGCCAGCAGCTGATAGGACATCGATCGATAGCATGAGCGCATAGCCCGGGAACGGGGTAGAGAAGAAGTACTCTGATGTGTCGATGCGCCGTTGCCGGTTAACGAGAGCCAAGCTGTGCATGATGGACAAGAAATTCGATGCGTTCTTAAACGCATGGTCGATGTTGCGACTGATCTTGTCGGTAGGCATTGCGTTGATGCGAGTCTGACGATTAAGTCGAATGATAGTGGCGTGGTAGAGCGCGTGCAGCGACATGAAGGTACCAACCGTGCCCTCGGTGATGCTTCTCTCAAGGTTTTGTGTAGAATAGCGCAAGCTCGGGGGTAGCATAGCGTGCCAGCCTTCCAAGCGTTCGTACGTCTTGGTATAGAATGGCTCGTAGTGTTGCTCGTAGCCAGTGTCAGGGCGACGAGCTGCACGTCCGGTGAAGGTCAGCACATCGCCCCAGAGGGCAGATATGAGACACAAATACGCCATGTGGCCAAGGACAGGGGTCTTGGGTGCGAAGCGGTTGAGGAGTTCGTAGTTGAAAAAGGGTGTATCGCAAGGTGTGCCAGACTCGTAGGCAGCCTCCAAGCACGGGAGCTTCACGAAAGCATCCTCGATGCTAACAACGAACAGTGTTCCACCGAAGAAACCATTGTAACGCTGTTGTTGTATTAGGTCAATGGTGGTAGTTAGTCGCGTCACGTCCAGACTTACATCCATCAGGAACCCAGACCAAAACGTACGCCGACAGCACTCTTCAAAAGTCCGACGATCAAAGCCGTACTCAAACTTGGGTGCTCCATCGACTAACTCCTTTACTCCTTCCTCTGTGTTTAGCTTGAGCGCACTTAGTGCACGCAGGCCACTTCCACAGAAGTCCCATGCTTCCTGTGATTTGCCTTGGGCGAAGTAATAAAGTGCGAGAAGTAGGCGACTCTGACAGAGCTGCAGACTAAACTTCCCAAATCGCTTCTCTGCAGCGTATGTAGCAACGGCAGCGAAGCGCTTCCCAAGTGATCTTTCGTCACCATCTGGCGAGAATAGTGAGCCCATTGCGAGTACTGAGTACAACAGCATCCGGTCATCCTGAGTCTTCCTTTGGCCAGATTGTGCCCATGTCATAAACGCTTTGCGGGGGAACATGCCATAGGTTGCGCGTCCAGCATGAGCGAAGTACAGCTCCAGAATATGGTACGTTGTCCTGGGGTCCAAGTCGCTAGGGTCTTGCTCCCATTGCAGCGCAAAGTGATCTTGGTATAAGCTAGCACTCGTATCCTGGTGCTCTCGGCTGTTCGCCGAGCCCCTCCAGTCAGACTCGTAGGACTGGACAGACATGTCTCGGGCACCTACAACATGAGGTGGTGGAAGAGGGTCTTGGGCCTTTAAAAGAAGTCCGTTGTGACGAGCATCAGCTGTTCTAAGGTTCTCTCGCAGGTCCGCAATGCGATTGACGTTTTCTGAGCTAACCGAAGGACTCATAGACTCAGATGCAAAGCTTCTGATAGTCGTAGCAGCTGGAGCTGATGGTGATACCTCCATCGATCCATTGCGTGGGCTTGTTTGATTGGGCTGGTTCATACTCCTGCCAAATATTAGCACAGTTGGTTAAATACGAGCTATTAGACACAGCAGCGACTTGCAGGGGAGTGGTTTGATGCAACTTACCCTCTGCAGACTCTCTGAGACTTGGCGCATTGGTGGCACTTGGGATAGCCAGGTTCGCACTTGATCTTCTTCTCTCGGCAGGTCAAGCATGCCTGAGCTAGTCGTTTGCGAGGCTTCCCAGCTTTCGTAATACCCCACGATGGGTTGACAGGCTCGCCGTCAATGATGGCTCTGCAGTAGGTCCCGTCTTCGTAGATGTAACACAGGCCTTCGCCTGGCATTTCGCGTTGCGCGATACATCTTGATGCACGGACCGGGGCTCGCGAGAGTACATCAATGCGTCTCCTGACTGGCCTGGCTGGATCTTCTGTCTCATCGTACACAGTACGGCTGGACAAGACTGTCATAGCATCAGAGGTAGATGACAATTGGCGAAAAGTAACACCGGCTGCGTTGTCGTGCAAAGACTGGGAGCTCCCATGACGTTGATGCTCCAGTGAGCCAGCACTGAATGCGGAGCCTGGTGTCGAGGGCGTCGTAGACTGCTGTTGCGTGTGGGATAAAGGAGGTGGTGGCTGGTGTGCGTACGACACATGAGATGCTGCTGTGTTACGCTCGAACTGGCTCTGCACATAGCTGTCGAAATCATGGCGCCGCTTCAGATGCAGACTAGATGACCCGTACGGCGGAGAACCATTATGAGTAGCATGAGGTGCGACTTGTCGCAAGGAATGATCAGAGGGTTTCTCAAGTAGCTCGGGCTCGAGAAGTGTGCGAAGACTTGGTAGTCGAGTGTTGTTCTGACTCTCGTTGAGCTCTCGTGAGCGGTGATGCTCGCCGTATGATGTGGAGTACGGCTGGTAGGATGCTGGAGGCCCTCCATGAGAGGGAATGCTTGGTGGACGGCTCATATTGAGGAGCATTACAGACAGTGATGTTCGGTCTTGGTGTTGGGTGTCTAGGGTGAGACAACTTCCTTGATGGATTGGCTGAGGATCCACATGAGACTTGGGGTTGAGAAGAAACAGTTAGGATGGCACTCAGGGTCCAGCTGGGGGCTGTGTTTGGCTCAAGAGGCAGCGACTACATCAAATTGTGCCCACAATGCTGGACACGTGTATGTATCTGGAGACGATCAGGTAGGGTACGGGAGAATTGAGTGTGTGCGTTTGGAGTTTTGCAGGATTCTGCGGCGTTGTTGCAACGACTAGGATCTGGAGAAGATGTCAAAGAAGCCGTGAGTCCGTGCAGGGCTGGCGTTTCGACTGACCACCGTCCGGCTCCTGCTGAACTGTAGCCGAAGCGGCAGGGCAGAGTGGACCACCGGGTAGGGGTTGTACAGGAGCAACACGGAATTGACTTACGGACACAGGGTTAAGGTTGCGGCGCAGACGGGACTTCTAGGCGTTCAGCCAGGCTGGGCATGCACGAGCACGGGTTCGGAGATGCTCGACGTGCGGCGAGGGGCGGCAGCAACAAATACAGTCAGCACAGCGTATAAAGCGAAAATGAGTGTGAAGGAGCAACGGCAAACCGTGCAGCGGCGGCAGGTTCAATAGCTGACAGGGACGGACCCTGACGTGGAGAATTGATCCAGGAACGGAGCGGCCGCGGCGGCGAAAAGAGCAGCCCAGCTGTGCATTCAGATTCCCCGTAGCGCAGGCGATGGTGGACAAGTCATGGAGCCTTTGCTGTTTGAGAACCGAGAATGCAGCGTTTCCCGGGAGGCCTGTGGGGAGTCCGCTCCGTGGCTGCGATGTCAATACTGCAGTAGCGCAGCGGACAGGAATTCTCCTGCAAGCTCGCCGCGTAGCGTGTTTGGGTGATGCAAGACACGACAGTAGCTGTCCAGAATAATAGAACTGGGGTAATAGCTGGGTATGGCGTAGATGATGGGTGAGTGCTTTTCTCAGCCCCCAGATCTGGCGGCAGGCCGTCTCCACCTGGCGCTCCGAACCATCTTGCTGATGATTGTCGATCTATGCACCGGCGATGCGATGCAGGCGAGCATGTCCTTGCCGAGCCGCAGCCAATAGGCTCTTCACGTATTGAGTTTCATCAAAGCGTCCGAGATGCACTACTGCTGGAGCGCGCCGTGCCCTGTCCTTGCGGCCACTCGCACTACTGGCTGGACAAGCGTACGCCGTAGACGATGCTGGCGCCGGTCCGCCTCGAGAGCATATTCAGCAGCTCAGACAGGTACGCTTTGATGCCAAGAGGCATTCACCAACATGCTGCGCTCGGTATGGCGGGCCTGCGCTGCCAGTTCTGGCCCAACAACGGTCTCCTCGTGCGGCAGCTGGTTGACGTTGTGAGGCAGCGACACATGTGCTTCCCCGCTTATTCCAGACGGCCCACGAACCGATTCGGAGCGCGTTAGGGGAGGCGGGAGACGATTTGGGCCAGCAGAGATCGAGACGGAACACTCTCCTGTTAACGGCTTTGGCCCTAGCCTTGCGTGCATGCCGCCGTCCGCTTGGCCTGCGCTAGATCCCAGGCTCTGCCCTCGGTCCACCTCATGGAGGCGCCTGTTGAGCGAAAGGATGGAGAGACAACCAGAATCAGCACTCGACCAAGCATAGCGTACCGCTTGCAGCCGCCTCCAACAAGGGACGGGCCTCCGTGATTCGGCAAACAAGACCCGTGAGGCACTGAACGGTCACAAGGAGTACAGCTGCACGCGTCCACGCGAGCAATGCTGCGCAAGTGAAATCGCTGACAACGCTGGTCTGACACCGCGGTGTCAAGACTCAAACAGTAGGATCGTCGTAAAGCGATATGGTCCTAGCCGGACGGGCATATCTCCCTGATTAGGCAGGAATGACTGAGAAGAGTGTGTGGAGTATCACGTGCATCCCTTGCCAAGACTCTAGAAGCCGCACAGGCTTCTGCCGACTCAAGCTTCCCGCTGTCTCACATCCACGACATCCCCACCAGCAGCAGCGGCAACGTGCATACAACAGCCTCTTTCTTCTTAGCGCATTCATTCTAAATTTCGCAATTTACAGATACTATCTAGGCTGTCACCATGACCACCGACGACGTCAAACCGTCACCAACCGCACAGGCGCATGCCAGCAAGAGCACCAGTTACGATGATGGTCACGGGCGAAGTGCATCTCCTGCGGCGTCACCAGAAAAAGAGGAAGGTGCTCCCAGTGAAAGCAGTGAAGGCGCTGCCTCAGAAGACTCAGCAGAAGACCCACTATTGCCAGACGAGGAGGCGCCTCCACTGCCTGATGAGCCTGTGCCAGGCGCAGAAGACGATGGCTGGGAGCCTCGCTGGGACGACACGGCGCAAGCCTGGTACTTCTACAACAACAAAACCGGAGTATCACAATGGGACAACCCACGTGTGCCTGTGGCAACGACAACCAGCACTGCATCGTACGACAGGTTTGCTAACAAATACCGTCTTTTATCTCCTACTCCAGCCTAATGTGTGATTTGAACAGAACCTACAGCGCTACTGCCCTGCCCTCATACTCTGGTGCGCCCGGCACTGGCTCACCGCCCAAGCGGAAATGGGGCGGATACAACCCAGCTATTCATGGAAGTTATGACCCCAATGCCGACTACGCACAGGAGGCGTCGAAGGAGGAGGAGGAGGCCGAGCAGGCAGCCCAAGCTGCGGCAGCCATGGCTGCAGGCCTGCCACCCCCAATTGCTGCAAACGACTACACAGCACAGGCCCACTTCAACCGTTTCACTGGCAAGTTCCAGACTGGTGGACAAGGTCCTGACGTGCATAACGACGAGAACAAGAGCAAACGTCAAATGACTGCCTTTTTCGACGTAGATGCAGCAGCAAACAGTCATGACGGGCGCAGTCTGAGAGCAGAGCGTCGTGGCAAGTCTTTGAACAAAAAGGAGCTTAAGGCCTTCAAGGACAAGCGTCGCGAGAAGAAGGAAGAGAAGCGCCGTGCGTGGCTGCGTGACTGAGTCGCTGGGCGGTAAGGAAGAATAGAGCAAGTGAGGTCGCTACGTCCACTAATGCAGTGTAGTGTTCGAAAGATTGCGTGTTGGAACTCCAGGTAGGATAGTACGCATAGGGTGCAGAGTGATCGCCGACAGTTGTCTTACGTCCGTCTTCTACAGCAACACCATCATCTACCAAAGGCTATTGGTTGACCTTCTGTATCGTTTCCGTTGACACGACCAACCATTCTTCCCACTGATTGGGAGCTGTTGTGCGCGGCTTGTTCTGTACGAGTAATGCAACTGTATCTTGTTCCCGTGAAACACAAGTGCACTCCATGTTGTGTTGTTCACCCTCGGCGCCAATACTGAGACGTCTGATACGATATCATGTTCAGCCGCACCTCGTCCCAGTCTATTGGGACGTCGTAATAAGCAGCCGCCTCTTCTTGCCGCAGGACGCTCACTTTTGCCGGGTATCTTTGGTCTGCATCTCCCCCATCTTCTCGGTGACGTCCTCCATGAGCCCACTCGTGTCTCCAGCTTTGAACACCATCTCCTCTTCACGGCCTGCACTGCCTTCGCCATTGATTGCACCGCCACCAACACTCTTCTCCAGCGCCTCTACGTGCCCCAGTAGCCAATCGACCACCTCCTTCTTCTCGTTCACCTCTGCCTCGAAAACAGCGTCGTGTCCAGCCTTATTGAAGATTGTAACATCCCCACCAGCCTCAATGAGCAGCTTAGCTGCTTCTAGATGCCCATTCAGGCTTGCCCAGTGTAGTGGTGTGTTGCCGGACGCATTAGTGAGGTTCAGGAAAGGCGCTGGCTTCGAGCTCGATGTTGATAGAAGGAGTTTTACAATATCTGACAAGTCTATCAGCTTGACGTTCTACCTCCAGTTCAACCGTGTCGAGTACCGATGTGTCCATTCGCCGCAGCATAGTGCAGCGCTGTATTTTGCGAGTACGAGTCGGCCGCCTGTGCGAGTATCTGATCCTTGGGTTTCGATACTTTTGTCGAGAGAGTCGTGAGGAATTGGTCGAGCTCGCTGGCCTCGTTGGCGCGCGCAAGGTAGAGAATTTCATCCACGGAGTCTTCGTCGATGTTGGACATTTTGGGTGGGAGCACGTGCTTAGTAGCTAGGTATACGAAGTATTGCGAGGCGTGGCGGTCGCGTGCTACGATCGTGATGTGACAACTTTTTTCTTTGCCGACCGCGCGAGTACCCCGCGTGTAATTGCCCCGCGGCAGAGAGCTAGTCCAGAAGAGTTAGCGTAGTAGATCGGCACTTCCGCGCTCCAGAGCTTCAAGCCACGTCAAACGGCCCGAGACGCTTCAGTCAATTGCTCGGTTAAATTTGACCGATGCACATGCAAAGATGTCATCTATCTCAGTCCGTAAGTAGTGCTCTCGAAACGCGAGTCGAGGCATTTCGCCGTGCAAATCGTACATCGCTTCAGACAGGACTTGACTTTGCTGCCATGAGTCGAGATCTGGCTAACAGAGCTCTGTCGTCGTTACTGAATTTAAACCAGGCACGGAATAAGGCAACTTGGCAGAACTTCTTGGATTCTCGGTTGTCATTACCTGCCGTCTAGACTGTGCCTCCATTAACCTTGTCAAGGACCTCGGAGAAGACACATTGCTTCTTCAGCTGCCCTCCTAAGAAACATGTCACTCCAATACTTGAGTGCATATCCCTCAATCCGTTAACAAAAAATTCACAGACCCCAGATCCTGGTAGCGACAATCATCAAACAGACGTTATCACTGGCAGCCTTGGATCCCGTATTCGCCAACGCCTGCCTCGGTCGGACAGCTCGCCGCTCGACATTCAGGGTCCGCTATAATCGACATGGGTCACCACAAACACCTATACGACTTCGGCATATGAGCTCGTCTCGGTTCAGAGCCGCTCACTACCGTTTCAAGGGTTGTCGATGCATGCCAAGCTGGCGATACTGAAAGACAACGGCGGTTTACCTGCAGGTACGCGTAAAACTGCCCTTACTTGTACCTCGCTTCAGGCCGCAGAGGCTATTTTCGCAGGTCGTTCGATCCTCCAGGAATCTGCAATTACCGGTGCCGCAGCTGTTATCAGCGGCCTGCTTTGCTACACCAAGGCATGTTAGAGCTCGCAGGATGCGCTACTGCGTTTGCACGAACTTGCCCGAGTTGGTGCCATTAAACGTGAAACTGCCTGCCTATTGTTCCACGTGCTGCGTGTTGCTTCACGTGCAAGGCCAGCGTTTGGAGGAGGACCACTCAGCGTCGGACCGAGCGCAAGCCTAGACGTTTGTAACAAGCAACAATCACATGCTTGCACTTTATGGCACCCGTCAGGATGTACACTTCAATCTATATGTACATGGTACATGCTCAAAAATTATCTTCACCACTTCCGCAACGCATGCTTTACCAGCTTCACACAAGTGCCTTACTGGGGCAATCGCTACTGAAAAGATGTCACCACAGCCAGATGTCGCAAACGGCGCCCAGTTCGTCTTCCTCCGTAATTACCTGTGTAACGGCAACGACAGCCACAAATACGGGGCGGCCCACCACGATCGGCCTGGCGCTTCGAGTGCCGAAAGTTTCTTTGAAGTTTCTTGCCAACGAAGGATCGCCGAGCCGTTTGTACATGTCACTAGATTCTGACTGGAATCTCGCTTGGATTGTTACGAGCACGACCCGCTGCTACGCCGTAATGGTGCATCGATATTTGTCACGGTTCTCGAAATGATGATAGCTGGAGTGGAAGGAGACTGCCTTCAGGGTTGACGGGTGCTCTGATCGACCTGTTCATGCCGAGCATTGTTCACACTGCTTGTGTCAGGTTTTTTCCATGCATGAAATCAGCTGGTCAACAAGATATCGCTCGTAGTTGCGACCGTTAATTGGAAATACTCGAAAATGTGGCCTCTTGTACATGAGGAAATGGGTATTTGAACTCCCAGTACCGAGGGCAATATGAGAAATAATGCAGCGCTGTGGCTTTGGTGCTGACACATGTGGGTGATTGCCTGCACTTGAACTGTAACGGTTGAGAGTAGAAGCAGATCACGTGTTGTTGGCGGTGGTCTGGTGCTACTTCACAAAGACGTCATCAAAACAGACCCCGCAGCGAGCCTTGGAGAGAAAAGATACAAGCAGCACAACAACACAGAAGAACACAATACACTCGTTAACGTAGATTATCACCAAGCCGGCCATATCACCAAACCAGCCATTTCCTCTTAGCATGACTAACACAAGTTACTGTAACTACAACTAACGTAGATTATTACTAAGCTGGCCATATCACTAAACTAGCTACTTTCTCTTAGTATAACCACCTTTTACCCTAATATAACATGCCTTAATAACAACAACTTTAGAATACTACTAGAGAAGGCAGAGTTATCCTTACTATCTAGGCCTTCTATACTAGCTAATTTTGCAGTATCTACAGCGCTGCTAGAGCGTTAAATATAACTTATAAGTAGGTCTCTAATTACCTTTGCAATATTATGTTTTAACTAGATATACACACTAATTACTAGAAACTTACTATACTAGAGGAGTAGACCATTGTCTAGTATAACGTAGTTCACAAGCGAGCGGTCCAACCCAAGCGAGTGGTCCACCTAACAGAGTTAAGATGATTGCAATGCATATGCTGCAACACCACCACCACTTACTGCAATTTGCAGGTAATAGAGATACTATTTAGACTTGTTACTATTAGATGCATCTACAATTTCAACTGCATAGGTGCAAGCGTTGTGGCTAGTCTCTCTACAATGTCTGCAACGCCTCTGTGTGCGCACCTTCTTTACAGGCTCTCTCCCCCCCTACTGCCTGCTACCCTCCCTTTAGCTATTAAATTAGCTACCTCACCTACCATAAGACTCTCTACTGCCTAAATATACTTCCTCTTTCAACCTCTAACCTCTGTTGCTATCTCTACTGCCTTGCGAAGCCCTGCTATTTCCTGTTGCATTAACACGCTATCATGCCCTATCTATGCAATGCCCTTGTTCAGCTGCTTAACTGCTCTAAGCAGAGGAGAAACTAGGGAATCTCTGTGCAGTTGTACACGCTCACAAACTAGCGTTAACTAAGCCTCTATCTTACAGAGGTTGCTTAGAGATTTTAATTCCTATAGGGTGTCCTCTAGGCTCTAGCTTTAGTAGAGTTAGCGTACAAAGGACCACATTAAGCTTTAATATCACCACCTCTAGGTTTTGTAGAACTAGTCTAGCGCCCCTAAAGCCTGCATAGATATTCTCCTTTGTAATTAACCTCTTAAAAGCTGCTTTAAAAGCTAGTAGGAAAGCCTCCTTCTTAATCTACTTAGAGCTGTACTATACTAAGCTACTAATCTTATTACTATATGCCTGCTTTAAAGGCGAAAATCAACATACATTAAGTAGCTATAGCAGGTGTAACAAGTTAGCAGGCATACAGAGAATAATAATCTTCTCTTCCTTATAGTATTTATAGAATATATGTAAGCTGTGGCTCTTATAGCTGTCTATAATTAGCAGCCTATGTGCACCTACCTTCTAGTCTTTTGTATAACGTGGTTTATCACCGAGCCGCCAGGTATCACCAAACCGCCACCCCTCGCCAATTTTGCGACTGTTACAATAATTATTACAATACTATTACAACACAACGCGCAATCACCCTATAACAAAGGTACACTATACCTTGCTATCTAAGCTACAAAAGCTACTATACCTAACAGTATAAATTATATATCTAAGGCCTTTAGTGTTCCCTAATTAATATTAAGAGACTAACACGCAGGAGGGCTTACACAACGTGATTACAAGGCTAATTTAAAGAAGCTAACAAAGGTAGAAGAGGAGGCAATAGTTAACTGTATACTTAAGCTAGACAGGCAAGGAATAGGCGCAACAAAGACTATAGTGCAAGATATAGCTAATAATCTGCTTGCTGCACGTAGTGAAGGACCTGTTAGTAAGCTCTAGGTAAACAGGTTTAACACACGTACCTAATAAATTAAGCTTTAATATAGCTAACTGTACAATTGTTAACAAGCCCTAAATAAAGATACACGTGTTATAACACCCTAGTTTAAGCTAGTTAGGAATACAAAGGAGAAGTACAGAATCCTAGATAGAGATACCTACAACTTTAATAAGACTAGGTTTATAATAGGCATAATTAGGTCTAAGATAGTGTTTACAGGCTTAGAGAAGTAATCTAACCCTAAGAATATCTAGCCTAGCAATTAGGAGTAGGTTATAATTATTATTAGTGTCTGCGCTGCTAGCTAGGCTATCCTACCCTTTATTATCTTCTAAGGTAAGGTCCTAATTACAACCTAGTACCCTAATCTACCTTATAATTAGGTAATTACAACTAGCAAGAATAGCTAGACAATAAATAAGCTTAGTCTAGAGTAGTTAAAGCACTTTAACGCGTCTACAAAAGAGCATACTATTAGTGCCTACTGTCTACTTATTATTAATAGCTACAAGAGCTACAACTCTATAGAGTTTAAGGAATACTGTGTAGAATACAAGATTATTACCTTGTGTATGCCCCTACACTTGTTACACCTGTTGCAGCTGCTTAATGTAGCCTATTTTAGCCCCTTAAAGAGGGCGTACTTAATTAAGGTTAACGCCTAGTTATAATACTTAAAGACACAAATTAAGAAAGAGTTCTTCTTTACTAGCTTCTAGACAGCCTATTATAAGGCTATTATAAAAGATAATATCTACAGAGGCTTTAGAGGCGCAGGACTAGTTCCTTTTGACCTAGAGCGAGTGCTATTAAAGCTTGATGTGGTCCTTTGCACGCCAACACCACCACCACTAGAGACTACCCTATAGGAATCTAAAACACTAACTAGTGCAAAGGAGGTTAAGTCATAAATGTTGTATATCTATAAGCGCATGCGATTGCACAGAGATTCGCCCCTGTCTCCTATTATGAAATCACTTAACTTGCTTGCTAGAGGGGTTGCGTAGATAGACCATGCCAACGTGTTGCAGAGAAGGGAAATAGATAGCATAAAGAAGGCTATTAAGGCTCTAATAGCGCAGTGTGGTTGCAAAAGAAAGTATATCTAGACAGAGGAGGCTCTTATAGTTAGTGAGGTACAGGATATAATAGCTAAGAAGGATGGTGGTGGTAGTAAGGCATCTAAACAGTCTAGGAAGAAGGTGCGCA